TCAGGAACAGATACCCAAGCCATCTCAACTGGCTCCTCTCAATGTGGAAGAGCAGACTCCGAGATCCTCCCGTGTGACTGAGCTCCTCACCCTATCTCTAAGGGAGAATCCAAGCTGTTTCAGTTCTGGTCAAAATGCTGTTGAACACTGCCTTATATCTGTCTGAAAGGAGGAGCTAACTACAATGAAACTACTCTGAAACTAACACCGTACTTGTTTACAGTTTCTGTTAGTTAGTTAGGCCTATTGAACTTGCACTCACTGTCGGGTCTTATTAGCAGAATCATTCAGGGCCATAATGGAGCGTTCACACCTCTGGACCTGATCTGGCTATCCCTATTGTTTTCCTTGTTTGTTTTGATTTAGGTTTTAGGATGGAGTTGACCCTAAATCAAACAAAAAAAAAAAACAAACAAAAAAAAAAAAAACATCAGCATTTTGACTAGAACTGATGAAGCAGCTTGGATGAGTTGCAAAACATATTTGACCAAATAAACTTTAGTCTAGTTGACAAATAGAAATTCTCCTTTTGCCATGGATTTTCCCTGGAGGACTGAGGGATGTTACACACTCTCTCACATAAAATCACAGCCACTCTCACCTTTTTGTTAAAAATCAAACACCTAAACAGAACTATGGATGCTCGTTTTAATCACAAGCTCCTGAAAATGTGCTGTTTAAATCTGTTTTGTGTTCTTTCTCTTTTTCAAACTTAATTCCTCTGTGTTTGCTAATATGTCTAATGAGGGCTGCGTCAACATGGTAACTGCTGAACGTTCCTCTGATAGAGATACATGTAGAATACCCCCAGCATGATGTCATGGCAAAGTATCAATTTTCAGATTTTAGACTGTTCAGATTCAGATTCAGAAAACTTTATTGATCCCAAAGGGAAACTGGAACTCAATAGAATAATAAACATATTGCAGTGCAAAACATTTAAAAAACATTACCCTCAGAATGAAGCAATTTAATTAGAAGAGCGCATGAAGGAATTTGAAAAGCGGTTTGTCTTTCATACATAAAACATAAAACCAACACCCTGAAAGCATCCATGATAAAGTCAAGAGCGAGAGGATGGAGGGATTGACTCATGAGACACTTCACTTTGCTCAGTACTTGCTCCTCCCACAGAGAATGCAGCTCCTTGATTTTGACCCCTGTGATTTTTGAGCAGGTTTTAACAGTGTGACGATAATCACATGATCATATTCGATGGGGACAAAAGGAAGATTTCCATTTTGATTACACTGTACTTGAAATATCCAATGGGTGACTGCAAAAATGTTGAATCTGATCATTTCTATTATTGACTAGATCCAAGAACTCACCGTCTTACAACTAAAATCTGCATTCTTTCAATATTAATTTTAACTTCACCCATCTGTATTAAATATTATTGGCCTATATAATGTTGTCATGTCATATGAAACCCAGTAATTACAGACTGCTGTAATAACACTTGCCCTGGCCGTGTTACTTGCTTGTTTCCATGGCGATAGGTATGTTTATACTGTGGAACATTCCAGAGAAAGCTGTAGAATTTTCTTAGAGACAAGAAAGTGCAACTTCCTCATTCAGAAAAGTTACGTAAAGCAAGTAGGGCAATGTAATTCAACCATGAGTGACTTCAAAAGATAAAGAGCAGTGAAGAATATGTGAATAGTATATTAGGAAAGATATGAGCACTGGTACTAGTGAAGATGAGAAGATGGAGAGGCTGGGGAGGCTGATGGTTCTGCTGCAGGTGAAGAAAGGCTAGTGCATATTGCTAAAACTGCAGGATTTAAGCAATGGAATGAGGTGACTGGTTGAGAGGATGAGAAAGCTGTGATTGGCTGATTTGATAACAGAAAATGGTGTTCGGATTTATATCAATATCATTTAAACTCATTAGTTGGAACCTGTCAATATATCTGTTCATATCTGCAGGTAATAGTCCAACTGTCAAAGCTGCAGTGGTGGAAGAAGTACGCAATTTTGTTACTTCAGTAAAAGTACAGATACCAAAGCAAAAAAATACTCAAGTAAAAGTAAAAGTATCACATAAAATATCTATTTATTAATGTAGCCATTTAAAAATGTACTTAAAGAGTAAAAAGTAAAAGTATTTCGCCCCGAGATTTTGAGAACTAATTTTGATAAAGATCTGTGCTGAATTTTGTTCAATGGAAACAACTGAATCTTTTTTTTTTTTTCTCTAGCTGCTTTATTTGGATATTTTTCCGCAGGTCTCAAACGGGACCCAGCTGGAATGTCCCCCTTGGCTGGAAAGTCCCCCTGAATTGTACCCTTTATTAAATTAAGTTAGTTAATTAAGTCTCAAACACACACAAATAGAGTAAATACAGTGTGTCAAATTATTTCTCAGGAATAGTTTACAAGTGAGGCACACACTTTATGTCATTTTCATTAATCACTCAGTCACTTCTGAGTGCCACAACTATTTCAGGATTTTATGTTACATATTTCAATTAAATACATAGGTAAGACCTTCCTAAAAGTGAAAGTCTGAATGATTTTTTAACAAATTCTGTAGCTTACTAAGTTTCTTGTTTTGCGCTGCTTACAAATTATGTTCATGGCAAAAAGAGAAGGGGCACCCGGAGGGAGGGGGGTGACATTCCCGCTGAGAGAATGGGATGTTCGAGCTGGGACTTTCAAGCCAGGGGGACGCTCGGTATTCTCTCAAACAAAATACTCAGTGCTTTCATATGTAGTGAAGTAAAAGTAAAAAGTATCAGTTCCAAATGTACTTAAGTAAAGTAGGTTACAGATACCTAAAATTTACAGCTAAGTACAGTTTTTACTAGTTTTACTCTGTTTTACCCTGCCTTATACCATAGCTGGGACAAAACAACAATTCTTGACAGAAATAAGGCTACAAATAATAGAAATGCAATCTTACCATGTCAATATTTGGTTTTATTTTACAGCAGACCGCTTTTGTCCTGTTTGTATTCTCCATGGCTATCCTGGTCCCTGCTGGCTGGATCATGCATCACATTCCAGAGTATCGCCGGAGATCTTCTGAGACCACATCGGACTAAAAACAGAAAAAAATCTATAAACATATAAACATGTACACCAATAAATAATACTGCTATTATATGTTTATTATCTCTCATTTACATAATATTAAACCCTGTTATACTGTATGTGTATTTGAGTACAGTGTCTGGAGCTGGAGCGTTGGGTTAGTGTGTTATTGCAGGTGCAGTGTTGATTATATGGACAGGATGTGGCTCTGTTATCTGATGTGAAATATTTACCCAAACACGGCCATTGTGAGAAGCCTGTTTACTCTCAATCTATAGGGCCTGATTATATTGTCTACTATCCATCGCATGTCAAAAATGTCCTGATTTATGTTTAAAGATGTGCTGCATATTAGGCTTTTAGCATTAAAGGTACTATATTAAGCAAAAAATGACACCTTGTGAGTTTTAAGCCATGTTTTAATGTTGTTACCTCCTCAAAAACAACCCTGGAGCTGTGTTTCATTCACACATGTTTGAGTAATGCTGCATTGTTAGGCTATCTACATCTCCAAAGCTGAAAATGAGGGTAGAGAGTAAAGATTGTAAATTTCAGGGCTGAAAATCCAAATCATTCTAGTGAAGATGTATGGAGTTGTGGAGCCCTTTCTGTAAGCTATTATCACAGATTGGAACAGAATGTTTTGAGAGAACTAAATATGGTAAGGATTGTGTGTTAAACATGTGTAAATGAAACAAAACACAGTGCACTTTCGATTCAATATGACATATTTCAAATCAATTCGATACGTTTCAATAAAAAATAAAGGCTAAATCATGACTGTGATATTAAAAGTCTTTGTTAAACTGCTTCTTGTGCAAAGTTCATTATGAAAAAAAAACATTTTAATCATCAAAACTGTGAAAATGTCAAATGTGCTGCATAAACAAGTTTCCTTTCTCTGAACAAGCAGCAAAACTGTAGCACTGTAACAAAATAATTTGTAAAATATAACAAAAAATACTCTTGGTGGTATATCGATACAACAGCCCACAATATCGATACTGTATCATCACATTAAATGATACTATATATCGATATTTATGCACAGCCCTACTGCCAAGTATGTTTTTGATGAGGAAACAACACTATTATAACATAGATCAGAAAATAGAGTAATATAGGACCTTTAAACTATAATTTAAGTAGATCATTACTTTGTTCATTGTAAACTGGAGTATTGAAGAGAAGCTCTACCTATGAAATTTAAACATAGCATGCAGTGAATTGTCATTTACAGTGGTAGGGGTAGATGAAAATAGGAATTTTCTGAGCATTCAAGCAGAACAATACAGATTTAATGTGTGAATAAATGAAAATATAACTTTGAGTAAACTAATAATGGGGGGACATCTAACATAACATTTGATTTTATAATAATAATATTCCCCCTTTAAGAATCCAAGTCAATTAGTCTATGTTTTGCTAACTAAAATGGGATAGGCTAATGTTTAAGCTTTGATACTCTAACCATCTGTTGCATGTTTAATATTTGGATCTGAATTTAGGCGTATGTACGTGTGGCTTAATATAGACAGGTCAACATTTCTTCATTTCTTCATAACTGTCTTGTTGTCTGCTCAAATAGGACTATTGGTGAAATCTTGAATGACAATTTGTCAAAACGCGGATTAGTCCATTTGGAAAGGTACGTCGTGTGGTCGATTACGCACAGTCTCATTAACGCCAAAAACGACCACGCAATATTCCAGGGAGCTCGAAGCTACGTCAATATTAGTATTACGGTTTCGTTTAGCAAAAGATGTGATAAAACAATGTCATTCTCGCGGAGAGTGAGTGTGCAAGCCCCCAGCGCGGAGTGGTACATCCAAGACAACCTCGCGTCGGAAGGGGGGGCATAGTCACTTTTTCACGACCCGGAGAAACACAGCGAACGCCGGTGAAGAAAACAGTCAAACATTTGCTACCGTGGGCTGCATGTTTCCTCAAGAGTCCTCAAAATGTCTACGAAGGCAGAGCAATGTGAGTACCAGCCGATTCAACACACGCGCGCCATCCATTTACGATCGTGCTATTTTGACAAACTGGTGATGAAGATTTGGGTTTGGAAATTAGAAAGCGAAACGAAATGGGAGCTGTCCTTGGTGATGAAAACGGTTACCAAGGCAGGTTGCAACACGTCCTTTCGCTGCAGACGGTGGCTTGAGGGCTCCGTGCACGTTTTCCAACCTGTTAAAAAAATAAAAAATAAAAATCTCCGATATCACACCAGCCGACGTCATGTTTTTTGATTGACGCGCGTAAAAAAGGCGAATGTAAAAATGTAGGCTACGTTGCCGCTCTCAAGGTCGAGCTGACGGGTTCTTTTCTCAACAATATGGTGGCAAAAGATTGATCAGGAGATGTGGTTTGGATACTCGAGCCATTAAACGTTTCCTTTGCGTTTTGTCGATATTTTTTGAACAGGTGGAAGGGCAACCCACAACTCCAGTGCAATGGATACACCTGCTGCTAGTCTCGTCGTTCAATATGACAGAATATAATGTACTACAAAACAAGCCCAAACAAGACCAAAAACTGCCACAATTTGTCGTAATAATTAGTATTTTCATTCAAAACCACCACCAGAAAGCAGTTTTGTAGCTTGGTGAGGTAGCTACACTGTCCAAAATGATCACAAAAGCTGCTCTGATTTTTAACTAGAATACTTATAACATATCCTAACATATTCAGAGTTCATATTTGCATTCATAAGAGTGGCCTGAAGCAATGTCTCACTCTGTAAGCTTAAGGCTGTTTGCTTTAATTGTAGTGGTAGAGTTGAACCGGCAACCTTTAGTTCATAATAATAGGTTACTGCCTCCTCTAGGGCTCATGCATCCTCGCTGAACACTAAGGAGGTCACTTGGTGTAGGCTACAGAGCCAAATAACTAACATTCAAGAAAAAGGAAACAGTTATGACAAGATATACAGTATTTTTAGACTGGGTACTGGATGAATAATAGCTTTATCTAATTGTGTAGTTATAATGTGACAGAATTTTCATCGCACTTGCTATGTTATCGTATTCTAAACTCACTCTGTTGCATAAAAAGTTGCTTATAAATGATTATTAAATTAAATACAACACAAAGGGCTGCACAACTGGTTGTAATTGAATCGAAATAGCAATTTGAATAGTCGCAATTCTCAAACTGCAAAGGCTGCAGTTATATAAGGAATAGAATGTGATCTGCAAACAACACAACATCTTGTTTTTTATACAATACAATATTTACAGCAATGTTTTTATTACCAGTCGTGCAGCCCTACATCATAATAAATCAATATACAATTCATGATGTTTACCACCTGCTTGTCTTGTCTTGTCGTGAAGATGTTATTGCTTTGTCTGGAATGTTCCTCAGTATGGCATTAAAGGGTTCTTATTATGCTGTTTTCTGATCTATGTTATAATGTTTCCTGATCAAAAACACACTTGGAGTTGTATTTTGTTTCATTCACACATATTTAACACACAAACCCTGCATGTTTAGGCTGAGTTCTTCTCTTAAACGGAAAACAGTCTGTTCCACCCTGTGATGTCATGTGGTAATACAGGAAGAGCTCCACTGTGTTTTTAAACTCCATATATCTTCAGTAGAAACATTAGGATAATCTTAGCCCTGGAAATGCCAATCTCTACTGAACAAAAGGTGAAAAGGTAAGCTGCTGACTTGAAAACTACAGCTTCATGACATCACAAGGTGGAACAGAGCATTTTGAGTTTTGGAGATGTTGACAGACAATAATAAAAGGTTACTCAAACATGTGTGAATGAAACAAAACACAACTCCAGGTATGTTTTGAGGAGGTAACAATGTTATAATATACATTTTGCATAATATAGGACCTTAAAGCATATCTGTTGCTTTGTAGATAAACAAATAGTGTCACCAAGCCAAATTAAAGGTCAGGTCTATGGAGAGGCAAGTCATCTCACAGTAAGAATGCCAGTTATTTTTGAGCACTTGAAAGCACCTGAAATGAAATAATTACATAAAGAAGTTTAATGCCATATTGTGGGACAATCCAGGCAAAGCAATAACTCAGAATTTCCTCATGTGTTTTGTTTTTTGCGTTTGTTGATAGTGTGTTTTGTCTGCTCCTTTCAGTTGCCTCTAAGATACGATACTTACAAGAGTATCACAACCGCGTACAGCACAATATTTATCCTGTGCCCTCCGGAACAGACATCGCCAACACTCTGAAATACTTCTCCCAGACTCTGCTCAGGTAAGTACCCTGCACAGGTAACACAAGTAGAGCAACTCTTACTGTATCACACATAGATTACTTCAACACCAGGCTATCTTATTCACGTACAGTAGAAAATCTGCAAAAGCTAAAATGACTTGATTTGCGTAGATTTGAGCAGTAATTATGCCTGGATTATGTAACTTGCTTTTCTCACTGGGTAATGACTTGAAGAAAAAAAAATGCTTTCAATATATTTGACTAAAGTTAAACCAATATAAGCTATTGGCTCTCAAACTTGTTACATCAAGTAGCACAAAACAAAAGATTTGTCGAATATATAACAGAACTATTCCAAGTCTAATATAGGTTCAAATTAGGTCGAAAACTGGACTATATTTCCATTGTAGTTCTAAACAAGACATAACACACAGGAGCATAGAAAAGTGGATCAAATGAATTTTAAATTAGGCAAACTCACAAACTGAAGAGCTGTCAAGGTATGACCTGAAGCAGCTCATGTATTTTTAATCATTTTTACATATGGACAAGAATGGGTTGGTAATCAAAACCTCTTTTCTTAAAACATGCCATGTTGTATAATCAATACAGTCTACAGGCAAACTCTAGCTATACTTTTTTTGTAATTTTGTTATTATTAGTCAAATGAATAGTTGTAGCCTTATCTGTTATAATGTATTGTTATATTTTCAAATGTATGATTCATATTTGACACAAAGAAGATTATCCAATAAAACAAAACTTGTCAAAACAACAAGTTGAATCCATGCTTTGAATTCAAGTCATTCTAACTTATGTGGATACTAGACACATTACAGCACTATAATCAAGTACACACAAGCTCATATTAGTGCATGCAGGCTGCAGGTTAAGCAGGAGCAGAGGTAGGCCGCGAGCTGAGCGCTGAGCATTGATTGAGTGTGGAGGTGATAGATAAAATCGAGCATGTCCTTCCCCGAGGGACGAGCAAGGGCCAACTCCTCTGGATGTGCAGTCACAGGGTCAGTGTGATCCCCAGAGTGCAGAGAGAGCGAGGGAGAGAGGGATAGAGACAGAGGAGAGATGGAGAGAAGGATGGAGAGAGGGAGAGAGATGGAGAGAAGGATGGAGAGAGAGGGAAGGAGGCTAGAAGAGGAAAAGCCTGACATGTTCCACCTCAATTCAGGTCATGTCGGCAGCCATTTTGGTGTCTTGATGTTTTTACCTTTTAGATTCCTGGAATTAGATAAATGCAGTGTCATAGAGATGAACTTTTATGATACCAAACAGTAATATTCATAGTCAAAAAACAAAAAAAACAAACAAACAAATGACAGTATGTTACGTCGATCATAAAACTTCGCTCCATTTCAGTGCAGCAAAAATGAAATAACAATCTCTCTGAAATGACAATAAGGATTTTCACTGTGATGGTCTGACTGTTTTATGAGAAAATGCTGCATTCCTTGTTTCGTCCAACTTTTAAACCTCTAAATTTGATAGCGAGAAACTGACAGATATTTGGGCCGCTAAAAAAGGGGCAATTATTCTGCACTGAATAAAAAAACAGCAACTGTAAGAAAACCCAACAGAAAACACAAGATTTTAAGAAAGTTAATTTTAAAGCATTATATTTTTATGCAGTGAATATTTTAAACTCGATTCTATGTAAAAAAAACAAATCAGTTCTTCAATTCAAATGCAAAAAAATATAATAATGCCATAGATTCAGTGTTAAATAAAAGCTTTGGTAACAAAAGACACAAAATAACCTTCATATGTAACATAAAGAAGACTGAAATATGAACTGATAAACTAATACAAGACTCCCATACATTTCAGAACATGTTTGTAGAGTACAGATATAGATCTTTCTACAAACTCAACTCAAATTTCAATTCAATTTCTCTCTGTCAGCCCCTGTATGCCCCTATTTGTGACCTCTATATCTTCAGCAGAACAGACGGAGCCAGGCCAGAGCTGCCATTCTCGGAGCCTGTGCTAATTTGAGCCAGTCTCCAAGTGGCCTGAATCTGCTCTCAATGATGTCACGAGCCTCAATCTGAACATAATATCTTCTTTTCACGGATTATCTATATTCTTGTGATGCGGATAGAAGAGAATATTAAAAGTGCTTCACGGAAATTGGCACAAGCAAGTCTTAAAAAGTAGAGCGCTGTGTCATGTTCTTTGAGAGAATCGCCAAATGGCCAAAGGTGCTGCTTAGTCACTCATTCATATTCCAGATTTAGTTCTTGCGTGGATGGAGAGCTGAGATGTTTTTGAATCTAATGACCATTCCTTCAAGTCACCATAGCAATATTTATGAAATGTGGGCTAGTGTTTTCACAATACAAAAAATAACTTGATTTCGATACTGAGGAATAGACTGGATACTCAATACTAGAATATAATGTCATTTTCATCATTAAATCGTAGTACTTTCTTTTATATTACCATGTGGCCTTATATTTGTGTAATCTTCATCCAAGTAGGTTCCATAGCGGTCCATGGGTGTATACTAGTCTTTGTGATCTTATACTTAATCTGAAAGGTTAATTTCTGTCCTAAATGTGACTTTTTTAGTATCGATATCTGCTCAAATAAGTATAGTATAGTAGTTTTAGTATTAATTAGCAGGGATGTAACAATAACTGAAATATCGTGATATCGTATCGTCAAAGTTCTCACAATAATATCGTGTACCATCACAATATATCGAATTACAAGTCTCTTTGCTTAAATTAAGAGTTATGGTGCAGCAATAACTAAAAAAAAAACAGAGGGAACTACATAGACCATGATCCTTTGCGCCGTTTCAGTGCAGACTATAGAACAGTTCTAAGCACTTTTAAGTCTGAGTTGTTTGGATTAAGTCTTGTCAAGACATTTTAAGAGGAAAAAGTAGCATATTAACAGTTTTATTAGCCTCCACAAAATATCACAATAAATGTCGTACCCAGAGATTTGGATATCGTTACATCTCTAATCGTGAGCTTTCCCACGATATCACAATAAATATCGTACCGTGAGGTTCATATCATGACAATATCGTATCGTGAGACCTGGATATCATTACACCCCTATTGATTAGTATCTGATTTTCGATACCCTTGTCTAGAAACTGATGTAATATTAGAAATGCAATTAAGAGAAGGGAGAGAATAATGCGTTTTTTGGGCTTGACATTGGTGGTGAAGAGGAGGAGATGGAGAGGATGAGAGGCTGATGGTTTTGCATCAGGGAGGGAGATAGGTGCAGTATAGTCAAAGCAGTGTGAAGAAAGAGGGGAGAGAAAGTGCATTTATTAGAATAGCTTGAATGACACAGGCTGAGTCTTCTTTACACTGACCACATATCAGTTGTTATACACTTAGTAGGCCTACAGCACACTTGTATGGTACAGTAGGCTTGGACAGTAGCTGTGTGTCATGTGTCTGTACAGTGCATTCTACATGTGTTTTGTGTGTCGTACTGTGTTGTGCAGGTGTGTGTGTGCGTGTGTGTACATTTGAGTGTGTCCTTGTGCACCAGTGTACAGTGTGTGAGCGGGTGTGTGTGTCTATGTTCATTGTTCAAACTAATGATGTTGTCTATGATCAAATGACGGCAGTGAAAAAGTCAAACTCTGGGATTCAGTACTTCAAATACAGAATATGTTTACTTTGAAGGTCAAATTGGCTCTTGGTGTGGAATTCCAGGGTATGACTTTGAGGGGATACTAAAGAAAATGTTTAGATGAATATTTCATGTTTTGCAGAAAAAATGTGGTACAAATCCCCTTTCTCACAAGCCAAAATGTGCAGTAACATTTTGAGGGATCCTTCAAAAATATTTGCATTTAAATGATAATATAGGCCAGTATTTTCACTACACAACTAAAGTTGAATAAAAGAGCGACGCTCTCTGGCCCTCCTCCCCTCCCTCTCCCTAGACTCCACACTACCCAACTAGTTTTGCTTTTGTTTTCTATCCCCAAATTGACTAGTCCACCACCTCCCCCAGGGGACAGCAAACACTATTGTCCATCCTACATTAGCTCACAAACATAATGCTACCGACCATCCCTGATACAACCTATTCCTTTGTCATTAGTGCCTCCTCTACCCTAGACTAGTGTGACATTTATTTTAGAAACCTGAATCCATATGCCTGTTGGATCTCATTCTTTCTCCTGATGATACTGAACAGTATCATAATGTATGCATACAGACATTATTTCTCTGGTGCAATAAACATGTGCTGTGACCTAGCTCTTTGGTCTAACTCACACACATGTTTATTACTGGCTCAAGCATGTTTCAAAAGTGTCACCTCTGTATTTTCCCCAACCAATTTGGTGTCACTCCCATCCTTGACAGCCCCACTAAAGACAAGGAAATTTCATTTGTTTTGCAAAATGAAAATTGGCCATTTTTGCATGTTAGCAACTAACCTTTTAATTGGATTATGGCAGCCATGGAGGGACAGTCTTTGACTCTGTCTCTTTTTGGAGAAGTATGGGGTTGCCACTGAAAACATGCCATTTTTTATATTTTTGCTCCTTGTCACCAGATACGCATGAGATGCAGTGATCATTGCAGTTTGTGCTCACACTTTGGTTGTCAAACATAGACAAAATGAGATGAATTCAAGTACAAAGTCACTCAGGGACAAATTGCCCAAGGCTTTAGTGACAAAGTGACCAGTGAGACACTGCATCCTATGTGGGGTTTATCTGGGTTTGTTTTTTTCTATTTACGCTGTCTCTGTAGTGCCATTTCAATGTAATGTGCTGTTTTTTTGTGTCTTTGTTGTCTCTTTTTTTCCCTTGTTCCCCTCCCTCCCCTCCCCTCCCTCCCCTCCCGCCCCGGAGCAGCATTCTGTCCCGCACAGGCAGGAAGGAGAACCAGGAAGCTCCCAATTTGGCCGTGCCCATGACCATGTGTCTTTTTCCTGTGCCATTCCCACTCACCCCATCTCTAAGACCACAAGTCAGTTCCATCAACCCTACAGTTACTCGCTCCCTCCTTTACAGCGTTCTGCGCGATGCCCCGTCCGACCGCGCGGGGCAGCAGAGTCGGGACGCTCAGCTCTCAGAGTACCCCTCTCTGGACTATCAGGGCCTCTATGTGACCCTCGTGACCCTGCTTGACCTGGTGCCCCTGCTGCAGCACGGGCAGCATGGTGAGTCAAGGCCCAGTGCACTCTACTCTATGTCATCCTCATCTGAGCCGCCTGGCCTGCATGAAGCCACCGCTGCTTTTTTGGCCTCGTTTTTTGTAAACTTGGGAAGAGAGACGCCGTGCTGCGGATATGGAAGCATGCATGGGGTGATGGGGAGCACGCTGGATCCTGTCAACCTAAGCGCTCATAAGCCATTGGAAATACAGCAGATATAGGCCTTCTTCTGTGTACCATACCTGACTGCATGTTTGTATTGTAAAGTGGGAGAAATGTTCACTTATGTTGTCATGTGCAAAAATAGATACAGTAGGTTTTATTGCTCATAGGAAAAAAGGTAATGTTTTTTTTTTTTCGTCAAACACACCGCGAGTACATCAGAGAATGACGTTTTTTGCATAATTGCTCTGACCTGCATCATACTCAATGCCGTTCTCATAAATATTTTACCATTGTTATAAAAAGCTTAAAAGCATGAACAGCCATCTCCTCGAGTAAAATGCTTCGCTTTTCCTGAGGGCGATCTGCGCCTCAGTAGCTGTTAAGGAAAGCGCACTGCCCACTTGTTTTGAAATGGTTTTCTCGCTGTTAATATTGAGATGTCATATTGATTTGTCATGTAAGGCTGCATACAGTGTGTGTATACTGTAAGTGCAGCTTATTGAATGAGTGTCTGTGTGTCTCTTGTCTTTTTGCCTCTGCCCTCTCTCATCAGATCTGGGACAGTCCATATTTTACACTACAACTTGCCTCCTGCCCTTTCTCAGTGACGATATTCTCAGCACTTTACCCTATACCATGATCTCCACTTTAGCCACTTTCCCCCCCTTCCTCCACAAAGACATCATTGAGTACTTGAGCACTTCTTTTCTTCCCATGGCCATATGTAAGTATGACTTCTGATACTATAATGAAGGCATGATATTTACAGCTTACATTGTTGCTATATGATAAATTAGGGGTGGGTGATATTGACAAAATTAATATTTCATTATCAGATTCTATTCTTGCAATCAATGAAAATGTCTTGGTTGAGATTCAAGTGTTGCACTAAAGAAGAATGCACCATAACAAATACACTACAAAGTTGTTGAGAAAAACATTTTATACCATTTTCTTTTTGAAAAATGTCTCTGCAAGTGACGCATATGTTCTATTTATTTTCCATAAAGTTTTTTCGTATCTTCTTTTAACAATATTTTTTATATTATAAAAAATATAGCATACTTGTTATTCTAATTTAGCAAATCTTCAGAACAACAATTTCAGTATTATTGATAATTCTGTCTCCCACCTCGAAATAGATACATAACATGGTAAAAAAAAAAGAAAAAAAGAAGGTTTGACCTGCATGAACATGATCAGCATGTTTGCATGTATATATGATAGAAGATATCATGTCGGATGCTAAAAAAGAAAGTGTTTTTCCTTGACTGTCCAGTGGGCTCCACTCGGAGGGAAGGGGGGGTGCCAGCGTACGTGAACCTCTCTGCGTCGTCCATGCTCATGATCGCCATGCAGTACACCTCCAACCCAGGTACCTCCTCTATCCTCTTCCATGTCAGTGTGCTCTGATTCAGAGAGTCAAATGTTCAAATGTTTAAATGTCCTCTTCATGTGTGCAGTGTATCACTGTCAGCTGCTCGAGTGTCTCATGAAGTACAAGCAGGAAGTGTGGAAGGTAACGATACAACCACATCACATACCACACATACTAAACTGAGATACTTTCAGTTCATTATTATTATTATTATTATTACCTAGAATAGTTTTGCATATAAAAGTACAAATATACATTGAATTTTAAGGTTTCTGATTATAAAAAAAATTAAAATAATTGGCTAATTGGCTAACTATTGGCTAACGGCTAATCATAGACTGAATAAAGAAGTGGACTAAGGGAGCATGACGTCACCCATAGCATTAGGAATAGGAATTTATTTATGGACAAAATAGTTAAATAAAAACACTGAACATCTGACAAAAATGACAGGCTCAGTACTGCTCTTACAGAGAGATGAGTGACAGTTTTTCAGTGTAACATCAGATGCTCACTTCCTAACGCGGCGGTTAGCGGGGTTAGCTATGTCCATTTATATATACAGTACAGTCTATGGTTTGAAATAGTCTACATTCATTTAAACAGCAGGTCTTTACTTATTTTAGCTACTAACCATCATCAATGATAGAAGAATTTGACACATCTCAGCATTAACCTTCTACTAACATTTTTAAAGATAGCCATTGCCAGAATTTGCATAACAGAATTACAATGAGTAGTACTTGTGTCGTAATACACCATGTTATTTTCCCTCCAGGATCTGCTGTACGTGATATCGTACGGTCCGTCCCAGGTCAAGCCTCCAGCCGTGCAGATGCTGTTTCATTACTGGCCTAATCTGAAACCTCCTGGGGCCATCAGTGAATACAGGGGTCTGCAGTACACCGGTCAGCCCATTATCAGCACTAATACTCCTCTCTGTGGTCATCCTGCTCTGACCAAGCCTAACGAAGTCTGTTTTATTCTCCTGTCCCCTCCTCCGCACGTCCTGCCTTACCCAATGGATCAGCCTGGAATCCCATTCACTGTCAACACATAGAGTGCCACAACGCCATCAATAAGCCTGCTGTTAAGGTGACATCTGCTTGCACTTTGTATAATCAGTGTTATCTTACTTCTAGCTATATCAGAATTAGTAATATTAATACAGTGAAAATTGGTATGTGAATGCAAATTACTTGAAAATGTGAAAATGCAAAAAAGTCGTGAGATGACTTTAAAAAAAGTATAATTATTATTTTTTTAAATCAATAACAGTAGGCCAATAATCGAGGAACATATGACACAATAGATAAATACAATTAAACCTGACATGAAAGAGGTTCTGATTGCTAGAGCACACTATCACAACACTAAGAGGGTGGCTCAGCACCACATCTTAGGCTGTAAACAACAAAAACAAACGACAAAAGAACTATCTTGTCCCTAACAATGTGTAAAAGTGTTGAGATAACAGATTTACTCTACCAAACAACTGAAATGTATCTACTACAGAGAAAACAAGTCTATTTCGAAACAGGAAATAATATGGTAGTGCGCCTCTGCTTGGCTTTACAACGAAATATGCTTAAAACTTTGTAGTCTGAGAGGGGGTATTATGCAAAATTGACTTATTGGAGCTTTCTACCATTTTATAATGTTATTCCCTCATCAAAAATATGTCTGAAGAGGTTTTATTTGTCATCCATGCATATTTGAGTAATCAATCAATTTCTCTCCTTACGGGTAGCAGTATGATTTTATCCAAGACAGTATGATTCGAGTGGATTATTCGCTCTCAGCATAAAAACATCATTGGTTGAGCAATCAAATCCACTGACCCACAGGTTGCCTGCTGTGATTCCAGCTCCCACAGATGAATGCTATTGTTGTGTACTTGGGCAAGACGCTTAACCCACCTAACCCCCAGTGTCTGTGTACACTGGTGAATGAATGTGTGTGTGAATGGGTGAGTGGTTCCTTGTTGTAAAGCGCTTTGAGTGCCTTGAAGGTGGAAAAGCGCTATATAAAAATGTGACCATTTACCATTCTACGTCATCCATGTTCCCACATGACAATTCTCTAGGGGTGTAACGATATCCAAGTCTCACGATACGATATCATCACGGTATGAACCTCACAGTGCGATATCGTGGGAAAGCTCACGATATGGTGGGGAGGCTCACAATTAGGGATGTAACAATATCCAAATCTCTCGGTATGATTTTTTCATGATATACATCTCACGGTACGATATTTATTGCGATATTTTGTGGAGGTTAACAAAATTGTGAATATGCGACTTTTTCCTCTTAAAATGCCTTGATAAGAATCCAAAGAACTAAGACTTTAAAGTGCTTAGAACTGTTATTTCTTCTTGTAGTCTGCACTGAATTGGAGCAAAGGATCATGGTCTGGATCATGTAGTTCTCTCTGTCTTTTTTTCAGCTGTTTCTGCACCATAACTCTTAATTTAAGCAAAGAGACTTGTAATTTGATATATTGTGATGATCCACGATATTATTATGAGAACTCTGACGATACAATCACAATATTTCGGTTATTGTTACACCCCTACAATTCTCCATAATTATAGTATTCAGAAGCATGATACAAAACAATACGCTACAACTTCACAAACCTGATGCGATGTGCTGAGTCTTCAAATTATTACAGACATTAATTTTGCTGTGTTTATGGTTATTTTGGTGGTCTCAGCCTGTATACAACCTTGCTAACCCATAGTTAAAATACTCTGAAATGGTCATTCTTGTGTCACTGTAACATCTAGAAATTCACTTCATCACGCATGGACTAAAACTTAAAATATCAAAAATTAAAATCTAATTGCAGTCACTTTCAATTATTTCACGTTAAGTATGAAAAATCTATCCAATATTTTTCAGCTTACCTTCTTCTAACATCCTTAAAACTGTTATTTGTTGAGAAAACCTTCACCATCTGCTGTTCAGTGAGGCTGTAGGCTTTTGTGCTCTCTCTGGCAGGGCCCATAGTAAATAAATCAGCGAGTACCCGGGCAGCCGCTTGAGTGTGGCAATGATATCAGCTTACTTTAAACACGCCAGGCCTGTCTTTTTGTTTTATGCGCTCTGCTGCCTTGACTTAACGCTGGAACAGGACCACAAATTGAGAAAGGGGAACGCGGACAAGAGGCACATTTCAATTATCAGGATGGCGAGGTGGTAAAGGGGGAGGAGGGGGAGGAGGGATGGGTGTCTTAATTGGATGCGGTGACCCCTTCATGGCCCATGAGCAAAGGGTGGCATCCAACGAGCTTTGTAAATTACAGTGCGCCATCTGAACGGTGAGGAGAAGAGGGGTTTTAAACAGAGCCGGGCATGGGGTGTAAGGGAGCAGAGTGGAGCATATGTAGCTGGTCACTCATCCGTTCAGAGTCACAGGGAGAGCTTAAGGTTCATGTGATGTCATAGCATTTTAAAGGGCACATGTTTGTTATTTTTTCGATCTATGTTAAAATTTGCTTATCACAGACATAACTGGAGTTGTGATGAAGAAAAGATGTAGAGTGCTTCACTGGGTCATAAAAAAGTTAAAAATAGCAGTACAGGTGCTCTACGAGGGTTAAACCTGTAATCTTAACAGAATGTAGCCCTTACTGAAACATATAAAAGTGGACAAGATACAAACCCGAGGCACTCCGACTGAGTATATTAAAAGTCCTTCATTACATGGAGGGACGCTGATGTGTTACGACCAGCAAGATGGTCTTTGTCAGGGCATCATGATACCTGGAATTGTGTTTTATTTACACATATTTAAAACACAAACCCTGCATATTTAGGGTTAGTTCTTCTCTCAAACAGAAAATACTCTAGACTGATCCACCATGTCATTTGGCAATGCATTTCAACCCTGGAATTTCCAATCTCTATGGAATTAAAGGTAAAAAGAGCTGTTAACTTGAAAACTACCGCTTCATGACATCACAAGGTGAAGCAGAGCCTTTGGAGCTTTGGAAATGTAGGCAGACTAATAATAAAGGATTACTCAAACAACAAAACGCAACTACAGGTATGTTTTTGATGAGGTAACAAATACTAATATGGTTTAGAGCTCACAAGAGTCAGTTTTGCATAATTTTGCATAATACACATCTGCTTCTCCGCACGGAGATGTTTCAGTCTGGAATGTTCAGCAGTATGGCATTAAACTGATCTTTCCACAGAGACAAGCAGGTGACAGCAAGCGGCAAAGCTGATGCTACTCAAAAAAAAACAACAACTTGTGTGGAACATTCCTGCAAGCATAAGGCAGACCCTTCATTAGAAAATTAACATAATGCTCCTTTAATTAAAGTAAGAAAAAGCCTTACTAAGCCATAAATTAGTTTGTGTGTAATCACATAAAGAAGATAAATAGATGCACTCACAAGTAGGGGTGTAATGATATCCTAGTCTCACGATATGATATGATCACGGTATGAACCTCACAGTACGATATTTATTGCGATATCGGGGGAAAGTTCACGATATGGTGGGGAGGCTCGCGATCAGTGATGTAATAATATCCAAATCTCCCTGTATGATATTTTCACGATATACATTTCACGGTACGATATTTATTGTGATATTTTGTGGAGGCTAATATGCTACTTATTCCTCTTAAAATAACTTGACAAGATTTCATCCAAAGAACTAAGACTTAAAAGTGCTTAGAACTATTATTTCTTCTTGTAGTCTGCACTGAAATGGAGCGAAGGATCACTGTCTATGTAGTTCCCTCTGTCTTTTTTGAGCTATTGCTGCACCATAACTCTTAATTTAAGCAAAGAGACTTGTAATTCGATATATTGCGATGGTCCACGATATTATTGTGAGAACTCTGACAATACGATATCACGAAGACTACAACTGTACGGGAGTCGATGCAAAAACAATATTTATATAAAGACATATAAAACCTGGGAATCATGAGTTTAATCTGTCTTTTTACATACAGTATAAATAACAAAAAATACCAAAGCTTCAGCTAACTCACTCACCATTTTTCTTTTGTTGACCTATATACATCCTTATAATCTAAATAAAATGATTAGACAACAAATAAAATTTTTGGTTCACTAAAGCTTCATCAACCGATTCTCAGTCAACTGTCAAATACAAATACAGTAATATGATACTTTGAGGTTACTACCAGAAAAAAACACTGGACTGTGAAATGTCAATGTTACATCTCTTATACAAAAACTCCATAGTGTGTAACGCTGCTTCTTTGCCTGCACTGCACATCACTGTCTAATCTCTCTTGTCTCCGTTGCAGATGTGTATAGATCCGACCCTCTCCGTTGCCCTGGGAGATAAGCCCCCGCCCCTGTACATATGTGAGGAGTGTAGCCAGAGGATCGCAGGGTACGTGTCACACCCCCGTCTTTACAGTCAAACCATTACCCTCTGCCCACTACATTATTTCTCCATTTAACGTTGCCATAGTTACACAAGCCACTGGGCTCTATAATGAGATCATCATTACACAACCAGGCATCATTTGTTTCGCTATTTCTATACAGTTCATGCTCCGCAGATGAGTATTTCAGAGAGGGAAAAAGATAATTGACAGTTAACATGCTACTATCGCTTACACTTATAAATAAACCTAAAGATGTGATCCTTGTTCTTGTAGTGATCATGCGGAATGGCTTGTGGATGTTCTTCTACCACAAGGTAAGCCAACACAAGTGGATCTATTAGCGGTGTTGCTGATCAAAAATCAAATGCTAATCTAAATTAAAACTACTATCAAAATTAGATTCTCATTTGAGCAGGTATCGATACTAAAAACATCACATTCACAGGACAGATAAGAGCCTTTCCTGAATTAGAATGACCTTGAGCTGTATCAGAACAAGCATACATATGTAACAGACCTGAACAACCGAGGGATTACACAAATATAAGACCACATGGTAATATAAAAGAGTATACTGTGATTTAATGTTGAAAATGACACATTATTGTTGTCGAAATTGTAATTTTTGTACTGTAATGACACTAGTATCTGTTATTCTTATGAAATACCATTTTACTGTAGGATATATGCAGTGTGTAATATTATGTAATCATCCAGTTTTATAATAAGTCTTGTTTCTTGCAGCAGAGATATCGGCAATTTGTCAAAAGAAGGTAAGATACATTACATACATGGGTTGTTTTCAGTTTAACAATCTCCAAGTCTCAGATGGTTGGGCACTGAAGCCAGTATTCTAGTATAATTTATATAAGATAAGATTCAGCTTTATTTGTTGCACAATGGGGAAATTACAGTGTTGTTCAAGAACAGCAGGACAATCAGAACATACAATACAAGAACAAGACAAGAATAAATAGCATGGACTTCAATATGTTATAATATGCGTACAATAAGTGCAATAAGTGTACAGTGCAGGATATGGACAGATTAAAACACATATATAGTAGTACTTAGAATAATACAAAAGGGAAATCATTATTGCACTGTTTAAAGGTGCTCTATGTAGCTTTTCTTCCACTTGCTTATGTAAGTACAGTTTTGCCTGTCATGTTCCAAACTATGGCATTAAACAAAGCTATCTTGCATTTATTCCATTTAAGAAGCTATAGGTAAAAACATACTTGAAAACATGGATTCTAGCTGTGAGCAGGCGTTGCCTCCACAGATCTGACATGTAACTTAACCTCAGCGACCTGCTTTTCTTTATAGAGATAGATAATTATAATGGAACGCTAACATAACAGCAATAATAAAGCCGCAACCAGAAACAGTAACATAATTCATCTTTAACCACCAACCAAAACATTTTATCTACGGGTGTGCAAAAATATTGAAATATCGATATATCATATCATATAATGTGATGATACAGTATCAATATCATGGGCTGCTGTATCGATATATCGCCAAGAGTATTTTTTGGTATACTTTGTTGCTTGTTTAGTGGGAGGAAACATGTTTATGCGACACATTTGACATTTTCACTGTTTTGATTATTAAAATTGGTGTTTTTCATATTCACTTTGCACAACCAGTGGTTTAGCAAAGATTTTTAGTATCAAAGCCATGATTTAGCCTTTATTTTTTACTAAACCGTATCGAATCGATTAGAAATATATCATGTCGAATTGAAAGTATACTGTATCGAGATATGTATCGTATTGTGGCCTGTGTATCAAGGTATGTATCGTCAACTTCTTAATGATACCCAGCCCTAATTTTAGCAGAAGACATTATACCTGCATGTTTCAAAACACTATGTTCCTTTACTTTTTAAGTAGAGTATAGTTTGTGTTTTATAATGAAACCTAGCAAATCACTGTAACCGAGTTTTTCTATTAAGCGTCACCATTATCTTACCCTGAGATCTTAATCCCATGTCATTTTAGCATGCTCTCAATTTCACGCCGATTTATTAATGCATCACACGTTACAAAATCCATGCACTATAAAAAAAACGAAACACCAGTGCAAACATTACCTCCCCTTTCACTGTTAATCTTTTATGCCATTAATCACGATATTGTATCTATCCACAAGGTCATGTATATTCGGAGCGGTTTGTGTGAAGCCGCTGGGGCGTGATGTTTGTGAGCTTGTGGTGAATCTGTGGCTGAGGGCAAAAAATAGGTTTGCAGATTAAAGCCTACAAAGACTCAGGTGTGAGGCGGTCTACGGCAACAGAAGAATATTTAAAATTTCTTGGATTACAGTTATGATCATTTAGAAATAAAACAGGAATATATCGTTTTTATTTTTATGCTTGTATATACATTTAGATATGGAGAGTAGAGTCAAATAGACCCTTTAAAGCTGCCATCTCTAATTAAATTGGTCGATTCCCCTGGTGTATTCTCACATATCACCACTAGATGCTATCTTTGTTACTGCTGTCTGATGGTGTTGAATAGATTAGATTTGCCCGGACAGAAGAAAACCAGAGAGAGAGGGGTTTCATATTTGTTATATATCTACTGGAGAAAGAAAAAAACAAAAAACTTGCAGATGATAGTTTTAAAATGCTTCCTCATCAAAGTGTTCAAAATTCAATAATCACGGAAACTGGAGGCAAAATGAAGACTGAAATATATTTCTTATTATCTGATGTTAGTTTTAGATGCTAATGGTTTAAAATCTGAATTAATCCCGCTCCCGCCTGCACCCACAAAGAATTGTAATTTTCATTCCCGCTCCTGCCCTCATTCCGATATTTTGTCCCACTCCCTCCCACAAATCCCGCAAGATGGGAATGTTCGCTTTCTTAAGATCTATCAAACACAGAGAAGCGGAAAGGACTTGTCTAAAATATGCGCAAGATTAACCCACGTCTGTAAGTTTAGACTGCTTAAAATGTTTTTATTGAGGCCAAATAAAATATCCAGCACAAATTATGTATGAAAGGCATACATTAATCATTTGTATATTTTACTTTACACACAATATTTAGTTTGCAGGGCTGCAGTTTATCATCCCACGCACCCACTTCCGCATTGTGCAGTCCCACTCCCCCCCGCGCCCGCAATGAACTTTCAAAACGTGTCTGAATAACAAAAATAAGCAACAATTTCAAATTTCCGGAGTGGAAATGTCAGTGGGTTTGCTCCTGAAAAACATGAAAACTGTACTCAAAATTTCATTTCATTTACATAAAAAGAATAATTTGTAGTATGTAAAAGCATGTATATGTCTAAGTAAGTAAGTAATATTTTGAATAATTCAGATGCATTTTTTTTTTATCAACTTGTAACATATTTTATTGTTATTTTCAACATTCAACATTACTTTGTACTCAGTAGTCTCCCACAACTCGTATTTTTCCATCTATTTTGTCCAGCAGTTCGAGCCCTAAGCCTACTTTTATTAAATAGCATGTCCCAATTTTGCTGAAAGCCTTTGAACTCACCATTTGAGTTTTCCGTGACCTAACAGAGAGTTTTAGTTGTTGCGGGCCAGACCACCTGAGGGGAGCGAGGGGGGAGTCTGTTCATTTGATAAAGAGCAGCGCATCTCTCTAATGGCACAAGATTAGTGGCTGATCAGATTAGGGGGGGTCCTCTGGTGGGATCCTTTTTATTTTTAGAAATATGAGACTGTCTGGGGATAGTGGAAGCATCATTATATGGGCACCAGTGTAATTTGATAAGAAACAAAGGAGCATTTTAAATATATTCAAATGACTTAACAAATCATAGAAAATGAATGATTAATGTGAAATTAAAACATCGCAAGTTGACAATCTGGCCAACATGAATCAAAATAAGTCCAACGTTTTACTCAGTTTCTTTAAAAATGATAGAGAACATATACCAGTACTGTCATTTTGCCGTTGAGCAAGATTTAAAATTGATAATGTAACTACAGAAAGAGTACTTGAACACACATTTCTTGGTGTTACTCTTGATCACAAAGTTTGTTGGAAACCCCACATTAATAAAATTAAAACCAAAATTGCAAAAGTTATAGCCTTGATGAACAAATCAAATTTTTTCCTAAATAAAAAAGCCCTGTATACAGTCTACTGTACTCTTTTCTTACCCCATTTAAGTTACTGTGTAGAGGTCTGGGGAAATTCCTATAAAAGTAACACAGACATATTGTTTAAGTTACAAAAAAAGCAATACGAATAGCTCACTTACTCTGACTTTTTTGCCAATCAAAGATACTGAAATTTGGGGACCTGGTAAAATTTAAAACATGCCAAATCTTATTTAAAGCGAAACTCAACCATGCTACTCTTTTTGAGCACCAGGTCCCAAATATGTACATCTACATATCCTTGTTTTGTTTTTTTGTTAATATTGTTGATTTTGTTTTACCTTACTCAAACAAATAAATAGAATGGAAAAAATGAATGCATATCCTGGTAAATCATCACATATGTTGCTCACTTTGGTGATCTTTGATGACTATAGGAATATACAATGACTTTCTATACAGGGTCAGCTTAATTAAATCAAAATTTCTGTTAAAAAAATGAAATGAAAATAAATCAGCGTATATGATTTCTTGATTCAACATTGTTATTACTTTATTTAATCCTTCTGTAATTCATTTATAATCACAAATCATTCTAAAATAGATAAATGTTGACATATCCTTACTCTTCTCTCTGTGCTTTTCCTCGCCCTTGCAGAACTGTAGCTCTCACGTCAGGCGCGCCGTGGTCACCTGCTTCTCGGCCGGCTGCTGCGGGCGCCATGGCAACCGGCCGGTCCGCTACTGCAAGCGTTGCCATGTCAACCATCACAGCGAGGTGGGGGCTGCGGCGGAGACCCATCTGTACCAGACCTCGCCGCCTCCCATCAACACCCGGGAGTGCGGAGCGGAGGAGCTGGTGTGCACCGTGGAGGCTGTCATAAGGTGCACGCGGCGTCTATAGTGGCTTATGTTGTGGCATATGCTGTTAGTCTGGGGATGTAAATGAGAGAATGGAAGGTTTAGCTGGATTTATTCACATTCAAGTGGTGCGTGACATTGGCAATTAGGAATACATTATTTGGATTCTCTTATCAAATCATGTTTTTGCAATTTATCTGACTTTGTGAACCTTCTAAACAACAACATAACATTTGCAGGGTTCCCACGGACATGGAAATCCTGGACGTTTTGGGAAAGTCATGGAATTTTAGTATCTCTTTCACGCAACTACAGCGTTTTGTTAAGTTATCATTAGGCTATTATGATTATTTCCAAACATATGCGCCTTTTGTTTTAAAGAGACAACAATAAATGCACTGACAGTATTTTGAATGTTAATAAAAAAAAAAAAAACAATAAACAATGTAACAATAACCAAAATATCGTGATATTGTATCGTCAAAAGTCTCACAATAATATCTCTCAATATATCAAATTACAAGTTCCTTTGCTTAAATGCATGGTTTTATAGTAGCAACAGCTTATAAACATCGGGAACTACATATCCCATGATTCATTTCAGTGCAGACAACATGAAGAGATATGTTCTTTACTTGAATTCTTGGGATTATGACAGAAATAATTCACACCAAAATTTTGTCAAGGTATTTTAAAAGCAAAAAAGTTTCCTGTCTCCAACATATTGCCATAAATATCGTACCATAAGATGCATATCATGATAATATCGTACCAAGAGATTTGGATATCGTTACATCCATATTAAAAAAAATATAATACCAAACCATAAGGTGAGTGGAAAGGGTTAACATTTCATATTTAGCCCTAAAAGTATGATCAATTTTACACATGTAGGGTGCCGTAAAGTCATGGAAAATTCACTTTAGGTCATGAAAAAGTCATGGAAAAGTTTTGAAATTTTGTCAGTGAAAAATAGTGGGAACCCTGCAGTTTGTAGACAATATATGACCCAGCTCTAGATTATTCCATTATAAATCAATGGATGGGCACTATTTTTTTTATCAAGAAATTGAACTTTGTGTCCATTCTTGTTTTATAGACCTTGTTACTACCAAAATGTTACACATAAACCATGTCAAAACCATAGACTGTATGAAGAAGTGGACTAAAGGAGCCATAGTCACTTCCTATTTGGAGCACGGTTCGCTATGTCCATTTATATAAACAGGCTATGGTAAAAACATGAGGTGTTCACTTTTTTTGCAGCATATTCTATCATAGATGAGTCCTTGATCTATAATCTATATCTATATTGTTGTTTTTTTCTTCAGAATATTTTGAACACACATGAACGCACCCAGTTTATTACAATGCATTCTCCATCATTTCTGTCTGTCCCCAGTCTACTCAAAGAGGCAGAGATCCATGCTGAGCAGCGAGAGTTTGAGCTGAACCGACGCAGACAAATGGGCCTGTCCTCGTCCCATCACTCCCTTGACAACATCGAGTACGACAACAAGGAGGACGACCAGCACGACCAGCGCCTCCTCAGTCAGTTTGGCATTTGGTTCCTGGTATGTGATCTGCCCATCCATTGTCGATGTGATATTTTTGCTGATGAAAACTAGTAACTGAGAACAACAGCTCAGAGTCCTGCATTTTTGGAGACCCGTACCTGCCTGCACCTGCACAGTAGAGCATCACATCCGCCGTTAACTCATGATTATATCAAAGTTAAATCCGCACCCACCCGGATCCATTAACATTCCACCTGTTACCCACCAGTGCCCGTGATGAATTGGGGTCAGCCCATTAGTTCGGGCGTAAACCAGGTCTAAACCAGGACTGAACCTACGCAGATTTATTAATACGTGGACATTAGCATGCAAACCGCAGAGCCGGTCACCAGGACTAGACCAGGACTACACCAGGACTACACCAGGCCCGTTTCAGCAACTATTCATGGGTAACCAACCCAGTGCAGGACTGCAGGAACTACAGATTTTCCTATTGATAGCATTGTAATCTGTAATAGTTTTGATACCAGTTTTAGTATTTATTAGTATCTCTTTTTGATGTTTTTGACTTTTTTGTAAAGTCTACACTAAAATTACATATTGCACTAGTTAAAAGGCAAATACAAAAACTAAAAACTAAATTGAAAAGAGAAGTATCTATGTTCTCTTTCCCAGGTGAGCTTGTGCACGCCCAATGAGAACACCCCGACAGAGAGCCTGGCGCGCCTGGTCAGTATGGTGTTCCAGTGGTTCCACTCCACAGCCTACATGATGGATGACGAGGTGGGCAGTCTGGTGGAGAAGCTCAAGCCCCAGTTTGTCACCAAGTGGCTGAAGACCGTGTGTGAAGTGCGCTTTGACGTCATGGTCATGTGCCTGCTGCCCAAACCAGCTGAGTTCGCCAGGGTAAGGATGGTTCTGTACAGTTGGTCGATTGTGTTCATGTCATTCAACAATATTATTATCGTAGTTTCAGATGGAGGGCTATATTGAACATGTTTGGTTAGAAATTGGGTCCACTAATTTGCCATATTGCCCTTTCAGCTGACAACAGAGGTGGATAAAGTAGCCAAAAATTGTACTCAAGTAAAAGTAGCGTTACTTCAAAATAATATTACACAAGTAGAAGTAGAAAGCAGTGGTCAAGTACAAGTAAAAAAATGTTTGAGAGCACTACTATTTAAATAAGGATAACTTAAATAGTAACTGTTGGGACATAACAATTTATAGTTGTATTTGTAGTTGTTAATGTAAATGGAAAGACAAAACATTCAATAATGCACAAAATCTGGATTAAATAATCACCATTAAATTCAAAAATCAAAATTCATAAGATAGATACAAGGGCTCTGACCTGCTTTCCAAGAATGTTGTTGTGTGAATTAGGCAGATCTCATAATGAAAGATTTTGACATTTTGTGTGCAGTATGTTTTAAATACTGGATCGGTTTACCATCTTAAACTTGTGTCCAGGTGGGAGGATACTGGGACAAGTCCTGCAGTGCGGTGACTCAGCTGAAGGAGGGACTGAACAGGATCCTGTGTCTGATTCCTTATAATGTTATTAGCCAACCGCTGTGGGAGTGCTTTATGCCCGAGTGGCTGGAGGCCATCCGAACAGAGGTGCCAGACAACCAACTCAAAGAGTTTCGAGAAGTGCTCAGGTACTTTCTCCTGTACAATAATAAAAGTAGGATTAAAATGGGACAATTCAACAATACACTTTTCACAGCAGAGTAATCGAGATGTTGTCACGCCTTAAAGTGAAACTAAAGACTAGATCCACTTTTTTGGTTATGAAGCTGGTATATGGTATTTAAAAGCATGGATATTATGCATAATCAACTTTTTAGAGCTTTTAACCACGTAATAGTTTTTCTCTTACTCATTTACTCTCTCAAAGTTGTATTTGGAGTGATTTGTGCATGTTTGAGCAATTTTTAATCGCTTATTTCAAGACACCATATTGCCACTCAGCCTCAATTTTCACTGCAACCGGCATACACCCACTGTTTGTGTAATAATAAAGTGGAAATTGAAACATTTTTATAAAATGCTGGAGTTGGTGCTCAATCAAATTTAAACTGACTCTACAGTGTGTTGGATGTTTTCAGCAGTGCAGCAATGGTGCAGAAAGGACTTTATCCAAGCCTCTTCTATTTACTCTTTACAAATAGTTTTGGCTAATGTAGTTTTTTTTAGCTCAGTGGAGGAGCATAGCTTATAACCACTACTGGCTCTGACTGCTCTGGGTGATTTGCAATCTGAATAAGGCTGGTTGTAGCATTTTTTTCTTGAATAAACTGCTGCGGATGCATTTTTGTTTCTTTATTACCTCCGCCAAGGAGGTTATGTTTTTGCCGGCGTTTGTCTGTTTGTTTGTCTGTTTGTCTGTTTGTTTGTTTGTCTGTTAGCAACATAACTCAAAAAGTTATGGACCGATTTTGATTAAATTTTCAGGATTTGTTGGAAATGTGAAAAGGAACTGATTTCATTTTGGGAGTGATCCAGAAGAAATCCTGGATTCTGGATCACTTTGAAATTTTAATTAACATTGTGGTAAATGGGGCCAAAAATTTTGTTTCTCAATATCTCGGTTATTGACCAAACCCCATGAAATTTGACTCAGGGATGGACAATGGGATCCTCTTTCATATTCCAAAGGCTGATCCGGATCTGATCCAGAAGACTGATTTTATCGCAATTTATATAAAAAATGGGGGTAGTCCTTGGCGGAGGTCTGCGCTTTCTGAGTGCTTTTCTAGTCTGTTAATTAGTTACTTTCATCATAATGCAATTACTAACTTTTTGGGAGAAGGAACAAGTGACTATAACTAATAACTTTTTTGAAGGAACTTGCCCAACACTGTGTAATTCTATGGAGTAATTCTTATGCTATAGCATTGTACCTCATTGTCAGTCTGCTGCAAACCAATTAAAATACTCTAATTAAATCAATAACAGTAATTATTTGGAAATTGATCAATATGTTTTGTTTTTCTATATAATTTTCTATACTTCTTTCTTGCAGTAAAATGTTTGACATTGAGCTGTGCCCGCTGCCTTTCTCCATGGAGGAGATGTTTGGCTTCATCAGCTGCAGATTCTCTGGGTACCCGGCGTCAGTGCAGGAGCAGGCTCTTCTGTGGCTGCATGTAAGCGCTACACTACCATCCACACACACATGTCCTTGTCTGTCCCTGCCTGTGCCTGTCTGTCCCTGTCTGTACCTGTATGCCCCTGTCTGCCCCTGTATATTCCTGTCTGTCCCTGTTTTCCCCATACATGACTGTAGACGGGAGGTTAAAGGGGTCTGTTGTCCCGAACCCCAGAATTGGACCCTCTTCATTAGGAGTGTGCAAAAATATCGAAATATTGATATATCATATAGTTTAATGTGATGATACAGTATCGATATCGATATTTGGTATATTTTACTAAATTATTTTGTTACAGCTCTACAGTTTTGTTGCTTGTTTACAGGAAAGAAAGTTGTTTATGCAACACATTTGACATTTTCACTGTTTTGAGGATTAAAAATGGGTGTGTTTCATTTAACAAAGAGTTTTAGTATCACAGCCTTGATTTAAACTTTGTTTTTTATTGAACCGTATTGAATCGAATTGAAATATATCGTACTAAATTGAAAGTTGACTGTATTGAGATATGTATCGTATCATGGTCCTTGTATTGAGGTAACTTCTTAATGATACCCAGCCCTACTCTTCATTTGAGGCCTCTTGCCCCCAAATTTCTGTTGATAGGCTTGTTTCTATATATTCCTGTCTGTCCCTGTTTGTCCCTGTCTGTCCCTGTCTGTCCCTGCCTGCCCCTGCCTGCCCCTGTTTGTTCCTGTCTTTCCCTGTTTGTGGCCCCATGGTTTTGTCCACAGGGCCTGTATGAAACAGCTTGTCTCAGGTGTGAATATGGATCTGGGTCAGTGACAAAGACAGGGAGGCTTTCAGCTCATTTACACTCACAGTCTGGCTAATCTCAAATTATCAGAAGTGTGGCACATGGAATTCCCAGCGGTCTCCCATCCAAGCACTAACCAGGCCTCGTTTAGCTTCTGTGATCTGACAAGATCAGGGTTTGACAAGCCTGTATGGCCACATACATTCAAACACATATTCAACACCATATTCAAAACAAACTAAACTATACGCACCCATAGCATAAAAGGAAGTAGGAAGGAGAAAAACTTCTACATACAATATATAGTCCCATCCCATGTAAAAACTTAAAATAAATGTATCTCTTCTCTGCAGGTTTTGTCAGAGCTGGATATTGTGGTCCCTCTTCAGCTTCTTATCGGGATGTTCTCAGATGGTGTCAACTCTTTGAAGGAGCTGGCCAATCAGAGGAAGGCACGTGCTGATCTGTCTGGCAACACTGGGGCTCGCCGGGTGAGCCAGAGTTACTGTCCTAAAAGGGCAATGTCAGTTACATTTTAGTATCTGTCTCCCAGCAGACACAGCCCGGGTGACTTGGGTATGTCAATATAAGCATAGTCAATTAAGATTCTTTTAGAGTATTTCTGTTATATGGTGCCATTTTGAGCACAGCTCAGAATATTAAAATAATCTTACCTGCCCCCATCACAACTAAGCACTGCACTTGTGTAATGTTGTCATGCCATCAGAAACCCGGCCTAATTTCTCTCTTCGACTTTGCTTCTATTTTGACAATTCGCTGAGATGTACTGTAAGTTGCTATGGTAACTGGCAGGGTCTAAAAATAACTCTTTTAAGGGGATTAATTGAAGTTGACTGCGATGTAGCTTTATCACTGAAAACAAAGTGACCGCATATATGTCTTTGTTAAAATGGGATAGCTGCCAAAGCACTAAAAACGGGACATGCTCTTGATAGGTCTTGTTCATTTGATGTCATGACATTGTAACGTGCATATGGTTGGAAACTGAGGTTCAAGGCAACTAGGAATTCTACAGTTTTGGACTAGTTTTAAGGATAATATCAGATGGAGGGGCCAGTGTTACTAATTATCAGTCACACTTCCGCCCCCAAGGCAGCTGTTGCTTCCGCTTCAACAAAATTAACCGGAACCAGCGTAGACGTAGAGACGCATAGATTGAGAAGCAGAGGTCATGAAAAATATGACACACATGATTAACTTAATTCATACAAGCAGCCTGACCCGGGAGTTTACCTGCGTTTTGCCAGAACGGGATCATGTGTGAACAAAGCCACAGCTGATTTCACTGCATTTTTGAACTGGTAATTTCCCAGATAAATAACTGGGAATATACAAGGAAGGCTTATGCGTGAATAAAGCCAAACATTTGCCAGTGCCACTGCTTGGTTTTCTTGGTCACAAGCTTGATTTCCTAGCCAGGCTGGTGCCACCTAGTGCCTCCGCTCGATTTCATTTCTTTCCAGCGACTAGGTCAGGAATCAGAATAGGCTAGACGGTTTGTAAGAATCCCGTAAGTGCGAGTTCGGGCACCAGCCAATCAGCGAAGAGCCATACATTCTGTGTTGACAACGATTCCCGAGATCGAGGATTTAAAGGCGGAACAAAGAGAATGTTTGTTAAATTTTATCTTTCTACGGGATTTGGGAAAAGCTTAATATACCAGACATAAGTCATGACCAAATAGCAGCGATTGGTTAAATAAAAAAAATATCTGCCTACCGTCGAGTGAACGAATTCTAATGCTGTGAAGTCAGACGGTTTCCACGAAGTGAAACCTGCTGATGAATCTGGCTATTGATTTCCTGGTTGCACTATGTGATTAAAATCCAGTGCCACTGAAACTAAAAATGCAGAGAGCCAGTTGCCAGGTTATGTGTGAACAGCGCAGACCTGGCAATGTTCTGTGACTGGTGCATATATGAATTGGGGCCACAGCTGAGTTTTGGCATTTTATACTCAGCAATTTACTGGGAACTAAGTGTGAATGGGGCTGTAGATAGAGGGATTGTATTATTTCCTGTCATTTTCAACTTTTCTGTCTTGGATCTCTCCTCACAAACTGCTGTAAAACCAAGCATTATCCCACCAAACAAAGTAATTATTAGAAAAACTTAAAAACTTGGTATATGCAGTTTAACCCTGGTCCTCCCTGAGAGATTTTCTAGAGCATAGTTTTATATTTTTTTGCAGGTGAGTGTCGTGTCTGATCCAGGTCGCCGCGGGCAGCACAACACGCTGAGCCCGTTCCCCAGTCCATTTAGAAGCCCGTTCAGGAGCCCCCTGCGCTGTAGCCCCTTCAAAAACCTGGGTCACGCCACTGCCAACTGCGCCCTGGATCTGGACTGTGATGATGACGACATGAACCTGGGCTGCTTCATCCTCATGTTTGACCTAATTTTGAAGCAGGTGGGTACTGGCATCATGTACTCTTTAACAGGAATACCATATATCTTTACTTCCACTTGAGTTTTGTTTGAAGTAACACTCTCAAGGTAAATTTTGGTGACAACATCTTGATCATACTAAAAAATACAATAGCATTTCCACTTCTTACACCTTCAGATATGATTTGTATTCTGTCTATTCTTTGGAAACACCAGATTCTCTACTTTATTGTCCGACTGAATTAACTTATAACTCACGAATCAGATTTTAGATACATTTTAGTAGTAGTTTCTCAAAATATTTTTAATCTTACTTGAGCAATTCTTTGGGTACTTAATACTTCTACCTAAGTAAATATATTTTAAAGTAATGTTACTCTTACTTGCTACTCTACCCACCTCTGCCCTTTATTGGTTATGATGTTATATATTGCTGTATTTTTGGAAATATCTTAGTGGCACAATTAAAACAAAAATGTTCTTAGAAACATAACTCAGGTGTCCATGCCAAATGTAACACATGGAAAAAATATCACAAGAGAATTTTCCATGTGTGTGCACGATCTTGTGGCAATTGTATCTTGTTCGAACTTCACAGTCTTGTCCCATCCAGAGTTATTTCACAATATTTAGTTTCTTGAATGGAGATATTGGCCAACTATAATTATACTTTTGGTGCTTGACGTAAGGGAAACTGTTTTACATAATCCTCTGGCCTGACATTCTTGTAGCCTGCGCAGAGGTGGGATTTGGAGCTTTGCATGCTGTGTTCTATTTTGTGTGCCCCCGCTTGTTATGCCCATGTCCCCTGCTGTCCCAGATGGAGCTCCAGGACGACGGTGTGATGCTGGGTCTAGACAGCAGCCTGGGGAAGGATATCGTGGGCATCATCAACAACGTCTTTCAGGCCCCGTGGGGTGGCTCCCACACCTGCCAGAAGGATGAGAAGGCCCTGGAGTGCAGCCTGTGCCAATCCAGCATCCTGTGTTACCAGCTGGGCTGTGAGCTCCTGGAGAGGCTGACCCCCCGGGAGGAGATACGCCTGGTGGTGAGGCACAGCACGGTGTATACTGCATTCACAGCGCGTTAGCCAGGGAAATTTAGAGTGTGTTTTTCTCCCCAAAGGAAAAGTCACTTCTCTAATTTAGAGTGTAAACATGAATCACAAAACATTACTAATACATATATATATATAACTTGGTACTTCCTTTCATTGTTTTATAATACATGCCTAAGAAGAGGTGTTACACTTCTGTTGGATATTAAAAACAAAGTTAGATTGCCATGTTTCTGTTTTGGTTTGTAAATTAGTTTCAGTTTCATTTTTGAAGCTTTGTCACTCTGTCATTCGCCGTTTTGTGAGGGAAAGGCTGAGCAGGCTGGGGCCGTGTGGTGAGAGCATGGAGAGTGCAGCAGAGAGTTTCTTGGTTATGTGGGCTGAGGCTTACACAGGAGGCGTGGTCTTATACACCTAACCAAAAAGAAGGTTTGAATAGTGCCTGTGAGAGACCGCAAGATCACTCAAACATGCACAAATGATTCAGAAAACCACTTCAGGCATATTTTTGATGAGGGAACAACATTATAACATGGTAGAAAGAAAAAAATGATTTAGCATAACATCCCCTTTTTAATAAGTGCTATAAAGGTCTAGCATCAGTTTCTGCCCCATTATAAAGTCTCTTAAAGGTAGAAGGGGGTTAGGGTTAGGGTTAGGATTAGGGTTAGGCAAGGTAGCTACATCAGGTTCTTAATACACTGGGGGCCTTAAAGAGCCATTAAACACCCTCCCGAAGTTTTACTCTGCCTGCATCTGACTCATTGGCTCAAAATTCAAATGTCCTTGCTGTACTTGGTCCTAAAGAGGCCGTTACAAACACGGCTTTGACCCAAAAGTCAGATTTTTAACAAATATGCACTAAAATGCCAAAATAAGGCCAGGGATAGGGTATACATTTCTATTTTAGACCCATTTACAGAGCTTATCAGTAGAAAAAAAGTGATTTTGGTGTTTAATGGCCCTTTAAGTGACATGAAATACGCAAGATAAATTTTGTTTTGACAATATTCCATTAATAAAACCACCTTGTTAATCCTTAATTCTGTTTATTTCTGTAATTGAGAAAACATATTCCTGTCTTCTTTGTAAATAATATCCAAAAACCATGTCACTGTGTAAAATAAACACAGGAATGGTTCTTGTTTGTTTTCCTCCAGGAGCCCACAGACAGCCTGGAGGAGACCTTGATCCTGCCTCAGCCTCCAGACTTCTCCCTGGGGACAGAGACGGAAGAGAGCGAGGAGGGAGACAACCCCAGTGGCACCAACGCTGACAACCCCAGCAACCAGTCTCCTGACAATCCACGTATGAATGACTCCCACTGCTGTAAATACTTGTATCATAAAATTTTAAGTATCTTTAATATGCTGTTTTTTCTTTCGTTTTTTAGCATTGAGAAACAATTCAGACGTGAAGTTCTCTTACCAACAACTCCCAGTGTCCCTGAAGCTTATTTACACAGTCCTGCAGGTATTTCATTTGACTAGACATATGTACAGCAGTTTTACAAGAACAGTGTATTGGTGCTTGATTAACCTACACCTATTAGTGTTGTTGATTGTCAATTTCCATATAAGGAATAGTCCTGATACTCAATACTGATTCTGATACCACAATGATAATCTAAAACATTCTTTCTTTAGACAATAGAGTGTGATTTTCAGTATTAAATTGCAGTAATTTACATTTTATATTACCATGTGGTCTTATGTGGTCAGCATGTAATATGATTTGTTGTAGTTTTAAAGTCCATGTGAAGCTTGTCAAGTCCATTTAACTTAATATATAGGTATTAGTGTTGTCAAAAGTATTGAAAATCAGATACTAATCTAATCTGAAGATACTATTAAAACTACATACTTATTTGCGCAGGTATTGATACTAAAGAGTCTGTAATCTGTCCTCACTCTTTAGTATCAATACCTGTGCAAATAAGTATGCAGTTTTAATACTAGTTTAAGATTAGATTAGTATCTGATACTCGATACTTTTGACAACACAAAAACCTATATATTGAGTTAAATGGACTTGAAAAGCTATACATGCACTTTAAAACTACAACAAATCATCTTATATGCCAAATAAATACATTTTGTAATTATTATTAAGTGAAAAGTTAATTTGTTGAGATAGATTTAAGATATGGACATTGGCAAATATCAGTTATGGACCCCAACAGCAAAACAAGTATCCAATATCATGTTTAAGTTTCTTGTTATTGGCAACACACTGAGACTTTTTCCCATTCAAAGATATAATATTGTGTTTCACTATGGCAGCAGTGTTAATTTCTCATGGATTACCTGAAAATAAATACATATTGTAAATACAACATTTATCATTTATGCTGTTTTGTTAATGTGCTTAGGAAATGTCCAAATTTGAAGAACCGGACATTCTGTTTAACATGCTGAACTGCCTGAAGATCTTGTGTCTGCATGGAGAGTGCCTGTATCTGGCTCGGAAGGATCACCCACAGTTCTTAGCTTATATCCAGGAGAAGATGCTCATCCCCTGGTCTGTATCAACAACCTGATCTCCCACTATGACATCAAGTATGTTGTTTATGCAAAAATATGCTACTCTTTCTTTTTTTTAGCCTGTGGTCCATGTTGAAGTCAGAGTTTTGCCAGCTGGCTTCTCTAGCAGTTCCTCAGCTCCTGCATGCCCTGTCTCTGTCCCACGGGGCGGACATTTTCTGGAAGCTCATCAACACCAACTTCAACCACCAAGACTGGAAGATCAGATTTGAAGCAGGTGAAGAAATGCAAAATACACACATATCTGATAGCATAAATTTTTGTCAGCTTTTGTCATACTTTTTCTTGTACAGTATGATTTATTTTCTAAATGACTGACATCCATATTTCCTAATTTGTTGCCAACATGTGATGATGTGATTCTCCCAAATGAGGGGCAAGAGCCAGTTGTAATTATTGATCACATTGCACTTTCATTACAAATATCCAAAAGATAACTTCCCAAATTCTGATCCTGATCATTTCTATTTATGAATAGACCGAAGAACTTGCTGAAATCTAAAATTAATTTTACCTAACCCTCCATCTGTATTAAATATTACTGAATTATATGTTGGAATCATGTGTCATCTGAAACTAGTTTTATGATACAAACATTTCTTTATACTGATACAGCTCAAGATCATTATAAATCTATTCAGGAAAGTTTAATTTCTTTCCTGAGAATGTGAGAATTTGTTAGTTTTGATACCTGCTCAAATTAGTATCTAGTTTGGTACTTTAGTATTGATTAGTATCCAATTTCTGATACTTTTGATAGCCCTTTCTGAAATCCAGCAGTATTTTTTATTTTTTAATGCATTTATTTTGGGCAAGTAAAGATTTACATTTATATACAATGGAACATATGACATAAGTGAAATCATAATAGAAATGAAAATAACAACAACTACTAATAACTATTATTATTACTATTACTAATAAATATAGCAAGCATTGCCTCAGAAAATATGTATTTATAAAATCTTGACTTAAAGCTATAAGTATTATTATTGTTATTGTTATTATTATTTATTTATTATTGTTATTATATTTATTATTATTTTCATTTTATTTAGGGCAGAAAATGTTGGGAAAGCTTTGATTTTCTAACCTAACTAAAGAACTAAACTCTTAGACTGACACCTAGTGGCCAACACAGGAGATACTTTACATCCCATTTACAAAACCGTCAATATTCAAAAATGGAGACTTTATAATTAGATATAAAGGACTCTTGACTTCTATTTTTACATATGTCATTATGCTATTTCAAGTCCAAACATATACTATTTAAAGAACCAAGAAAGATGACAATAAAATAAGCTTTGGAATTCTGTATAAAGAAGACCGTTTGTGCTTGTGTTGGCTATTTAATTTTAATCTATGACACCCGTGGATCATTATGTTATAATTTGTACATTTTAAATCGCAATACTGATCTAAAACAACTTCATAAAATACGCCTGTGCCAATGGGACCTGTTGTCGCCGCAAAAGTAATCACAACAAAAAGCCATGCAGCTGTCGGCCCCTCCTACACATAGCTGCACATCATACTAATGAGAAGCAGATTCAATTAGTAGGAAAATGATTGCACGATACAGCCAAATTCTACATGTATCACAGACTAAGAAAATAAAATTAGAGGAGGAAGTAGTATGTGGGCATGTCGTGTACCGATGTCGCTGAAAACGTGGGTTGATCAGAGCGTCTTGAATATAAGAGAACATGTATGAATCACTCTAAATACAACTTTAAGAGGATAAATGAGAAGGAAAACAACTTTAACAAATTTAAAAACTCTGAAAAGTAAATTTTGCATAATAGGCCCACTTTAACGGTTTTATTTGACTGTTCATTTCTAAATCTGGCTGCAGCAATTCCTCTAACAAATATTTATCTAGGTACTTTCTGTGGTGTTGACGTTATTGCTCATAATTGCTTTGCCTGTCCTTTCCTCTTCCAGTGGAGAAGGTGGCAGTGCTGTGTCGCTTCCTGGACATTGGTGCCGTCACAAAGAACCATCTGCTCAAGTATTCCCTGGCTCACGCCTTCTGCTGTTTCCTGGCATCAGTGGAGGACGTCAACCCCTCTGTAGCCACGCGAGCTCGCCTCCTCCTGGATACCATTAAGAGGCCAGCTCTACAGGTCAAAATTCTAAAAATACACTTTAAAATAGCAAGTAATAAGAAGATTTTAATATTTATATAGGTTAGAGCAGTTGTTCTCAAACTTTCAGAGAAAGATAGTATTTGGTTTTCCTGGTATCACCAGATCTAAGCCCGCTCTTTATCAGGTTTAAATTAGGGCTTAACATGGTCTAAAACTTTACTAATTTAAAAGGAGGGCAGGTGAAATACTATAAATATGATAATATACTTTATAATAGAAGGGAATGGTAGACTTTTTAACAAAAATATCTCCAAAGAGTCAAGGCAAAAGTCGATGGTCGAGAAGGTGAATGTTAGCCAGGTTGGCACCACCTAGTGCCTCCACTCAATTTCATTTCTCTCCAGCGACAAGGTCAGGAATCGGAATACACTAGACAGTTTGCAAGAACCCCGGAAGTTGTGGATTGCATACCGGCCAGTCAGTGAAGAGTTGTGAAGCCATGACGTCAAACTCAAGCGCCTGTCTGGGTTCCTTTTGTGGTACAGCACAACAGTAAACTAAGCGGTCAAGATGGATGTAGATAAATCCGTACATTCTGTGTTGGCAATGATTCCTGAGATGTAGGATTTAAAGCCAGAACAAAGAGAATGTTTGGTGAATTTTATCAAGGGGAAAGACATTAATGCCCTTCTTCCTATGGGATTTTGGAAAAGTTTAATATACCACTTATCCCTATTAGCAGCAATTGGTTAAATAAAAAAGTATCTGCCTACCATCGAGCAAACGAATCTTAATGCTGCAAGGTCAGATGGTTTGCACAAAGTGAAACCTGCTGATGAATCAAGCTAGGTGATCACTGAAAATAGCAAAAGAAGGAGAAGAGAGAATGAGCGCATGTATATAAACAGCTTGAGGTGATTGGAAAAGAAAACTAGGACTAAACATAGACTATAGCAGAAAAAAAACAGAACTACCGGGTGCAAAACAGGATCAAATCAGGACAAGTCTTAATCGCATCCTGTTCTATAACTGTATTGATTCACAAGAGAAACCACTTTGTTACAACAGCTCAATATTACAAGAAAAATCACTCGTAAAAATCATGAAGAAATGTAATTTAGCTCAGTGGTATAGCATAGTCCTTCTGATTTAATTCTTAATTTCATTCTACTATGTCTGTATTTCTTCAGGGCTTGTGCCTGTGCATGGATTTTCAGTTTGACACAGTTGTGAGAGATCGGCCCATTATCCTGAGCAAGTTGCTGCTGCTACACTTCCTGAAAAAAGACATTCCCGCTCTGAGCTGGGAGTTCTTTGTCAACCGCTTCGAAACCCTGTCTCTGGAGGCACAGTTACACTTGGACTGCAACAAGGAGTTCCCATTTCCCACCAGTAAGTCTGTACCTGCTTTAGACTGTCAATGTATTCAGAACAATTGGTTGGGTTCAGACTATGTCATAACTTTCTCAACTTACCATAGTTTGAAAACTGAGTTGGATAGAAGTGGTTGAGAATTACAAGGTAGACTTACTTAGACTTAGACTGAGACAAACTTTATTGATCCACAAGAGAAATGACTTGGACACAGTAGCTCAAATATCACAATATATTATAATAACAGAAGAGAAAAATATAGCAATAAGCAAGCAATAAGTAAAATAAGTAGAATTTATCTATTAACTGTCAAATGCAGATGCTTTGACCTAGTTCATGGTTGAGATTTTTGTAGTTACTGGACCATATAATCATATAGTCCAACATCTTCTCTATCTCAACAGTAGTGATCTTTTTTTTTTTTTAATTACAGTTTTATAAAGTGGTGAATTCCATAGATCCAATCCAAAGTATTAAATAAACCTCAACATATGTGCAGAAAGAGTGAATATCCCACATAATTATATTGGCCCCTACACTCCATTAGTGTTGTCACGTTACAAAAATTATACACTAAATTAACAATAAGTTGTAATAAACAATAAGATGCAATAAATAAATGTCAGAAAAACACTTTAGTACTTAGTTTGCATCAGTAATGAGTCGTAGAAGTTATTAATTCCACCATCTACAGCTCAAATCTTATCATAAAATCTATCATTAAAAATTAACCAACAATTTCCCAGTTGTGCCAAGAAAAAGCACTTATGATAAACATTGACCCCCAAAATTATTGTTCCATCTGTCATGTATTGAATTATAAGTCGATAAAGTCATTTTTGTGACCTAATACTAAGGAATAAACTCGATACTCAATACCGATTGCGATATGACGATGATAATTAAAAAATATTCTTTATTCACACAATAAAATGTGATTTTGAACGTTAACTCTTATTACGGTCTTTTATATTGCCATGTGGTCTTACGTCTGTATAATCCCAGGTGGTGTAAGAGCATATACTAGTGTATGTGCTCTCATACCTGTTCTGATACAGATCAAAGATTATTCTAAAGCTATTCAGGAAAGGCTCATTTCTGTCCTGTGAATGGGACTTTTTTAGTATCAATACCTGTTCAAATAAGTGTCTAGTTTCAATACTAGTTTTAGTTTCGATTAGTATCTGATTTTCGATACTTTTGACAACCCAACACTTCATCTAAAATTGTTACATCAAACTCTAAAATGTTTTGAATACAGCTTACTCTTTACATTTCTTGCTTTCAATAGCCATCACAGCTGTGCGTACCAATGTGGCCAACCTGAGCGATGCAGCCATGTGGAAGATCAAGAGAGCCCGCTTTGCCCGCAATCGCCAGGAGGGGGTGCGCTCACTGCGGGACAGTGTGAAAGGGACTCAACAGACTGACACAGCAGAATCCAAACGCGCCTTTTCTTTGCCTGAGTGTCTGAGCAACAGCTGCGTGAGTACACGTACATATATTTGTGCATTTGTTCCTATATCCTATCCTGTATACTCACTCTTGTAGCTTTTAGTTATGTTAAAATGTTATTACCTCATCAAAAACATACCCAAAGTTGTGTTTTGTTTCATTCACACATGTTTGAGTAATCCTGCATTATTAAACTGTCTACATCTCCAAGGCTCAAAATGCTTTTTAATCTCAATTGAACTGATTTAATCTAGAATAACCATAAATTGTTGCCTTTACAAAAACAAAACAATAGTTGTAACTTCACACTTTGGCAATTTCAGGGGCTGAAAATTAGTCACATGATTGTAGTGAACGTGTATGGATTTTAAAAACACAGTGGAGCACTTCCTGTATTACCATTTAATGACATCACAAGGTGGAACAAAGTGTTTTCAGATTTGGAGAAGAACACACCAGATTTATTTCTGAAAAGGACACAACATTATAAAATCAGATCAAATATTTGGATAATAAGCTCTTTAAACAGTGACACTGTTATTCATTTGTTAATTCATACTTTGGATTAATTTCTCCATTAAAATAATTTTAGTTCGTGCAAGATGCCACTTTTTAGCCTGCAACATCAATTGATTCGTTTTCAAGGACACATTTGTAATTTCAGTTTTAAAGTTGTATTATATGATTTGTTCAAACTAACCAACATCAGCATGTAGACATATCATTACCACTCCATTCCAACATTATTCTAAATGTGACTCTTCATATGGTTTTAGCTCTAGGACTTACGAGGCAAGAACTCTCTGCTCCAACACTGGGAGATATGATAGATGTCCTGCCAGGTAAATAAAACACAGGTATATTAGATGTACTATAAACACAAAGATTAGTTTAACAAAAATCTTGGGCGTCCAGGACATCATTGCATGTAGTCCAAGTTACAGTTTGGGACAAAGAAGAAAAAAGAACGTTACTGATTCTTTATGCGTTGTATAAATCTATACACAAATCTGTCTCTGTCAGACAGGTCCAGGTGATTTTCAAGCACTTTTTTTTTTTTTACCAATTACAATTATAAAACAAGATGCAATTGGTTCTTTCCTATCTATGTTTCCTAAAATATTCCTTTAATATTAAGAAGCTCTGCTCTATGGCTCCCTCTTCTGCCTATGCTCAGTACTCACCCTAGCATTGTTAAATGTGCACTCAAAATCTGATTATCAGATTTTTTTAGTTATAAGACTATTAAAATGAAGTGCAAACAACAAAATCATCTCATTTGTTTCTGATCATAGTCCCTCTGATGACTAACATCAAATTGTGTGGTTTACATGTCATTTAAATTATTTTAAATGTCCTGAAATCAGATCATAATCAGATGTTGTTTTGCATGTGAATATAGTAGTCTTGACACATGAGCTGTATTTCCAGGCCAAAGCCCCTCTCCTGAAGATGACAGCATCATCAAAGACCTGCTCCCTGAGGATGCAGGCATCGATCACCAGACAGTGCACCAGCTCATCATGGTGCTCATGAAGTTCATGGCCAAGGACCAGAGCAGTGCTGAGGCCGACCTGGGTAGTGCCAAAGCCTTCAACACAGTCAAGCGCCACCTATATGTGCTCCTGGGGTATGACCAGCAGGAGGGCTGCTTCATGATTGCCCCTCAGAAGATGCGCACGTCTACCTGCTTCAATGCTTTCATCGCAGGCATTGCACAGGTACTGTCCATGTCAATAAGATATTTATCAGGGAGGTCAAGATTCAGCCATTTTACCACAAATTAATTATTGTAGGTGCCATGTGTTTTCAAGAATTATTTACTTATAAGTAAGTAAATTTTACATCACACTTTAAATAAAAAAAACATTAAACGTTTCTTTAATACAAGGCGATCACACAAAAAAGCCAAGGTAAGGAAATATATTAAACTGTAAATGCAAGTGAAAGATTTCACACATTATGTTATATCACAAAAAAGTTTGACAATGTGACATTTTTTATTTCTTGATCACAAATATTTGATGAAAGATAAGTAAAGGGCTGACTTTTCCCTCAGGTGTTGGACTACAACATCAGCCTGGGGAAGCAGCTGCTCCCTCTGGTGGTGCAGGTGTTGAAGTACTGCACATGTCCTCAGCTCAGACATTATTTCCAGCAACCTCCACGCTGTTCTCTGTGGGCTCTGAAGCCTCACATCAGGCAGATGTGGCTCAAAGCTCTGCTCGTCATACTTTACAAGGTACTGCATTTTCATCAAGTCAAACTGGTACTCAAATGTGTCAAATGTGATTAGAACTGAGGTCTTCACATAGGGCTCTAAATGAATATATATTGCGAAAATATATTGTGAAAATAAAATCTTCAATATCAATATTTTTCCCCCAAATTGCTCAGTACTAACTTAAACTCCAAATTCAACCTTGATGTTACATATATTGTCAACAAGAATGACATATTATATAATTTTGATGACAAAATGTAATACTTACAGTTTTTAAAGTGCATATATTGTTCTCCAGTATCCTTACCGAGACATGGACGGCAATAAAGTGGTGCTCCATCTCATTCACATCACCATCAACACCTTGAACGCCCAGTACCACAGCTGCCGGCCCCATGCCACCGCCGGGCCCCTGTACAGCGACAACTCCAACATGAGCCGCTACAGCGAGAAGGAGAAGGGTAAGACTCTGCAACTTTATGTGAGCACAGTTTTACACACGCTGATGACTTTTTTTTTCTCAGAGGAGGACAGTGTTTTCGATGAGTCAGATGTCCATGACACGCCGACTGGTGCTGCTAACAAGGAGTCACAGACCTTCTTCGCTCGCCTCAAGAGGATCGGGGGCAGCAAGTCTGTGAAGTACCAGCCAGTGGAGCTCAATGCCAAGAGAAGTAAGGAACAGACTGGCAACTTTGAGTGTTATTAAGGGTTAGAAATGGTCCGACACTAAGGGGCTAGTTATTAAAGTGGGGTTATTATGCAAAATAGACTTTTTGGTGCTTTCTGCTATGTTATAACATGGGTCCCTTATCAAAAACATTCCTGAACAGGTTTTATATGTCATCCATGCATGTTTCAGTAATTTAGCTATCTCTTCCGGGATCTGATCAAACCCTCCTTATGTTTAGCTGTAAAATTCTGTCTAATGCTCCACCCACAAGCCATGTCACCCATACTCACGACAATTCTCCATAAATATAGTAAAGCATGACACAAAACTGTACACAACAGCTTGACAAACCGGATGTGATGTTCAGTAGTTTTCGTTAGCGGGATGTACACTGATTGTGTTGTAATAACGATTTGAAGGGGAAGTGACTTAGCTAGGAGAGGACAGGGAGGTGAATCAAACATGTTTTCTGCAAATATAGACTTTTCAAAACAATAAAAGGAAACATGATGATCTTAAAGTGTTATATTTACAGTTAATACCCCATAGAAGTAAAATAGTAGCCTGATTCATCAGCCGGCTTCACTTCGTGGAAAGTCTAACCTCGCAGCATTAGAATTAGTTTGCTTGACGGTAAGCGGGTACTTTTTAAATTTTACCAATCACTATTTGGTTGTGACGTATGCAATGCTCTGCTAACATGGCTAATTGATATATTAAGCTATTCCCAAATACCATAGGAAGGAGGGCAATAACGTCTTTCCCCTTGATAAAATTCACCAAACATTCTCTTTGTTCTTTGTGCTTTAAACTCTCGATCTTGGGAATCGTTGCCAACACAGAATGTATGGCTCTTTGCTGATTGGCTGGTGCCCGGACTCACTCTTTCAGGGTTTTTGCAAACCATCTTGTGTATTCCGATTCATGACCTAGTTGCTGGAAGAAATTAAATTAAGTGAAGGCACTAGGTGACGCCAACCTAGCTAGTAAAATAGTTTAGTTTGTCTAAAATGTGTGTTTTCACATGTCAGTTCACATGATGTATGCCACGTATTTTTCAGACATCATGAGTTTAAAAATAGCAAAGGACCAACCCTTGTGACATTATTGCACATTGATTATTTCTCCAGCCTGCATGTTTTGATTTTGAGACCTTGTTGTTTTCCTTCCAGGTGAAATCGAGCTGTCCGAGTATCGCGAGGCCAGCGCCCTCCAGGACAGCATTCTGCACTGCGTCCGTGAGGAGAGCACTCGCAAGAAGCGCCTCCAGGCCATGCACAAGCAGAAGTCCCTGGACATCTCCAACACCGACTCCCTCCTCTTCAACCTGGACGAGCACCGACGCAAATCCTGCATAGACCGCTGCGACCTCCAGGCGCCCCCCGCTCTCCTACCCCCTTCTTCCTCCTCCTTCCAGGGCAGACATCACGGCAAGGGATCTTCGGATGGCTCCTCCGTGCGGGCGGTCGACCTGGCGGACAGGAGGGGCTCGCGGGGGGGCCATTCCGACATTTCCAAACCGGTGATCCCAGAGGTGCGTCTCAGTTGCATGGAGACGTTCGAGGACAAGCAGGATCAGGATTCCCCAGCTGACTCTGCGCAAGAGAAAGAAGATCAGGACCTTATTGATCTCTCATCAGATTGCACTTCCATCCCAGAAAAGCACTCACTGCTCTCCATGTCTGACACAGATTCTCTGGTGTTTGAACCTCTACCCCCTTTGAGAATTGTAGAAAGCGATGAGGAATTTGATCTCAACACCATCATAGCATCCAAACTGATAGGAAGCCCCAAAATTTCAACCTCACCCGCTAGTAGCAACACGTTAAGACTATCCCCGGTGGTGCAAGTGAGCTTCGAAGATGGCTCCTTTGATAAAAACGTAGAAGAACAAACGGAGAAAAAGGATGTTGAAAAGAAACCAGACCAAATGACGCCAAGCACCTCCATAGACTTACCTGAAAAGTCCGAAAATGTCTCCCACGAAAGCCAGTTGACGCTAAAGCAAAAACGGGATTTGCTTAGGAAAACGCCACATATTCCAGACAATTCTTTAGACGATGCTTATGAAGGATCAGGTAGGACCGTTTTCTTGGACATTCCTGAAGATAAAACGGAATCGCCCTCCTCACCAGAAAAGAGTAAAAGTAACAGTAATGAAGAGGAAGAGGATGGAGATGATGAAGAGGATGAAGACATGGGGGATGAAGCAGACAGCGATCCCAAACCAGAAAACACGGAAGAGTCAGAGGAGTCAGAGTTTAAAATCCAAATTGTTCCCAGGCAGCGTAAACAGAGAAAGATTGCAGTTAGTGCCATTCAGAGAGAGTATTTGGACATTTCTTTCAACACATTTGACAAACTGGGAACTGAGACTATAGTTGAAGCGGGTAAGTTAAGTTGAGCTTGTAAATTATTATTTTTTAAATCTATTTTTAAATCAAATTTTCTGGGATTTCAGATCACAAAGTTCTGTCTACATTGGAAAAACCCAGAGAATCAGCGTCAGCACCAACCCTGGAAGCTGCTTTACCTGAAACTAGTCATCGATCTTCAGTATCAAGTAAGAGACAAATACTTTTACTATCACTATTATGAGGTTGGTAGTACTCAGTTACATTTACAGTTATTCTGTAAGTTACTCTTATTTGAGTATTTTTCGGACTATAAGTCGCTGTGGAGTACAAGTTGCACCAGCCAAAAAATGTGTAATGAAGAAGAAAAAAATTATATAAGTCACATCGGACTATAAGTTGCACTTTTTGGGGGAAATTTATTTTATAAAATCAGAGACCAGGAACCGACATTTCATCTTTAAAGTCAAGTTATAGTAATAACAATAGAACAGAGAACAACAGGCTGTTAACGTCACATATGAACAGTTCTTCAGATAACTATAGCATAAACAACAGAACAGAACAAGTTTACCAAACTCTCCATCTCACTCCAAATCACTAAATCCACTGAAGTCTTCATCCTCGGTGTCACTTCTGAGCAACTCTGCAACCTCCTGGAGGTAAACAGAGCTCCGTATCCTCTTCACTGTAGCTGTCGTCAGACTCAGCATCAGTTCCAGTTAGAATTATTCCGACCTTTCTGAATCCTGACAGGATGGTTTTGATTGTCACTGCAGTCCAAGCTTTGTCGATCCATCCAATGACTTCCAGGAAAGTTGCATGGTGCACATTCCCAGTTGCCATGAAGCTTTGTTCTCCATCCCCGCTTTCCGCCAGTCCCTCACAAGCTTCTCATTCACTCCTTCACTTCACTCCACAAACTTTCTTTCTACTGCTCAATTACTGTTTTTGGCTGCAAAATTCACTACTTGCAGCAGGACAGCGGCTTTTTGTGCAGGAGACATGCACAGTAGAGCGAAGTGACAGTGGTGCAGGAGTAAAAGGAGATACTGACACACAAGCCTAGAGCGCCCTATTGTGGCTGTCAGTGTGAAAATTTTAATATAAAAGTTGCATCGGAGTATAAGTCACAGGAAACACCCAACCCATGAAAAAAAGTGCGACTTATAGTCCGAGAAATACGGTTGTAGCTTTCACAAATACCTTTTTACTGTTACTCTTATTACAAATTTCTTGGACTATTTTATACTTCTACTTGAGTAATATTATTTTGAACTAACAGTACTCGTACCTGAGAAAAAGTTTTAGTTATTCTACCCACCTCTATTATTATGTGTACTCTTACCGACATGCCTAATTCTTATTCAATTTCAGTTTTGCTCTGATACAGCACAATACAATGATGTCAGTGATTAATGTGAGAATAACATACAAAGCAGTCCCATTGATTTTCATAGCCAGTGTAAATTGAAGTGGGCGGAGAGTAATAGATTTTCCTGGAACTGAATGTATTGTGCAATCAATAAGAAGTTAAGGATCAGTAGTCCAGAGAAATAAGTACAACAAACCCATGAGGCAAAGTCAAGTACAATTAGCATATTTTAGCAAATCAGGACATGGCCTAAACCGTACAGGATAAAAACAGAGCTATAGAAAGACTATAACCAGGACCGTACCAGGACTAAACCATATGTGTGTACTAGAAATATTACTAGAACTAAACGAGGTCTAAACCAGGACTAAACTGTGTCTTAATTTGGACTAAACCAGGTCTAAATTAGGACTGAACCATGCCTAAACCTCTAAAACATGACTAAACCCGGTCTTAACAAGGGCTAATCCAGAACTAAACCAGATCCAAACTAGGACTAAAATGCTACTAACCTGATATTAAACCCAGACCAAACTAGGACTACCCCAGGACTAAATAAGATCTAAACCAGGCATAAACAAGGTCAAACAAGGACTGAACTAAGACTAAACCAGGACTAAATCTGGTCTAAACAAGGTCTAAACCAGAACTAAACTGTGTCTTAATTTGGACTAAACCAGGTCTAAATTAGGACTGAACCTTTTCAAAAACACAACTAAACCTGGTCCAACAACAAGGGCCTATTCAGAACTAAACAAGGTCCAAACCATGACAAAACTAGGACTACACCAGATCCAAACTAGGACTAAAACAAGACTAACCTAAGATTAAACCAAGACCAAACTAGGACTAAACCAGGACTAAATGAGATCTAAACCAGGCATAAAAAAGGTCAAACAAGGACTAAAATAGGACTAAAATAGGTCTACACCAGGACTAAATAAGATCTAAACCAGGCATAAACAAGGTCAAACAAGGACTCAACTAGAACTAAACCAGGACTAAACCAGGACTAAATCTGGTCTGAACGAGGACTAAACCAGGATTAAACCAGGTCTAAACTAGGACTAAACCAAACCTAAACTAAATCAGGTCTAAACCAGGCATAAACAAGGTCAAACAAGGACTCAACTAGAACTAAACCAGGACTTAGCCAAGACAAAATCAAGCCTAAACCTGATATAAACTAGGACTAAACCAGGTCTAAAGGAGGACTAAACCATGATAATAAAAAATACCACGTAAAACACAACGAAAACAAGCACGAATGCTCTAAACTTCAATGAGCCCCACTTGACATTAATAAAAAGTATAATTAACACCCATGCATTCACGTTACATAAATTTATTCACACAGTATACATCACAAGGACGTCTTTTCCACTGTCCTTCCTACACCCATACGGCCTGTACATTCTCTGTTGGTGCACTTTGCTTTAATGGCAGCTGCTCTATTGTCTGTGTCTGTGTGTGTGACCTCCAGCTCAGTACCGCGCAGTGAAGAGGGGCTCTCTGGGAGCTCTGACCATGAGCCAGCTGATGAAGAGGCAGCTAGAGCACCAGTCCAGTGCCCCACACAACATCAGCACGTGGGATACAGGTGCGTCAAAGGGCCCTGGGTACTGCACTAGAAAAAGAAAACGTCCACACAGTTCAGAACATTTGTCTTTAGAGGTGGAGAATTGGTTGGTTTCGACTTATTCACTTATTTAGTTATTTGTTTGTGGAGAAGTGCGGCTTTTAATTTACTACACACATTGCAGATCATCGCAAATCTATTTCACTGCTAATAAAATAGTTCATTCTTACTCTATTGTTTTTGTTTTTAGATCTTGATAATTTTTTGACCTTCTTGTAGCGTTGTCAAGATACCAAAATTTCAAACCCAATTTTGAAACTGAATACTGATTCTGATTCCATGATGATAATAATAAACACGCTTTATTTAGACAACATAATGTCATTTTCAACATTAAATCTAGTACCCTCTAGTCTTATAGCTGTGTAATCCCTCAGTGGTCCAGGTACTGTAGTTTCCATAGTAGTCCATTTTATGTGTATACTTGTTTAGCCTGATTCATCAGCTGGTTTTACTTCGTGGAAACCATCTGACCGCACAGCATTAGGATTCGTTTGCTTGACAATAGGTGGGTACTTTTTTTATAACCAATCGCTGCTATTTGGTCGTGACCGTATGTAATGCGCCAAATCTCATAGGAAGAAGGGCAATAACGTCGTTCCCCTTCATAAAATTTACCAAACATTATCTTTGTTCCGTCTTTAGATCTCAGGAATCGTTGCCAACACAGAATGGCTTTGTCTACATCCATCTCGACCGTGTTGTTTACTGTTGTGCTGTACCACAAAACGGACCTAGACAGGTGCTTGAGGTTGATGTCATGTCTTCACAGCTCTTCACTGACTGCCTGGTGCACGTTCTACAACTTCTGGAGTTCTTGCAAATCATCTAGTGTATTCCGATTCCTGACCATCTAATCTAGTCTAATCCATACATTAGTCTAGATTAGATAATTTCTGTGAACAAATTGTCCTCTGTTAGCCTCTGTTAGATTCTTCAGCCGGTTTCACTTCATGGAAACCGTCTGACCTTGCAGCATTAGGATTCGGGTACCTTTTTTTATTTAACCAATCTCTGATATTTGGTCGTGACGTATGTATGCTAACTGGTATATTAAGATTTTCCCAAATTCCATAGGAAGAAGGGCAATAACGTCTTTCCCCTTGATAACATTCACCAAACATTCTCTTTGTTCCAACTTTAAATCCTCGATCTCTCAGGAATCGTTGCTGACACAGAATATATGGCTCTTTGCTGATTGGCTGATGCCCGAACTCGCACTTCCGGGGTTCTTGCAAACTGTCTAGTGTATTCTGATTTCTGAGCTAGTCGCTGAAGAGAAATGAAATTGAGCAGAGGCACTAGGTGGCGCCAGCCTGGCTAGTACTTGTTCTGATACAGCTCCAGATCATTCTAAAGCCATTCAGGAAAGGTGAATTTCTGTCCTGTGAATGTGACCTTTTTAGTTTCGATACTTGCTCAAATAAGTATCTAGTTTCAATATTAGTTTTATTATCTTTTAATATCTGAATTTTCATTGTTTAATTTAACAACAGCAATTTTATTTTTTTCATATTTCATCTGCAATTTTATGTCACGTATGAAGATATTTTTGCAGTGCACGACTCATCGAACACCAGCGAGCGTGCTTAACATCTCATGCATTTTCATTTCGCCGCAGGCCCTACCAAAACCAGCCTGCTCTCCGCCCCCAGCACCGTCAGCATGTTCGTACCCGCGCCCGAGGAGTTCATCGACGAGCAGCCCACCACCATGTCTGACAAGTGAGCCAATCACACGAGACCTCACTGCCCCTCAATCCCTGACAGAAAAAAATGTTCCTGATTGTGTCTTTTATTTTCTTACAGGTGTCGTGACTGTGCTGCTGTGTTGGAGGAGTACGATGAAGAGACTTTAGGCTTGGCTGTGGTGGTGCTGTCCATGTTCATCCACCTAAGTCCAGATCTGGCTGCTCCCATGCTCCTGGACATTATGCAGTCCGTGGGCAGGTACGCGTCTATTTCTCTGCTCTCCCGCTCGCAAAAGCAGCAGCAGCCTACATTTTCACAGTACTTGAGTGTGAATGAACTCTCATAACTCACTCTCCGACTCATGAATTATTCAGGCTCAAATGTAACTTGCTATTGTTCGTTTCAGGTTAGCTTCCAGCGCCAATTTTTCAGGACAAGCGGAAAGGTATGAAAGAAAGTAGTGTGCTTGGTAGTAGTTTTGCATGCAAAAGTGTGAGGTGAGTGGTGAAACTTGATACTAGTACACCAAAATGTGTGTTTTGTGGAGGGACAATTTTTGGTTTTCAATTAAAGCTACACAATTAATAGAGATCTAGATTCAGTCATTACTAATTGTCTGTGATCAATGATGAATGATAGTCTTTGATAGTGAGGTCTACAATCCCCAAGTAGAACCATGTGGAGTAAAAGAATAGACTTTTTGCGCTCAATGGCAATGATTAAAAGTCTGTACTGACTGTTTTTAAGAAATAAATAGGGAAAGTTTGTTGTTTTTTATAAAGGCCCATATTGCACATGTTTCTGATCTATGTTCTAATACCTGGAGTTGTTTTTTTGTTTCATTTGCTCATGTTTAACACACAAATCCTGCATATTTAGTTTGAGTTCTCTCAAAATGAGATCCACCTCGTGATGTTACGTGATAATATACGCTCCACTGTGTTTTTAACCCTTACTCTAGTGGTGCCAATCTCAAACTCACAGAGAGCCAAAATTAAAAACTGGGACTAAGTCATGGGCCAAACTAAATATTTATTGAAAAATTTCAACAACATCTTCATGTTTTCTCTTTTTTCGAGATACGTAATTTTAAACCTTTTCTTATCAAGATAAATGTTTAATAATAGTTTTGCTTAAACACAAAACAAATACAAACGAAACATAACAAAATATTAAATAAATAATGTCTCTATAGTCTATCTGGAGCCGGCGGTCCAGCTCTAATACATATTTGATATGATTTCGTGGGCCAAATATAATCATATCATGGACCAAATTTGGCCCCCGGGCCTGAGTTTGACATGACTGATTTACACCATCACTAGATTCATTTGGATGATTTCAGCCCTGGAATTGCCCATTTCTATTGGACTAAAAGTAAAAGGTAGCTTTTAACTTGAAAACTACCACTACATGACATCACAAGGTGGAACAGAGCATTTTCAGCTTTGGAGATGTAGAGAGATTAATAATAAAGAGTTACTCAAACACGTGTGAATGAAACAAAACACAACTCCAGGTCTGTTTTTTGACATTCTAACCTGGTGTAAACCTCACAGGAGTCTTAAATTATAAAATTCAATCATAAATCATGACACTCTTTTTGTCGCATTGCCCATTGTTAGTTAGTATAGGTTTATATAACAATGTACTATATAATATATAGTCAGTTGAGAAAACTGGCTCTTGCCTTTTTTCTGAGAGCAACATCACATTCTAGATATATACCACCAGTATTTTTTGTCATTGCAAGACAGGCCATTCATCTAATTTTATATTAATTGGCCTTGGGGGTAATTAGGCATGCATAAACAACATTTATATTTCAGCATAACAATTATTTATTAATACAGTATGTTTATTAATTGTGTTCCCATGAAGTGCTAGCAATTTAAATGAGCGTCTGCCTCTGTATCTGTCTTTAAGAAATATGCGGTGTGTTTTTCTCTTCCAGTATGTTGATCCCAGGAAATGTAGCAGGCGTGGCCAAGCAGTTTCTACGCTGCATGTTCCACCAGCTGGCCCCCAATGGCATCTTACCTCAACTTTTCCAAAGCAACATCAAAGGTTGGACTATCAGATATCTCCCATTATTTGTACATTATTTTAGTTCATATATTTTTGGGTGTTTTCGCAGATGGAAGTTTCCTCAGAACCCTTGCGTCTTCGCTCATCGATTTCAACGAGCTGAGTTCCGTGGCTGCTCTCAACATGCTCCTCGAGGTGGGTTTTCAAGTCTGTTACCAGCAGGTGGAGCTGTCGTCAAGGCCGAATCTGCATCGGCGCCTTCAAGTAGACCATGTACTAACAACAAACCAGTACTAGGCTGAGAAAAACCTGCCCATCTCTGTACTACTGTGCTAAATTACGGCTAATGCTAATCAAATCACTGACACAGTTACCAGCCCACTGATCCGCGAGTCTTAACAATGATGCGGTCTACTGCTTTGCTCATGAGCTAAGTGATTGATTGGTGTTGAATGATCAGTTATATGGAAATGCCTTGTATACAGTCGCCTTATATAACTCCGCATCTATGCCCTCCAGGGTTTGAACAATAAGAAGAGTCTACCAGCAGGGAGCACTATGCTGCACTGTCTGGAAAACATCGCTACTTTCATGGAGGCGCTCCCCATGGATTCCCCTAGCAACCTGTGGACCACCATTTGCAACCAGTTCCAGACGTTTCTCACCAAACTGCCCTCCGTGCTTCCTCTCAAGGTACACGCCAAGTAGCCGTGCGCTTAGTCATGCTCCGATATGCCTTAATGTGATTAGAACGGCCGGGGAAGGCATCCAGAAGTGCCCTTGTCAAGCCTGATGCAAAACAGACCGAAAATTGTAATTGATTTGAGTTTCGCTTTTTTGTACTTTTTGTATTTTAGAACAAACAGAACAAACAGTAATAACAAACAAAGTGAAAAATAAAGAAATTACCACAGAGACGCTAACATATTTTGACATTTGGACATGCCCATTATCCTTTCTTTTCGTATTTTAAGGGTAGAAGTATTACATTCCATGTTTTCAGTATTAACCGGTAGTCTTATTACTATTAAAGTCATTCTGCAAAATTTGGGAAAAACATGAAATTGCAATTTTTTTTTTTAACAATTATTGCTATTTCAATTAGATTTGTGATTTATGTTTTGATAATAGGATTTGGTTAAAGTCCAGAAGAATTGACAAAAAGACTGAAATACTGACTAATACAAGAATATTTTAGAACATGTTTGTACAGATCTAAACTCCAGGTTTATGCAGAATAAGACAGGAGAATTTGCAGTAATTGAACTTTGTTTACTGCATCCCTTTAAACTGCAATTTCTATTTGATTGCGATTAATATATCATTTCTGCTAATACTCATTTTATAGAGGCTTGACTGGGATCTATACTTCACAATGACATTTTTTGACCTTGGTTATGTTTCTGTTCTAATCCATTTACTGCAGATTCACAACACTTAAATGGCTGTCCAGTGCGCAATCATCTTTTATCATTGCATTTCTGTTTTTCCCAGTGCCCCATGGACTCCAGTTTGCGGATTCATTTGTCTTCTGAAAATCCCCACCACGAATGCGACCCGGGTACGTGGAGAATTAATTTTAAATATTGATCGATCCAACTCCCAGCTGCTGCGAGCGTCTGACTGTTGTTTTGTGTCCACACACAGAGCCTCCTGGAGCCCTTCTCCAAGCTGCTGAGCTTTGTGATCCAGTATGGCACGTTCAGCCTCTCCTACCTGGTGGAGCTGTGCGGCCTGTGCTACAAAGCCTTCAATAAGGTATTAAAGTCACGTAGTGTTGGCACGATACTAACATTTCAAACTTGATTTCGTTATGACAGAAAAGGCTCGATACTCAAAAAAAAAAAAAAGAGAATAGATTGTAATTTTCATGCACAAAATAATAGTGGTTTCTTTAAATTATCACCATAACTATCGAAATTACTCTAAAACTCTTATTAAAACTATTATTATTAAGAAAAAAGGTGATGTTTTTTGTCATGTTTATGGGATTTGTTCAGTATCAATTTATCTTTAGTACTGGTTTTAGTATCAATTAGTGATCAGACTTGTGATACTTTTGACAAAACTAAAGTCTTGTATTCAATCGCATGATACATTTATATTATTTAAAAGGCCCATATTATGCTTTTCAGGTTTATGTTATGATGTTGTAGCCTGATTCATCAGCCCGTTTCACTTTGTGGAAACCATCTGACCTCTCAGCGTTAGGATTCGTTCGCTCAACGGCAGATGGGTACTTTTTAAATTTAATCAATCGCTGCTATTTGGTCGTGACATATGTAATGTGCCAAATCCCATAGGAAGGAGGGCAGTAACGTCTTTCCACTTGATAAAATTCATCAAACATTCTCTTTGTTCCAACTTTAAATCCTCGATCTCGGGAATTGTTGCCAACACAGAATGTATGGCTCTTCGCTGACTGGTCTACAACTCCCGGGATTTTTGCGAACTGTCTAGTGCATTCCGATTCCTGACCTAGTTGCTGGAGAGAAATGAAATTCAGCGGAGGCACTAGGTGGCACCAGCCTGGCTAATAATGTTGTTTCCTCAGCAAAAACATGCCCAGAGTTGTGTTTTGTTTCATTCATAAACTCCATACACCTTCAAAAGAATCATTTGGATAATTTCAGCCCTGAAATTTCCAGTCTTTATTAAACAAAAAGTAAAAGGTTGCTGTTAGCTTGAAAACCACCCCTACATGACATCACAAAGTGGAACAGAGCATTTTGAGCTTTGGAGGTGTTGTCAGACTAATAGTAAAGTGTTACTCAACATGTGTGAATGAAACAAAACACCACTCCAAGTCTGTTTTTCAGGCTTAAAGATAACAAGAGTAAATTTTTTATCTTTTCAGTGTGTTTCATATTAAAATAATTTAGTTAAAATAGTTTCCTCATCAAAAAAATACCAGGAGTTGCTTATCTTTCATTCACACATTCTGCATATTTTGCAGTCCTTTCACCTTCACCAGACTCATTTTGATTGCTACGCTCAAATTGTATTCAGTACAATGTTAAATCCCACTTTGAAGCTTGCAGCTATTGTTTAAGCCTTATCACTCGGCTACATCACTCCCCAATGTACCAGTCCTTGTCTTCTCTGCTGGTGGTTTTGAATGCATGGAAATCACAGCTGGATTCTTTTATTTGTTGGCCGTACATAATATTTTAAAACACACAATATGAAAATAAATGTGTTTCCTTATCTCAGAGGCATATTTTGATTTATTCATGCCTGTTTGAGCAATTTGTCCTGTATTTGAGGCTTGAGTGCTTATAACATTTCAGTTTCCACATTCCCCCTGTACCCCGCCTACAGCTTTTATCCACTTGATAAAGTTCAGAAACAGCTAGAAGCTATGGATCTGTTTTTTTAAAGTATAGCAGTGTACAATGAACAAAATGTTAAATAATGATCGAGATATGTGATTTTTGATGAGTTTTTCATTAAAGGTCCTATATTCTTTGAAATTGACTTGTTTCATTCACACATGTTTCAGTAATCCTTTATTATTAGTCTGTCTTGTGATGTTATGAAGCAGTAGTTTTCAAATTATCAACTACCTTTTACCTTTTGTTCAGTACAGATTGGCAATTCCTAAAATGAAATGAAATTATCCAAATGATTCTAGTGAAGGTGTCCGGAGAACTTCGATTGTGTGTTAAGCATGTGTGAATGAAACAAAACAACATTCTGCATTTATTTTTGATGAGGAAAAAATATTACAATAGCGTATAGAGCAATCTGGGCCCTTAAAATATTTTCTAATAAAAACACCAATGCTAAAGTGTCCAAAAGTAGTTTATAAACCCTTAACGATGCCCTTTAAACATCTTAATAGCTTCATTACTGCGTCATTTAAAGTGATATATAGAGAGCTTAAAATGCTGAGGTCCCAGTCCCTAGCCATTATGTCATCGCTCTTTTAGTGTCCAACTGGTGCCACGGCGCTCCTCCTCCCCAGATATGTGGCCCATGATTCAGGAAGCAATCAGGCTCTATTGATTAACATGACTAGTTGGTGAGCTCAGGTCCAGAATGTATGGTGTATTCTGGGACAAAGATGGAGCCGGACCTGTCTGCGCCGCTGGGCCAGATGGATACTGGGTCCTCTAGCACTGTCAACGCACCATGTTTTATGTCTCCTGCACTATTGATTTTCTACACTTAATTTCGCACAGTTTAATATCCGCTTTTCTGAGCCCAGGCCACTGTGAGCAATTGCGTTAGAGGCTTCATCGTTGTGATAAGTTTTATGTGGAATTGGTTCATGAGATATCAGAATATTATTTTTAGTGGAAGGGTGCGTCTAATTTGCCTTTTAAATCTAAGATTGAAGAGATTTGCTCTTGGTTTATGGTTAATATCTTCATAATTACTCCCCAGTTCATATTAAACAAAAATTGTTCCAAATCCTTTCAGTATAAACCAGGAGTCTGCACAGAGCTGCATGGGCCCATTATAAACCAAAGTCAGAAAAAGCCACAAGTATTAAGAAACAAGACAAACTGATTAATACTATGAATTTAAAAGAGCAACTTTGCCTCTAAACATCAAAATAAATAACATTTACATTTTATTCTTGTCAGCTTTGTAGAGAGGGTGTGGGGGTTCTCCCCAAGGAGTCTTATCCCACATTCTAACACATTTTATATTTTATACAACCAATAAAATAATGTATTTTTATTTATTCATACCAATCTTCGACAGGGTAGAACACCAGAGTAAGAAAGTCAAGAAACATTTGAAATTACTTTAAATTCTGGACACTGCTTGTTGGACACCCCAAACGCTGAAAAATGAACTTAATAAATAACTGCTAGCATATTTTATCATAAAATATGCTTTTTTGAAAAGAGCCACACCAGAGGCTTTAAAGAGCCGTGTGTGGCTTGCAGACCCCTGATATATAAACAAAATGAATTTTTTTCACTAAGCTTCAAGTTATGAGGCTCACAGCCTCATAACATTCAGCCAAAAATAGACAAAAAGTATTTATTTCTCTTTTTAATTCCTTTAAAAAACCTTGAACTACATGCCTTTTTTCTGTGAGTGGGCTTGCCTCTCCACAAACCTGACTAGTGACTTAACTTGGTGGTGGGTGGTTGCTCTTCTGTAATTTACAAGCCATTCACAAAGTTTTTTTTATTTTTATTTTTGAAAGACTATTTATCACAGACGTTAACCACTAGCCAGGGGCGCTGGTGTCCTGCATCTTAATAGGTCATGATTTTCTATTTACTAAAGCGCTATGCTCCATTAAGTTTTAATTATGAAGTGGTACGCACAGGTATGTACACAAACCGCACAGCCAGAAATGTCAGTGTGATCTGCAGACTGTCGGTGCAGGTACACTAAACCCAACTAGAGTACAACATATTTTTGCAAGAATACTGAAGTGTAATGATGACTGTAATGATAAACAAATAAATAAAAATAGAAAAGTTACAAAGTGTGCATCTAAGTGAATATTTTTAATGTGCCAGTTATTATTGGACATAACACCATTCACCTTATTTATGATCTATTTATAGATCTAAAATATCTTAAATACGTCACATTGTCCTGGAAGATGACAGTCTTGTAAACAGGCACTTTTATGTGGATGGCATGAGCAAAGAGTGCAGCATGTCCTGGGGGAGAGAGGGAGAGAGGGAGGAGGAGGCAGTCTGACAGCCCGGGACTCGCCTGGGACTCTGGGAGCTGAGACGTGGACTGGCCTAAATCTACTTGTCCGTCCGCCGGGCTCTTCTCCCCCTGCCCAGCCCTCCCCCCTCTGTCCTCCCCCCTCTGTTCAGACGACTGAGTTTGAGCGTGATATGAGAGAGGCGCAGTGGAAATGGAGAAGCAGCATCAGTAACTTTGTTTCTGTCTCGTCCCGTCCAGGAGAGAGATAAGTTCTACATGTCCCGTATTGTGGTCCTGGAGCTCCTGCAGGCACTGAAGTTCAAGTCCCCCCTGCCTGATACTAATCTGCTGCTGCTGGTCCAGGTAACAGCCCTTTCATCCATACACATTATGTAAATGAGCTTGTTGGGCTAAGTTTTGTTTTGTTTTCTTCAATATATTACCAAAAAACAAACATATATTATATTGTATTCATATATATGATTTTTTCTTAATTGATCAGCACCATAAATGTGATACAACAGTCCAAATTACAGTTGCATAATTTGATGGGTCCACTTCTTTTGAACGGTGAAGATCCGGCTAATTGCGTCCCACCCACTTGTACTTCTGCATTACATCACCTCAATAAAAAAAGAAAAAGATACAGAGATTTAGGATATAGTGAAGACCTAATTCTAAAAAGCTGTTAAGTTGGATTTCCTTCTACATTTGACCAGGCTTGAGTTCAGCACTTTTAACTTTTCCCATGACTTTAAATTTCATATTTATAGGTGCCATTTTGCAGATTTTTGACCATTTTAATAATTTTGTTTTAATTGCTATGGCAATGATCCTAAGTATTCGTCATTCTGAATATGAAACCCATGCATAGTACTTTTGGTGCAATTTGTATTATTTACTTTGCACGTATAACATAACAATTAAAAAAACACACTAGATAAAAAAGTAGGTGCTGGAAGAGGTTAAAAAAAACAAAAAAAACAAACAAAAGGACTTATATTAAAGCCTCTACTTTATGAATATATTAAAAATTGACCATTATCACTGTGCATAAAAAAAAATTTAAATTACATTTAAACACCTTGGATTAAATTTAATTGATTCAACCATGGATTAAAATACAACGAAACATCTACAACTGAATGATTATCAAACATTATCATGAAATATCAAACATTTCCTCAAACTTTTTTTAAACAAGCGCAATCAGAGATAGTAACCTGGTCCCCCATGAGGCATCGGTGGGGGCAGTTTATCACCACGGAAGCAGCTTATGAGGAGCCCAGCTCATACCCCAGTTATGTGTGTGCCAACTTGTGTGATGATTGGGTGAATATTTTAGCCCACAGATGGTCAACCCTTTGGGGACCAGGTAACAACTCCTCTGATTTGCTGTCACTAACCAGATGTGAAAACTGGCTCCAGAATTTACAGTCTCTGTGTTGTAACAAAACTCTTGAGCTCTTGATGTGACACATTTTAAAACATGGAAAATACGATTTTGACAAGTATTGTATCTGTGAATCTCCGTATTGGTTTTAAAGTAAAATGTGAAATGTTTGGGGATCGTTGTTGACTTATAAAGAATTTTGGTAACACTTTAGTTTAGGTTGCACTTATTAACATGTAACTTAGCACTAATTAGTGTAGCTGTAAATGGTTAATTTGTCATTATTTAGTATTTATTCAGCCCTTATTAATGTCCAATTCCCTATTAGCTTATTCTGCTGTTAGTTAGACATTTACAGACACTTTCCTATTAATACACTCCTTATTATGGGTTAGGGTTTTCCATGAATTATGATTCTAGTAGGTTTTTGGCACAAATAAGTTAAAAAACTACATTTCTTGTGCTACTAGTCCTTAACAACACCCTTATTACAGGGTAGCCGCGGGCTTTTAAAAGTCTTAAAAAGGTCCTAAATTTCATGTTCCTAAATTAAGGCCTTAAAAAGTCTTAAATTATGTTGTCCAAGTCTTATTTTTTTCACTAAGGTCTTACAGTAAATTAAATTTGCCTATTTTTTTATATACTCAATCGGGCTGCAGTGCAGTGTTAAATGGAGGGAGGAAAACAACAACGTGAAATCATGTAACGTGAATCAAATCAAATCAAACTTTATTTATAGAGCACTTTTCATACAAAAAGCAACACAAAGCACTTGAATGAACGTCTAATTTGGAGTATGCACAAACTATACTTAGTTTGTCTTGTTAGAATGTTATAAATTGTTTTTTGGCCTTTTTACAAGCAATACATACTACAGTACTATAAAAGAGCTCTGAATGAGATATATATATTTATAATAAAGATATTTTTTGTTATTTAAAGCAGTGAGTAATGGTCATTATTAGAATTGGGTGCGATGTTGGTCTTATAAAGGTCGTAAAAAAGTCTTAAATGTGGGGTAGTCGGACCTGGCTATACCCTATATTACCAGAAGCTTATTAGAATCATAATTCATATACATAAATGATCTAGTCTCATATAAATACACAGTAATAAGGAGTGTATTAATAGGAAAGTGTTTGTAAATGTCTAACTAATAGTAGAATAAGATTATTGAGAATTAGACATTAATAAGGGCTGAATAAATACTAATGAATGACAAATAAACCATTGTACAACATTTACACTAATTATCAGATAGTTAGATGTTAATAAGTGTACCCTAAAATAAAGTGTTACCAGAATTTTATACATAAAAATAAAATATTAATGTCATAAATATTAAGAACTTTAAGTTTGATGAATAAATTAGCAGACGAGACATGTATTTTGTCCAGAGTAGTAGAGAAAGTGCTTGCCCAGACTATATTACAGTATGACAGATAGCCTCATAGTTAAGCCCTATTTCCTACATTCATTGCTCTTGTATCTGATAATCCCAGCTGCTTCTCCCGGCTTTTTTGCTCAGACACAGTTACCTCACTTACCCTGCGCTCGTGGCTGTTGTCAGTTTGTTTGTGCAGATATCGGGACACGACTGGCAGAATCCACCATCATCCAGAAGCACATGATCTCCACTCTGCCGGGGGTAAGGCTCTAGTGTTTACGTCTTATTATCATCCGCCTCATAAAACAGCAGGGGAACCAAGATGCCCCCATCCCTGCCCCATCCCCTCCCGAGTCCTGCCCGTGAGCCAAAGGAACTGTTTGTGTCTCTCCTCCAGTGCACCACCGCGGCCATGGAGTGTATGAGGCAATACATCAGTGAGCTGCTGGACTTCATTGCTGATATGCACACGCTGACCAAGCTCAAGGTAATGTCGCATCACAGGTTTGTTTTTTTTACTAGTGTAGACTTTAAAGATACGTGAAGATATTGTTTAATTAATTTTTCCACTTAGGTTATCTGCCAAAATAAAAGTACTTAATACATTTGTATTTTGACCACTGCATTTCTTTAAAGGTCCTACATTACACAAAATGGATAGTTGTGACTATGTGTCGCTACTTTCTCAAGAACATCACTGGAGTTAAGTTTTGTTTCATTCTCCAAAGCCCAAAATGCGCCCTTCCAACTTGTGATGTCATGTAGTGGTAGTTTTGAAGTTAACAGCCACCTTTTACCTTGTAAGTTCAGTAGAGACTGGCAATTAATAAGCTGAAATCAACCAAATGAGGTAGTGAAGGAGTATGGAGTTTTAAAAAAGTGGTGGACTTCCTGTTTTACTACATGACATCACAAGGTGGAACAGAGTGTTTTCTATTTGAGAGAAGAACTCAGCCTAAATATGCATGGTTTGGGTGTTAAACATATGTGAATGAAACAAAACACAACTCCAGATATGTTTTTGATGAGGAAACAACATTATAATATAGATCAGAAAATATCATAATATAGACCCTTTAAGACAAAAATAAAATATCTTTATTTGTATCAGTTACTTATTCCTCAAATAACTACAACTAACACTTTTGTATGAAGAAAAATTCAAACATTATGAAACTTTCTAGGCAAACATCAGTAAATAATCTTTACATCAAAACATTACTTCAAGTTATCCAACCAGTATATCAGCTGAATCAATATTTTCTGGATATTTGATACCAGGTGCAACCCTTCTTCATAGGTACCTGCTTAATTGATTTTATTTAATTCTGTCCTACTAAAACAAAAATTAATTACTTTGATTACAGTACAGATTTTATCATTAAAACTTTGCACCAGAATGTGACTTTTTTTTAGTATTGACACCTGCTGAAATGAGTATCTTAGTAGTTTTGAGTATCGATAAGTAGGCTTTTGATTTCTGATACTTCTGAAACCCAAATCTCAATTCAGTGTCATCCTTCAATGACACCAATCAGAATTATACTAAAACTAGTAAAGTAATTAGTTTATGGAGTTATCAAATTTAAACTTATTACAGATCTATTCAAGCAAGAATTAATATTTTTTAAAAATCTTGTAATAAAGTTTATAATTTGTGCTTTAACATCACCCTCTCTGTTCCGTGACCCAGAGCCACATGAAGGCCTGCTGTCAGCCGCTGCACGAGGACACCTTTGGGGGAAATCTAAAGGTGGGATTGGCTCAAGTGGCTGCCATGGAAATCAGCAAGGGCAATCACCGTGACAACAAGGCCGTGCTACGCTACCTGCCCTGGCTGTACCACCCTCCCTCCACCATGCAGCAGGGGTGAGCTCATGCCACTACGAATGATGTTTTGTTTAAAAGGCCTATATTGCCTTATTTTATGATCTATGTTATAAGGTTGTTTCCTCATCAAAAACATACTGGAGTTGTGTTTTGTTTTATTAGGCTGAGCTCTTCTTTTACTTACTCACATCCTTGACTTACTTTCTCTGGTGTCCTGTCTCTTAATGTTACCAATGGACTGGTTGGTCTCGCGTTGAATAGTGTTCGTTTTGGCTTGTAGGCTGTTGAGTTATGTTTTGTTTGTGATCCCTGCTTCGCGTACACTCGAGGATTTAAACACTGACACACGAGGGGAAACACACAACCCCAGTCTGTAGATCAGACCCACAGCGAGTGAAGTGACTGCCAGTGCCACGAGAGAGCGAGAGGAGCAACTGACACTAAGCACTGATTCTAACCGCGAGTCAGTTTAAGATCGGGGAGAATTCAGGTACGCACAATTAGCAATGAAAGGGTTACACCTCACTCAGGCTCTGGAAAGTTACGTATCTTTGAGCAGCTGTAGCAAAAAGGATCCTCCACACAGAGACTTGTAGCCCACATATTCTGACAGAGAACACTTTACACTCTGTTCCAGTTTTCATTTTATAGTGATAAGACCAATATTGTTGCACATGATCAGTGCTAAAGTTTGATCGCAAAAGATTTTAATCAAATATACACGTGTTTTCCTTCATTTGGTAAAGATCCACAAAGAGATATTTAGGCCTTCTTGTCCATAACTTTATTTCTTGTAAGAGAGAAGAGAGAGAAGTGCTCTATCTGTGTCCCTCTGCACAGTGCACATGTAGAGCAGCAGCAGTGGAGGAGAGAGGAGAGGACAGCAGGTCCAGTTTTAGTCTAATCATTTAAATAATAAATATAAAGTGTAATAGACATATTATGGAGTGTATTGCAATAATCAGTAATGATGCATGTGAAAATTATTTAATTTTGTAATTTTTATAACTCGTCTCAACCCATTAAACACATTAACAACACAATATATACAAAAATAAACAAATACAAAAAAATAATTATGTGAGCAGAAATTGTGAAATGGTCTGATGGTTTGTTCAGAACCTCGTCTCATTCTCGTAAACCCTCTCTTGTGGTAACACTGTGCTTCACTGTGGTTTTTAACTCCATACTCCTTCACAAGAATCATTTGGATGATTTCAGCCCTGGAATTCACTATTTTTACTGAACTTAAGGGAACTGTAGCTTGAAAACAATGACGACATGACATCACAAGGTGGAACAGGAGATGCAGAGATGGAGATGTAGACAGAAAAATAAACCAGGAATAATCCAACCTGTGCCAGTGAAACAAAATACAAATCCATGTATGTTTTTGATGACAATTATAATATGGTTTAAAGCTCACAAGAATCTCTTTTGTGTAAATGTAGCAGCTGAAAGACACATAGGAGCATATATAACTCACTGGGAAAGTGTATGTCAATGAACGTGGTGTAGTTTGTATCATATGTACAGTTACAAAATCATAGCTATTATAATTATAGAATTGGTGTGGAGTTTTATTGAAAGTAATTATAGCAGAACTCATTCATTCATCTAAAACAGCACAAGCTTAGTACAATTCAGTGTTTGTATTATTGATTTGTGTGTGCAGATAAACAGCAAGAGAATATTTCCAACTGATTTTGTTGGCAAGATAAATGGGAAAAGATGAGGCTAAAATCAATACAGAAGACTTGTACACGCACACGAACTAACTCATAATGTGGCTCCACTCCAGTAACCTACACATTGAAAAATTGTAGTTTTTGCAAAATAATGGATTACCTAGTCTATTTACATGAGATTTTAGCCTGTAATTGTGTTTTGTTTTATTCATAACTTTATAATCCAACTTGTTAAAGGGGGATCTTATGCAAAATTGATTTTTTTGTTAGTTTATACCATGTTATTATTTTCCCTCCTCAAAAAACATGCTTGAAGAGGTTTTAGTTCTGCTTTAGCGATCACTCCCGGGCTCTATTCAATGGTTAGCTTTAAGATTCTGCCCAATGCTCAATCTACTAGCCTACATTTATAAATATACAAAAGCATGATACAGAACTATACACAACAACTTTACAAACCTGGTGCGATGTGGAGTAGTATGAAAGCTATTGTTGTGATAACGCTCTAAAGGGAGAGTGACAATATGAAAAATGTTAATGCATCATTTTCGGCCAATATCGCATTGTCAAAACAAAGGTGATCTGAAAATGTTGTGTGTTAACAGTTAATACTCCATAAAAGTAAAATACTATCTCCTTAAGGATGCAAAACTCTTCAGGTCTGAAATTAGTTCATCATCATCATAGAAAGTTTAGTTTTTACAATCCATACATTCGACTAGATTAGATTATTTCTGTGAACAAATTGTCTTCTATTAGCCTGATTCATCAGCTGGTTTCACTTCGTGGAAACCATCTGACCTCGCAGCATTAGGATTCATTCACTCAACGGTAGGCGGGTACTTTTTTAATTTAACCAATCGTTGCTATTTGATCGTGACATATGTAATGTGCCGCTAACGGGGCTAACTGGTATATTAAGCTTTTCCCAAATCCCGTAGGAAGAAGGACAATAACGTCTTTCCCCTTGATAAAATTCACCAAATATTGTCTTTGTTCTGGCTTTAAATCCTCGATCTCGGGAATCGTTGCCAACAGAGAATGTGTGTCTCTTCGCTGATTAGCTGGTGCCCAGACTCGCACTTCCGTGGTTCTTGCAAACCGTTTAGTGTTTTCCAATTCCTGACCTAGTCACTGAAGAGAAATAAAATTGAGCGGAGGCACTAGGTGGCGTCAGCCTGGCTACTCTTCTGTTAGATGTAACTCAGATTTGAAGCTATTATTTTTAGCCTCATTTTCATAGATGCCTCCTTATACTGGGAATCATTGTAAGCCCAGAAATAGAACAAATTTACCTTGATCGTTATACATGTAATGCATAATTTTAACTATAAAATGTCTGAATAATACCTCATAGGACACCTTTAAGTACTACTCCTTCTGAGAGTTCACTTCTCTAATTGGTTAATTCCACCTGTCACTCACTCAGACCCTTACAGAGACTAGACAATAGGAGGAGAAACACTGAACCACAATATGATGATTTCTCAAAAATATCATATCATCACAAGAATGAGATCACAATACGATTTTTATCACTATCTCGCCCAAGCCTGGATCTTTGTGTGGCCATAGTTTGATGCTGAGACAGCGATCACAGAAGCATAACTGAAGTGTTTTTGTGTTTACAGGCCAAAAGAATTCATTGAGTGCGTGTCCCACATCCGTCAGCTGTCCTGGCTGCTCCTGGGCGCGCTCACCCACTGTGCCCTGCATCAGGGCTCCACCTCCTGCATGCCCATCCCCCTGGACGCAGGCTCCCACATCGCAGACCATCTAATCGTCATCCTCATCGGCTTTCCAGAACAGTCCAAGGTCTGCCAACTGCTCCGCTCGCTGCTTTAGAGGCTCTGAGGGAGGGATACTCCAAATGAAAACACAGCATTCAGCAAAAAACTATGTGCAATATTGACAAGGACGTGGAAGTGTTTTTCAAATATATTATACTGTTATATGAAAGAACTCACTCGATACTCAATACCCATACCACGATGATAACAAAAACACTTTTTATTTAGACAATATAATGTAATTTTCAACATTAAATCATAGTACTTTTACTACATTTATATTACCATGCAGTTTTATATCTAGTCTGTGTGGTCTGTCTTATTCTTGTTCTGATACAGTTCAAGACATTTTACTATTACTACTAGTTTCAGTATCTATTGGTACCTGATTTTTGATACTTTTGACAACCCTAAATATATATATTTTACAAATCCATACTTAAATGGTAATATACCTGATAATATAAAAGAAAATACTACAATTGAATGCTGAAAATCACATGCTTTTGTCCAGTGGTGTAGTGTGATTTTTGAAGCGGGGGTACGCAATTCCTGAGTGAGCCAGGAGGACTTAACCAAAACTAAACCAGGACTGAACCAGATCTAAACCAGGACTAAACCAGGACTACACAAGGACTAAACCAGGACTACACCAGGACTAAATCAGGTCTAAATCAGGACTAAACCAGGACTAATTTTGGACTTGAAAGACAGAGAGAGGGAGAATCCCAATCCGTGAGGCGAGGAGCTCTGCAGTCTCCTTTCCCCTGCAGTCACCTGAGGTCTAAGCTGGCCCACCTCCGACCCAGGCGTGGCACTCAGTCCTGGTTTAGTTCTGGTTTAGTCCTGGTTTAGACCTTGTTTGGACCTGTTTTAGTCCTGTTTTAGTCCTGGTTTAGTCATGGTTCAGTTCTGGTTCAGTCCTGGTTCAGTCCTGGTCCCTCACATTGCAGGTCACTATAGGACAGTAGCAATAACACATTACATTATTTTGCACATTTATTATGATATGAATATTATGTTACATTAGTTAAAACTTCAATACATTTACGATTCTCCCTTAAATCCTCCTATAACTAACTTTCCCTGTGTGTCCGTAGACGTCAGTGCTCCACATGTGCTCGCTCTTCCACGCCTTCATGTTCGCTCAGCTCTGGACCATCTACTGTGAGCAGGCGGCCGCGGCCCCGTCCCTGCAGAACCAGAACCAGACCGAGTTCTCCTCCACGGCCATCCTCACGGGCCTGGAATTTTGGAGCCGTGTCACCCCCAGCATCCTGCAGCTCATGGCCCATAACAAAGTGGTGAGCGTGGCCTCTTCTCCATCTGCTTATAGGCCCTGTAAAATGCAAAAATGTGGGAATTCTGTGGGACCTGGTGAAGCAGGAGACAAAAGTGAAATGGAATATAATGTGGTTTCACTGCGGAACCTGGGATTTACCACAGAAAACCATGAAAAATGTATGAAAAATCCAGGGATATCCACTCACATGTCAGCAATATAAGATCTTCGTTTAAAAGAGTATTATTCAGAATCGTCTTTTTTGGAGTCATTGTTCCCTCATCAGAAACATACAGGAAGAGGTTTTAGACGTCATTTATGCATGTTTGAGTAATTTAGCGATCTCTCCCAGGCCCTATTCAGACCCTCTTTAGTGCTACAATTTGTCGCCCATGCTCTTAGTCTGCAATGTTCCTTGAATTTTACAGAAGCAGGATACAAAACTGTATGGCTCTACTTGAAAAACTGATGTGATGTGCAATTGTGCGCCAATTGTGTTGTGATAACGCTTCGAAGGGGGAGTGACTTAGCCGTGAAGAGCAAAGGGAACGGGGCACTAGACATAAAATAAACTTGTTAACATGTTAATATATTGTTTTAGGTTAATATAACGTTTTCAAAACAATAAAAGGTAACATGGAGCTCTAAATATGTGTTAGAAGTGTACCCTATTCTTTAAACACATTTACAATTGTGTTACATTATTTGTTTATATTTAACAAGACATTATGAGACACTAATCATTTGGAATTTACTTTGTCTACAGATGTCAGAGAAGCTCACATATAATTTTTGTGGTCGATTGTGTTTCTATCCTTAAAATAGATGAACACTAACTTAAAGTCTGTACCCGCTGAATTTAAAGGGACACTCCAGAATTTTGGACATAGTTCCTCATTTCGTTGTGAGCCAGAGTGTTGGAGACGTGTGGAGAAACTTTTTAAAATATTCCACCCAGTCCTTGTATTTGCAGAGGTCGCTGGTGCTAGACTAGTGCATGTCAATGGCCATAGCAAAACTATTATTACACCAAACTGTCAATAAAATAATGTTTGAAATAAAACAAACTTTGCATCGCATTAATCGCCGCATGTTGAGGGATTATTTTCTCCAAGCTTTCTATCAGGAAGTACAACTCACTGCCTCTGCTCAGACATAAATCCTTCAAATGCAAGGTTGGTTTCACTTCTAAAATTATTCTATCAACACAAGGACAATTGACACAAGGACTGGATGGAATATTTAAAAGAGTATCTCCACACGTCTCCAACACTCACTAGGAAATGAGGTCCTATGTCCAAAATTCCGGCCTATCCCTTCATAAACATGTTTCGATCTGTTAATGTTAAATGTGTTACGTCTGCTCCATTTTGCCTCCCTTAAAGAATTCCCAACATTCCGATGACACAGGATTTAAAGTGTCTATAGGGCCGGAGTTGTGCGTGTGAAATATGAGGAGGAGAGGAGGATGTATTTACACAGGGGAGATGATGCAACGGCCTGATGTGTTCTGTTTCTGTTCAGATGGTGGAGATGGTGTGTCTTCATGTGATTAGTTTGATGGAAGCCTTACAGGAATGCAACTCAACTATTTTTGTCAAGGTTGGCTATTTTCACTTTTACCTGCTTAGTCAATACTTACGCAATACTTCAACTTACTTGCCAATACTTTTTTTTTGTGTGTGTTGCGTTTCATTATCTGTTCATTATCTGTTCACAGCTTATCCCCATGTGGCTGCCAATGATTCAATCCAATCTTAAGGTGAATTTTTGTAAGAATATCTTGGCTTTTGTTGTAGTTTTGTGCAGTTTATTCAGTTTTAATTGTGATTATTGTTATTGTTTAAATAAGTTACTAAAAAAACAGATGTACCAGTCCAGCTGAGGCTACAAACAACATTGATTTTCCTAATACAGTAAGTACTAAAAAGATTAAACCAGACCAGAGATCAGTTACATTTCATAGGCACAAAAGGGATATTATCCGATACCCCATGAGTAGTACCATAACAGGGCATCACTACAAAAATAGTAGAACATAAAAAATCAAAACAGATTAGTGAAAATCTGTTCTCACATATGTCACGCTCTATTCTGCCTCAAAAAACCTGGAGCAAAATAAATCTACCATGGCTTTTAAAAGATCGTGATGAAGATGATGATAATTAGCATGTTTAAAGATTTTATTCTAAATTGCATAAACCTATTGATCTATATATAACCTACAGTATGTGTCCCCAGATACAAGGTTAACATCTTCAAATCAAATATAATTTTACCGATAACAATCGTAATCTGACTTAATTACAAAAACAGACGCGATGGCCAAGTTGTTTATAGCATAATTTGGTGTTCTGGTTCTCAAGGTGATTATCATAAAGCAGAATGAGCCTCACATGTGTTTCTCATTTGGGTTGCTAGTTTCAAAGCTGAGATCCAGTTGGTTTAAACCTAAATTGTCTCTCTCTCATCTGAATGGTCACTACCTAAACCTCAGCATCTGCAGCCAGTTATGAACCAGTGCTAGTGCAGCCTCTGCAGCTCAGGGAGGGAATTCTGGAGGTTCTGAACTTTCACATGAGGCCTGTCCATAAACTGAGAACAAGACAAACTTGGATGTGTCTCTGTCTCCAGGTTAAGGCTCTGACAACCTGCAGGTTTAGTTGTGATTGTTATAGCTTTTTTTAAACAGTAAGAGTGAAGGTTACTAGTCAGGCTGGTGCTACCTAGTGCCTCCGCTCAATTTCATTTCTCTCCAGTGACTAGGTCAGAAATCAGAATACACTAGACGGTTTGCAAGACCCCCGGACGTTGTAGACCACACACCAGCCAATTAGCTGTGAGCTGTGAAGCCATGGCGTCAAACTCAAGACCCTGTCTGGGTCCCTTTTGTGGTGCAACACAACAGTAAACAAAGCGGTCGAGATGGATGTGGATGAAGACATACATTCTGTGTTGGCAACAATTCCCAAGATCAAGGATTTAAAGCCAGAACAAGAGAATATTTGGTCAATTTTATCAGTGGGAGAGACGTTATTGCCCTTCTTCCTACGGGATTTGGCGCATTACATACATCATGAGCAAATAGCAGCAATTATTTAAACAAAAAAAGTACCATCGAGCAAACAAATCCTAATGCTGCAAGATGAATCAGGCTAGCAGGTTACATACATCCCCTTTAACCTGTGCTGGTAAATTACTGTCAATTACTGTCAATTACTGTCAATACCTAAATTACAGTTAAAAATATGATTTCAATTATGCCCCATGTAACAGAATATTGCTGCTGAATTCCTCTTAACACATGTCTCTGTCTGTAGCACCTGTCTGCGGGGCTGCGTCTGCGACTCCAGGCCATCCAGAACCGGGTGAACCACCAGTGCCTCCAGGGCCAGGCGACAGGTGCCCCTCCTGTCGCTCTGCGCAAATGGCTGCAGTGCACGCAGTTCAAAATGGCGCAGATAGAGATCCAGTCGTCAGAGGCCGCCTCACAGTTCTACCCCATGTGACCTGCTGCTTTGTCCAGAGCAGAGCGGGTCAGACCACGGCTCTGCATCCACTCAGACCAAAAAGGACTTATGAAAAGGTTTTTATGTACACTGAGCTATTTTAAAATCTTAAAGTGGTATTATCATGTTTATAAAGTATATGAGAAGAGAGCTTGTAATATAAAATACTCATTATAACATTTAAATTCTATGACTTTATAAGATGCTTGGCTGCAGCTGAATAATAAAAGAAAAATTTTTGATAAACGTTTAGTCATGCTGTCATTTCACAAAAATAGATCCCTGGTTCAGAATTGTAATGTGACATTTAGGGCACTTTGGAATGCCCGCTGATAAGGGAAATGGCCAATTTACCATAATGTAGATGGTGGAGTGATACGATTGGCCGCCTTGTTTACTGTTATTGAGTGGAACCCGGAGCTCAGGTGTCTCTCCGGGAAAATGACAGGACATGCATTAGCCCGCGCTCGTCCGTGATCTTTGTCGGCCTGTCAGTTAAGCTGCCTCTCGCCATCACAGCGCGCATCCATCACTGGACCATCCCAGCAGCTTTGTAACTAGATAAGGTGGAGCCAGACATTGGAGGTAAACAAGACTATTTCGGCGGTACCCCCCTCCCTCCTCTTCCTCCTTCCCTCCCTCCTCTTCCTCCTCTCTCAAAGTGGCAAAAGCCCCCGCTCTCCCCGTCCGTCCATCATTGGCAGTGAGAGGAACAGATTGGCCCGTGCATACACCACGCAAAAACAATTACCTAAGGCCTAATGCAGTTAGTGGTGATTAAGCATTGTTGTAAGGTCTAACCGCATTACCACAGGCTCTCCTCTCAGAATAACAGATGACATGACAGCAGGGCTCCAAAGACACACTGCACATTAATCTTTGTTCTGATCTGCAAAAATCATATTATCAAACTATAATATGCAATCATGCTTATAGGAGGGAATTGGCCTAATGGGAGGGGTGGAGACGCACTAATTAACAACATTACTGTAAATGAGTCGATTTTTGTCCTAATTATATATTATAATAATCATGCATTAGTCTTATATAGCACTTTTCCAGACACTTGAGTTGTTTTACAATTCTGTGCAGTATTCATTCACGCCACACCTGATGGGGGACTATTGTAGCCAGAGCTGCCCTGGGGCAGACTGGCAGAAGCAAGGCTGCCGATCTGTGCCATCAGCCCCATCACCATCACTTATTTTTACTAGGCAAGGACGAGTGAAGTGTCTTGCCTATGGACACAATTGCAGTTTTGCCACCTGCGCCTCACTGCACCTGGAATTCCCGTTTGTCTCCAAGTACTAACCAGGGCCGGTCTTGCTTCTGAAATGTGATCAGGCTTTGACAGGGACGTTTTTCCACAATTGCTCTTCAACATGCTATTATAACTATGTATGATTCCAGATATGTAATTGTAATGAGCTACATTTAAAATCATAGGATCATAGGTGGGACAGTTCCTGAGTATGTCCCAGTACACAGTTGTTACGCTGTTATGCCACTAAACACACAAAATGGCATAACTGCATCTTCTTCATCAGGTTCAAAGAATGTTTGATGTTTAAGAAACAGCTTTAAACCTTGTAATTATTCAAGTTTTGTTTAAAAGACTGAGATAAAATTCCACTAAAATATTAAACATAGCTTTTGAGTAGTTAGTATTTTCCATGCACATTTTATGCTTTCACTTGACAGCACTATGCCTACTTGTAACTGTACATTTTTAGGAAGTAACTGTACTTTTACTTGAGTAAGCAACTATCCACCACTGCCTGATGTTCGACCAGGACTTCTGCATGTAGCTTTTTGGCACTGCATGCATATGAGGGCCCATGATGAGACTTGGGTGACGCGTGACTCACTAGTTTGGTAATATCGCACAATGTGACTAATAACTCCACACAGACTAAAGCCACGCTCTCACGACTGACCCGGACACGCAAGAGCCGATTCAGGAAGCAGCGGACCCCTCTCCAGTCCCGCTCATCAAAGCTCCCCCTCCCCCCGCTGCGCACCTCTCCTGCCGGCGTCTACGTGGATAGGTGAGTGCGCGTCTAATCAAGTCCCCCTCGGCCTCGGGTTGCATCTGTCAGCCGCCACTGTTGCTAGCGTTTGAACTCTTCTTTTTTTCTTTTTTTTTTCCTCGCCAAAGAAGCCCTCTCTCATTAGCAGCAGCTTATGTAATCACAGTCCCACAGGTACCCCGGCCTGGCCCCGCCCCGCCCGGCTCTCCCCCATCCTCTGCGCGGCCTTGGAGGAGCATATGCGCGCGCTGACCTGATGAGGAGGCAGCTGGAGGTATGGGGGTAATTAGCGCTGACCAAAGGGCTCTCAGGCGAAGGGAGAGAGGGAGGAGAGGACGGAGAGGAGAGGAGGATAGAGAGAGGGAGAGAGGAGTGAGGAAGGGAGAGAGGCTCCTCAAACGTAGTGAAGGTCAGCTTTGAAACGGACTGTGGATAAACTAGAATCATCCCTGGATTATAGATAAGGCAGCAGGACCACAGAAAGAAAGTTATACTATATGCTAGAGGCTTATTCTCTTATTTTCATCTTAGTTTAAAAGCGTAACAACACTAATTTGGCGTTGTGTGTTGGAGAAGTATCCTATTTTTCTTAAAGGGCTCATATTATGCTATTTTCTGATCTGTTATCATGTTGTTTCCTCATCAAAAACACACCCAGAGTTTAACAGAGTGTAGTCTTTACTGAAAAATGTAAAAGTGGGCAAGGTACTATGCCCTGATGAAGACCATCTTGCTGGTCACAGTGGCGTCCCTCCATGAAATAAAGGACTTTTAATATATTCAGTCAGAGTGCCTTGGGTTTGTACTGCGATAGAAATTTATAATGTGGAAAGATTTCTCTCAATTTGACTTTGTGTAAATGAATATGATTTCTACCGGAGACCAGACCCCACCAGGAAAATATTGACTATGATGATTACATTAAAATAGTGATTAGTTTAGAAACACATTTGGTCTTGTAACTAAAACTCGTTTGATTTGGTCCGTTAAAGACAGTGTTAGGAAGACCCTTCAATATAAACACTATGGATGCAAATCAGATCAAGCACATCTGGCCACACCGCAAAAGGAGTCGTCACCTTCTTAGTTTGAAATGTATATGTCCTCTGGTCATCCCAGGCTATATAAACTTAGTGCTTTGTAACATTCGGGGTCAAATGGAGTAGGAACATACTGCTGGCGAGAGGAGGCTGTCCAGATCTGCTGTAACAAGAATAAACCTTTGTCTGTACTCCAAAAACTCATCAGGCTTTGCAAATAGATTAATTATTTATCATCAAGAGATATATATTTTTTTTTTCACAACAGTACCTTGCCCACTTATAATTTTTTAGTAAGAGCTACATTCTGTTAAGATTACCTACAAGTCCCTTCATAACCTGGCCCCTCCCTGTCTCACCGAGCTCCTCTGTCTGCACTGTCCCACGCGCCGCCTCAGATCAGCCCACACCAGCCTCCTCACTCCCCTCATCAGGACAAAGCACCGGATCTTGGGGGACCGAGCCTTCGCCGCCGCCGCCGCCCCCTCCCTTTGGAACTCACTCCCACAATCCATCAGGAACTCACTGCAGCACTTCAAATCACGACTAAAAGCTCACCTGTTCAATCTGGCATTCCCTCCATGATTTCCCCGTTTTCTACAGTGTCACTTTTTATTTGTTTGTAAAGCGTCTTTGAGTGCCCAAAAAAAGCGCTATGTAAGTCCGATGTATTATTATTTATTATTATTACTAGTTTAAAACCTGTACTGCTGTTTTTGACTTTTGTATGACCCAGTGAAGCGCTCTACCTCTTTTCTTCACCTGACACCCAGAGCTGTGTTTTGTTTCATTCACACATTTAACTCACAAATCATACATATTTAAGCAGAGAGAATACTCCATTGTGTTTTTAAACTCCATACACTCACAAGAATTACTTGGATAATTTCAGCCTTGGAGTTTTCGATTCCCAGCTTGAAAACTGTCACCACATGACAAAATAAAAATTCAGTTCTACCTGGGTGACTGACAAGGAGGAACAGAGCATTTTGAGCTTTGGAGATGTACACAGACTAATAATGCAGGATCACTCAAACATGTGAATGAAAAAACACAACTCCAGGTTTGTTTTTGAGGAGGTAACAACATTATAACATGGCTTAAAGCTCACAAGAGTCAATTTTGTAGTCTGTAGGACCTTTAAATGTATTCTGGCTTATTAAAAATAAAAACAGCTGAATCACAAGCTTGTCTACGTGAAGATAGACGATTTTAATGCCACACGGTAGAACGTTCTAAGCAAAAGACTGGCAGATTCCAGATTTCACAGAGTCTATAGGCCTGCAGTTATGTGGTCTGTATCAACCTGGGTCCACTCTATGGAAACCCTCTTCTAAGAGCAGTGGTGGAGGGTAACAAAGTATACTTAAGTACTGTGCTCAAGTAAAAATGTTTAGGTATATCTTTACTTACGTATATTTTAAAGTGGATACTCTTTACTTTTACTTCACTACACTTAAGAACAAGCATCTGTACTTTCTACTCCACCACATTTTTCAACAGGACTAAAAAGTAAAAGTATTTTTTAAGAGTATATGAGACCTGCAGGAAGTTTAGGTTTTGTTTTTAAACACACTTGTAGTCTGAGCAAACAAAAATATAAAAATAGTCAGAAAAAAAAACAGTTGTTTTTACTGAACAAAATTCCTCATAAATCTTTATCAAAATCACAATATTTGAAGCTTTAATAGACCTCAAAACCTGCCCGAAACAGGTACTTTAATACTTTTACTTATGTTGATTTTTTTAAAATGATACTTGTACTATTTTGCTCCAGTATCTGTATTTTTACTTAAAGGTGCACTGTGTACCATTTTGGTTGGAGGTCCGTCACTTGTTTGTTTCTATAGATAGGTTAATGTATGGATTTCTCTGCCTGGAATGTTCCACAGTACGACATTAAACAACTCTAACTTACATTTGCTCAATTACGGGTGGTTTTACAGCTTGAAAACACCTAGAAAAAAGATATTCTGACTGTGAGTGGGGTTGCCTCTCCACAGATCTGACCTGTGACTTAAAGATAAAAAGGTTTAATAGGCCACTGTACTGTGAAACATTCCAGACAGCATTTGCCAGACCCTCCATTAGAAAAGTTACACAATACAACAAGCTGATTTTTTCATGTGATACTTTTACTTTTACTTGAGTATCTTTCTGCTCTAGTATCTGTACTTTCACTTAACAAAATTAAGTTCTTCTTCCACGATCCAAGAAGAGGCACAGAGAGCTTATCCAAACATCATTGGTCCCCTCGTCCCCTGGTCCAGCGCTGTCACTTTGCTTTTATAACAGCGGGCTCCACAGCGCTCCGGCCGGACAGTAGGCTACATGAATGTTTAAATTGCTCCGAGTGTCCGTTTGCGTTAGCGTCGAGTGGCACGTCCAGAGCCGAGTGCCGTGGGATCCATTCACTTTCCTCTCCAGTGCGCCTCGGCTCCACCGGCTCCAGGCCCGTCCCTGCGTTTGTTTCACACCATTAGGTAAATGCACACCGCGGGAATTAACGAGTGTCTGTAACGCTTAGTGGTGAAAGCTTGTAGCCCACTTTATTGGCTTATTTTGATGTTATGGTTTTGTTTTGGGTTTGAAAACTAGGCCTGGTGTAACTGGTGTAATATTAATTAACCTTAAAGGGCCCATATTACTTTTTTTTTTTTTTTTTCTGATCTATGCGATAATATTGTTTCTTGTGTTTTGTTTCATTTACACGTTTAACACACAAATCCTGCATATTTAGGCTGAGTTCTTTCCTCAAACAGAAAACACTCCTTTTGACGTCATGCAGTAATACAGGAAGTGCTCCACTGTGTTTTTAAACTCCACACACCTTCACTAGAATCACTTGGATCATTTCTGCCCTGAAATAGCCAATCTCAGCTGATTGAAAAGTCAAAGGTAGCTTTTAAAGGGACAGTCCGGAAAGTTGGACATAGGACCTCATTTTCCAGTGAACCAGTGTGTTGGAGACGTGTGGAGACACTTTTAAAATTTTCCATCCAGTCCTTGTGTCAATGGCCATAGTTTTCCTGCCACTAAAAACAGTCTTACCCACACCACAAAGCACCCAAAGTAAATTTATTATTACACCAGACTGTCGATGTGAATGTCTGTGTTGATAGAATAATGTTTGAAATAAAACTAACCTTTCATCACATCAGTTGTCGCATGCTGAGGGACTATTTTCTCAGCAGCAGCAAAATTTTACTTTGCTGGTAGGATAGGTGTTAGGTGATATCAGTCCGCTGCTGCCAAGCTTTCTATCAGGAATTACAACTCACTGCTGCTGTGCAGACATAAAACCTTCAAATGTAAGGTTGCTTTTACAGCTAAAATTATTTTATCAACACAGACATTTAGATCAACAGTCTGGTGTAATAATAGTTTTGCTTCAGGTGTTTTGTGGAGTGGGTAAGACTGTTTTTAGTGGCAGGATAACTATGGCCATTGACATGCACTAGTCTAGCACCAGTGACCTCTGCAAATACAAGGACTGGATGGAATATTTAAAAAAGTGTCTCCACACGTCTCCAACACTCTGGCTCAGTAGGAAATGAGGTCCTATGTCCAAAATTCCAGACTGTCCCTTTAACTTGAAAACCACAGCTCCGTGACATCACAAGGTAGAACAAAGCATTTTGAGCCTTTAGATGTAGACAGACAATAATAATAAAATATTATTCAAACATGTGTGAATGAAGCAAAACACAACTCCAGGTCTGTTTTTGAGGAGGTAACAACATTCTAATATGGCTCAGTGCTCACAAAAATGCATGTTGTAATATAGGACCTTTAAAGATGCATTGTACAACTTTTCTGGTGGAGAATCCGCTACCTCTTTGTCTCCATGGAGATGTTATTGCTTTCCCTTCAATGTTCCATGGTATGACATTAAACACATCAATCTAGCATTTGTTCATTATGGATGTTTCTACTGCTCAAAAATACATTAATTCCTTCTGTGAATAGGGGAGACTCTCCAGAGATCTGAGCTGTAATCTAATGCTGAGCACTGTAACCTGCTTGCCTTCATCATGATACATTCTAGACAAAGCAAGAACATTTCCATGGACACAAGTAAGTAGCGGACCCCCTACTAGAAAAGTTGTGCTGTGCATTTTTAACAAAGCATCAAGAAACTGTCATGAACAATGTTTATTAAGACTGAGATGGTATTGATTCAGTAGTCTACAGTTATTAAGCTTGAATCTTTTTTAAAGAGGAGGTATTAAGCAAAACTGATTTATTTTCAGCTTTTTACCATGTTATGTTATCCTCTTATCAAAAACATGCCTGAAGAGGTTTTAGACGTCATCAGTGCATGTTTGCGTGTTTAAGCAATCTCTCCCAGGTCCATTTCGAGCCCTCCTTATGGTGAGCTGTAAGATTCTGTGCAATGCTCAGCCCACAAGCCGATGTCATCCATGCTCCCACACGACAATTCTCCATAAATATACAACAACAAAATACAAAACTGTACACAACAACTTCACAAACCTGTTGTGATGTGCAGTAGCAGGACGCACGCTGACTGTGTTGTGACCAGGCTCTGACGGGAGAGTGACTTAAAGGAACAGTCCGGAATTTTGGACATAGGACCTCTTTACCTAGTGAGCCAGAGTGTTGGAGACGTGTGGAGACACTTTTTAAAATATTCCATCCAGTCCTTGTATTTGTAGAGGTCGCTGGTGCTAGGCTAGTGCATGTCAATGGCCATAGTTATCCTGCCACTAAAAACAGTCTTACCCACTCCACAAAACACCCGAAGTAAATCTATTATTACGCCAGACTGTCGATGTAAATGTCTGTGTCAAAAGAATAATTTTAGAAGTAAAACCAACCTTGCATTTTAAGGATGATCTAAGCAGCAGCAGTGAGTTGTACTTCCTGATAGACAGCTCGGCAGCGGCGGACTGATATCACCTAGCACCTGTCTTACCAGCAAAGTAAAATTCCACTGCTGCTGAGAAAATAGTCCCTCAACATGCGACGATTCATGCGACGCAAGGTTAGTTTTATTTCAAACATTATTCTATCAACACAGATATTTACATCGACAGTCTGATGTAATAATAGATTTACTTCAGGTGTTTTGTGGAGTGTGGGTTTTTAGTGGCAGGAATAACTATGGCCATTGACATGCACTAGCCTGGCACCAGCGACCTCTGCAAACACAAGGACTGGATGGAATATTTAGAAAAGTGTCTCCACACGTGTCAGACACTCTGGCTCACTAGGAAATGAGGTCCTATGTCCAAAATTCCGGACTGTCCCTTTAATGTAGAGAGCAAAGAGAGTGAAGATTCAGTGTCAAAAACGAAACTGAAACTTATAAAACATGTTAATACATTGTTCTCAGCATATATAGCATTTGTTAAAAGGTAACATGGTGATCTAAATATGTTCTGTTTTAGCAGTTAATGCCCCATAGAGGTGGAATAGCCCCACTTTAATAAATTATTAATTAAATATTTTTTCATGCTTTATTTAGGCTAATTAAAGGAGCTCTATGCAACTTTTCAGGTAGAGGGTCGACCATCTGCTCGTCTCAATGGGGATGTTATTGCTTTAACAGTATGGCATTAAACATATTTATCTTATTCTTATCTTAAATATCTTATTTATTCATTAGCGGATGTTTGTATTCCTCAAACACTTGTACACGTTCACCTGGTATCATGTCTTGATTGCCCCCGTGTGGATAGATCACTTTTATGCCATGCTACAGAACACCCCAGGCAAAGCAACATCTTCAGAGACAATAGCAAACCCTCTATCAGAAAAGTTACATAGTGCCCCTTTAAGGTGTAGTTATTATATATTCAGAGATACCAAATACGTTTTTGTGTGAAATTAATGATTAATAATATAATCTCACCGGTTAAAAACAGTCTTTTTGGCAGATTTGGGCAAAGTTGGAGCAAAAACTACTGAGTCCATTTTCTGTACAGCTTTATTTACAACTGAAAACTCAGCCACAAAATCAACTTATGCACGTTGTTTCCACAGCTGTTTGGTATAATGCATAAATTGAGTGTGTACTATTGATTGCCATATATACATTAATGGCTTGCTCCAACAACATGACAACATTGACTTAATTCTAAATGGTTGCACATTGTTTCAGCGTTACTATGTAGAAACATACTGTATGTTGTTACACTGTACATGAATAACAGTCCAGAAGGCAGAGATTTAAATAGCAGTATTTACATTCATGCATCCATTTTCTCTCTCTCTCAGGGCGGGTGTACTGTGGCTAAGACCTGTGCATGTTTCAATGCAAGCACGACGTCACTTATTTAGACTAAACCTCTACTCACAGCCAGAGTTACCCCACTCCTCAGCATGCACCCACAGACAACAGGACAGACAGACTCACGGGAGGAGAGGAACAGGAGGAGAGACAGACAAGGAGGACAGAGGTGGGAGGAGAGAGAGAGACAAGGAGGACAGAGACAGGAGGAGAGAGTAAGAGAGAAAGTCAAAGAGGACAGAGATGGGAGGAGAGAGAGAGGCAGGGAGACAGATAGAGGTAGAGAGAGACAGACAGACAGAGAGAGTGAGAGAGAGATAGGTAGAGAGAGAAGGAGGGAGACCAATAAAGGGAGAGAGAGAATAAAGAGAGACAGGAGAGACAGAGAGAGGAAGGGAGACAGATCACACACAGCAGTCTGGTGGCTCTGTGGGACAGGCCGGTGACAGCCCGCCGGGGCCTCGCTCACAGTAACCTGAGCTCCGACTATTGGATCAAACTCACAAGGTCAAGCCCTGGCTCATGTCCCCTGTTTCTATAGCGATGGGCTAAGCCCTTGTGACACAGAAAAGAAAGATTGTCACATCCAAACAAAAGATGGCTGAAGGCATCTAGCTGACCTCAAGACAACAAACAACGCGATGGAGCACACAGCTGGAGATGACCATTCACACACACAGGGACAGGAGACCGCGTCTGCAGCCTTAAAGCGTATATCACACATGGACTACACTGTAGAAATGACTCACTTAAAAAACATAGAGATCCAGTGATAAAATAACCTCACCAAGTTCTTTTCAAGTGTGGAGAATGTACAAGACAGTACAAAAATAAAGGTGGATACGTAAAGAAAAGCATGACTGACTGGAGTATATTACACAGAGTCCTCATGGAGTCCAGGCCATGCACATAAGCACGCTCGCTCCTCTTGATTCCACTTTAGATTGCATAGTCCAATGAGTCCGTGTGAAGGAGCAGAGCTGTCAGATGGAGAACAGAAGGTGGAGGCTCTAGAAAAGGTTGCATTGTGTGTCAAAGTGCATGCATGTTTTGTTGTTTGTCTGTCCTGAGGCCCAGGGGACTGCACTGTGGTCTATGGGCTGCACATATCACCAGGCCTGGATCTGCAGCAGACTGGCAGACAGTCCTCTCCAGTCAGCAGCCAACCAGGCTGTCAGCTCCACGCGCTCTTACTGAGAGCATAATGTGCAGCCTGCTGGGCCTCTCCACATACTCCACCATCTTTCTTTCATTCACTTGATTTCTCCTGCCGTCTGCCGCAGCTTCCCTTAATGCTGAATGCTGTCGTTTCTGGGCAACATGCCAAGCAGAGAGGAGAGGGTGGAGCCCTGGTGAGGGGGCTGAGGCAGGACTGAGGCAGGCCTGTGTGAGGGGGAGTGGGGGTGGTGGGTCAGTTTATACCACAGTGTTGTTGGGGCTCATGGCCTTCATGTTGCGGATGCTCATGGCGTACTCCCCTCGACTTGTGCCGTTCTCTTCTATTCGAAGTGGTTTTCTGCAGAGACAGTAGGACACAGTGAGAGGGAGTGACAGACTTTTGACATCATATTTGCCCTCAGCTAAAGGCCAAGCCATTAACTAGACTTTGGGACTGGTAACCTTTAGGCTGATTCAATTTCTCTCCGCTCACCATTCCTTTCTAATAAGCCACGTGTTCAAAGGTCATTTTGCACAGAAAACATGAAGGACGATACAGGAAAAAGTAGGGATACTTAGTTTTCATATAAGCATTTGTATGTGTAATGTGGTGTAGCCGGCTCCCTGACTACTGCTCTGCTGAGTAAAAGCCAGCTGCCACACCATTCTCTTGGCCGATGGTGGTGAGGAGCAGTGTGAGTGAAAGAGCTTCTTTATGCACTCTTTATATTTGTCCAGTGTACTGTGGTAGTGCAGCGACCCCCTCAGAGCCTCAGCCTTATGTAACGCACAGACAGACCTCAATACAGTGTGGACACTCATTGTCCACGGGGCCCGTACAGTGCTTCAGCCGAGCACGAGCCCTGAGCCACATCTTAGCTCCGTGTCTCTGAAAGCTCCTGACCGCTCCAGCCCTCACCACTCCAGGTCAGGGACCAAGCTTTTTTTTTTTGCTTTTTTTTAAAATAAACCAATCTGCATCATGTCAGACAGACATCAACACAACAACTGAAATAACGAACATGAATATAAACAATAATAATATTTAACAAAAAAATTCAACTAAAGAAGAAACCTTGAAGATTTTCTTTATTGCATCAGAAAATATACTGGGATTCCATTAAGTCCACCATCAAGACCAAGCTTTTTGTAACATCACGAAAGGAGCACAGAGGGAACCACTTAAACTAAAGCCAATCTTCTTTGGGTCATATCACAGCACAAATGGAATTGTGATCTGATCTGTGAGACAATGCTATTTTAGTCATTTGGTTTCAGTGCCTCTGCGAGCCTGGTGAGCCCCTCTTATGTTCTGTTCGAGTGTATGAGGGTCTGAGACCAGGTGCAATGCAAATCTCGTCTTCAGCTATTTTTTCCCCTCTACAATCACACACGTTTATTTGTTCTATATGTCCAATAACATCAAGTCTATAAGTTGTCCGTCGTCAGTGGTAGGAGTTTAGATCTTTACAAACTGATTCTGCAGAGACTCAATGTGTACTTGTTAGATAGACCTATCCATTCATATGACACTTCTTGACTCAGTCCTGACAGACTACACAGTCCTAGTCTGGGCTCATGTAGAGCTTTTCTTGTGCATTTTTCTCATGCAGTTCTGACAGCTCAAGTGCTCAGATGTGCACTGCTGTTTGTTCAACACCTGTAAAACAATGGGCTCCCTGCTGTCACACTTTAAAATGGCTGCCTCTACGACATTACTAGGACACCACCACCTGCTTCAACTGAGCTCTTCTGAAATCAAGCCCATTCTAACTTTTATCCACCAGCAAAGCTGTGTTGCTACTTTTTACAATAACTTCACCGCTAGCTCAGATATACTTTGCCTTCATCAACAAAATCGGACTTGTTTCTATTTCCTTGTTTGTTTTTGTATATGTTGTGGCCACTGCAATAGCAGTATGTTTGTTAGACAGTGTGCACACCAGCGGCACAGTGTGATGAGTAATATGTCTGTGTTTAATTGCCTGAGGTTGCTCAGGTGATGTGAGCTAATGGCCTGAGTCCATGGCTAAAGCGTCCCTTAGGAGCTGAGGGGCTGAGGCCCTTAGAGGAGCCCAGCACTGGGCAACTGGGTCCATCTGCTGCAAGGCATTCTGGGATACAGCCTTTTCTCTTGGGGTACAGTTAGATAGTCCTGTCAGTGAAGTGTTTGAAAAGTGCGTGTGTTGATGTGTGGTTGCATAATGGATGTGAAGGGTCAGTGTGATTGTCATTGGGAGCAGGCATCTCCCTGACACTTGTCACTGTGCTGCTTGAAGGTGCTGTTTGTTTGTATCTGTGGGTGATCCCAGCTCAGACAGAGTGCCCGCTCCGGGCCAGCACACAGGCCAGTGGCACGGGCCCGCCGCGCCGACCTCTACCCAGGCCCTTCAATAATAGATGGCATGCTGTTGACACATGGCAGGTGGCAACACAACACTTCACAGGTTGGATGAATATTTCATAAGAAAGCTGTGCAATCACAGCGCACATTCCTGTTTGAAGTTTGGGAATGGATCATGCTGAAATTGGGACATGTGTTGAGCTGTTTACAATTACTCCAGCCATCTGGAAATCTGTGTAGCATGATATGGTTCAAAGAGGAAGATTTTAAAACATTGACTTGAAAACGGTGCCAGATTAGCTTTCAAAATGAAATGAACAAAAACGAGCAACACATTAGTGGTAAATGTTCACTGTGCTGACCGTTCTGTGTGCCTGGTGGCTCTTGGTCAGCTCCAGCTGTGAAGCATTCTCTGGACAGTGTTTGTGGACAGTGTCTGTGGACAGTGGGCAAAGCACTGCTAAAGAGCAGGGAGCTTGATCAGTGACTTGGTTGGAGTTGTTTGTTTTGGCTTTTGCTTTAGATGGCACAGCACCACAGACTGGAAGCGTGTGCCAATACTCTGCTTCCCCACACGCCTCCCTGGTGATCTGCACTTTGAATACAATAGAATGGACGTGTTTTTTTTCTCCTGACAGATGAGTGGCAGACTCCGATTATAAAAAACAGCAAAGGGCCAGGAGGGCTGGAGCCCGCAGAGCGAGGTCCTCAGCTGTCTGCGGCTCAGGCTTTGGCGTGCTGCCAGCTCATTTTCATTGGGAAAGCCCAGAGCATGAGGGGCTGGAGCCTATATATAACCAGTGCACTTTTCTCACTGACAAACCCTCTCTTTCATTGTTATTGACTCTGCCGCTCAATTACCGCCTGTGCTTGCTTTGCAGGACATTTTATGTTCTTTTCTGCTGCGCTGTGTATCCTGCTCTTCCGCTGCGTAGCCGTGGATCATTAGAGGATCCATGACAAATTGAAAAGAGTGACATTTTTCCTGCCCTGCTGCTATTGGCTGGTGCCTAATGGAGACCTAATGAGAGAGTGTGGCCAGAGCTCCTCATTCACAGAGAAGGGCAGAGCGGGCAGCAGGCGGCCACAGTCTGCTGTCTCCTGCTTCAGCTTCAGGACACGACCCACTAGCATGTAGAAAAGATGTGGACCACTGAATGACTCTGCAAATTAATTCATAAATAATGACTTGGGTTTGGGGCTAGAGCCCGAATTGCAACAACACTTTGTTACCACAGCTGCATTAAAAAAGTGCCCCTTGGCTACACAGAGGCTGGAGAATCACCATAATGAATTCCTGAGCCAACCACCCATTACTTCCGCAGCCTGACTTTGCCTATTTGTAGTTTACAGAAAGGAGAGAGTCCTGCTGAGGAAAGCCATATCTGGCAGACTCAACATACTGTTGTAAATATAATAAGGTATCATACTAAAGCTATTGAATGGCCATAAATAAAGCATGGAAGTAGCCCGGTTAAACAGTGGCGGCTCTGCACTGGCTCCACACGGCTGACTGAGTGCTTATGTTTATGCCATATTTTCTCAGGTGTGTAAATATGCCAGCATGATGTATGTATGCGAGTGCCTGAGCATTCTCTCTCTCTCTCTCTCTGCCTCAGTGCAGTGCTCCTCACTACTGTGTGTTTGATAAACAGCAGCGGCCATTATTAACACATGTGTCACTGTGCATGTGTGTCGTAGTGCCAACTCAATGTCACACTCAAAACTGGGTCTAGGTTGTGCTGTAGGCTACACAATCTCACAGCTTTTTCAAATGCCCTTTTACTTCTACAAGATGGACACTAATGTAAATTAGATGTCACAATTCAAGCACCACTCAGTATATTCATCTAAGCATATTGTGGTGTTGTGGTTCTTCTTGTTAGACATGTATTGCCTATTAGTTGACCTTTGACCTCATAGTGACCTAATCGGGTGAGCACACGGTCACAGCAGCCTTCTAGACCCTAGTCCCAGTGCAGTGTCCCACAGGCCGGATTACACATGACATGGTAGACAGGCTGTCCCTAAGGGCTCCTGTTTCAAATCCTCTTCACTTGGTCATGTTTCAGGCACACACGGAGCACCCCGGTGCAGTGGAGAGCACACTATGTGCTAACAGTACAAGTGGAGATGATAAAGCCATTGTGACACCCACCTCTTGATGGCCTTGTAGCAGATGATGACGGCTGACAGGAGGAAGAGCAGTGAGGCACAGCCCACCGTTCCCAGCACTATAAAGTCCATCTCTAACCACCAGGGCCGGACTAAGGGCACCATGGGCTCCACCACTACAACACACAACACGGCAACATTAACACATGTGCTTGGGTTTTAATTTTACATTTATCCACAATAGTGAGATGGAAAGGTAGAGAAAGGTTAGTCACACATTAGTAACGATGTCACATTTCTGATTGAGAACAATGAAGAGGACAGTGTTTCATACAAAGGGAGTGTAACGAATGGAGACAGATTAAACTTCCAATTGGATTGTCAATCCAATTGCACTGAGTGCATAGAAAGGAATCTGCACTGGCCAAACATTAAGAAGCTCCAACATGGACACACTGGAATGCACATGTGAAAGTAAATCTCCAGGGAGGCTGTACATTTTAAACTAAATTCAAATAAACATTTATGTGTGATCCAAAGTGAAAAGGTGACTGGAATGAAGTCTCAGGCTTATGTTGTTTTGCAAAGCAAGGAAAGACAGTCACAGAAAATCATACTAATCCATTATGATTACAAACACAGAAAGAGCACAAAGAACTAAGTCTTAAGCGATTATCCACTTGTGCCTTGTTACATGCTGAAGAGTTTACTCAGCCAGAACCATTTTTCTGTTAACCAAATGGAGTGGGTTTGTTACCGTATTCACTTCAATTGATTTCCACACAATCAATTCAATCAATGACAACATTTATCCAAATTGGATTAGGATTTATGCTTTACACTTCACTGGAGTGTGTACTTTTAAATTAGGATGGAAGGCAATTTCTTGTAGCGTATCAGCACTAGGAATGGGATAAGAGCTCATCCTGCTCTCCTCACAAGATCAAAATGTCACTTCTGGTTTAAAATGTGAGAATACAAGGCTAACGTTTACATTAGACAGCTGAAGAATCATGCAATAATCACATTAATCATTTGGCCTGGAACCAGTGTCCAATGCACAAGTAACATTATGATATTAAAATGCAAGAAATAAAACTATCACAAATAAAATCTATATATGTCTTGTATCATCCCGTGGGATAATTCTCATCCCATCCCTCATTAGCACCCATTAAATTGTGTTTGGATAAGGTAGTATGAGGTAATGCAAGGCGACCTGAGGGTGATTTGAGCTTGGCTCCATTTTAAGACCTAATTTCAAAGCATATCCTGCGATTTGTGCTTCCCTGTAAAACCTCACTATCCATTTGTCCATTACATCAGCAGAGAAAGTGTGGCAGGTAAAAAAGTGTCTGTGCTCCCTGAAGTGGGAAGTGTCCTTGCCTGTTCAGTAGGTCTTAGGTTCAAAGATATCCAAGCCGACTACATGAATCATTTAGGGTCCCGTCAGCATTCCTTAAACCAGCACTCTTGTCCACACCAATTACTCTGGGAAGGAAAAACCTGCTGCTCTTTCCACATTAGATCTGTAGAGTAAGACCACTCACCAGGAATCTTGTATAACATTAAGTGCATCTGCACCCTTGTGTCTGTAATGCACAACCAGCTCTCTCCTCCAAGCATCGCTCAGTGATCTGTGCATTTGAATATTGTCTCCCACTTTGCATGCTTTGCTATGAATGACTTACTGGGATTACACACTGGCAACAAATCAGTCTAGCAAACGCTCTTTTACAACCCAGCCAAAACGCAGGCATGGTTCTTACGGTACAGCAATACACATCATAAGACAGGCCCTTCTGAAATCTGAAAGGTTCCATTTTATTCCACATCCTGTGACTGTTGGAGGGTTTAATTTGGCTGGTGTAAGGAAGGACTTGGTTATGATAAAGCCCGCTCCTTTGAAGGCACTGGGGAGCGTTTGCAGCCGCTTTACTGACAGTTTTTCAGACCTTTAGCTCTTAGATATGGTCTCTGCCATTGTCCCACTTTCTCTTTTACATTTGCATATTCATTGCATTTAAAAGACTGTTTAAGGAAGTGAAAGAGAAAGTGGTGATTAGAATAAATGGCAATTATGTCCCTTATGAGGGAATTATGCATGATGTCTGCACCCTGTGCAAACACGCTGTGGTGCATTAGAAGGGCTAAAATAGGACTGTTATTTATCCTAATACACTGGCAGATATAATCAAGAGCACTTTTATATCAAGGGAGCAGTTGGTGGCTAAACTCAATGAAACACTGAGCCAGATCAGCTGATCTGCCCTCAGCAAAAACAACTGCTAACTATACCAGGCTCAGTGGGTCTTCTCTATCAGGCATAGTTAGATCTGTCAGTGGTCCATAAACAAATCATGTGATATTGTAAAGGACATGCTCTGCATCATGCGCCAATACACACAACACACAAAGTTCACTGTCCCTGTCAGGCTAAAACATCTATGAAATAATGCATGGCATCTCTGCTATTTTATCTCTGCTGCTGATAATTCATGTGCAAACACATACTGCCAAAATGTACAGTGTGCACTGTACGCAGAGTTTTCTATCTTGAAAACAAACTCAGAAATTATTTACTTTTTTGTTTCTGCTGCTTCCAATATCTCTAAAATGAGATTTAAGGACAGACTCTAATCATCTCACATTTATAAGCAGAATGTTCTGACTGTGGACTGATTGAGATTTGCCATTATAGTGTGTCCAATGTGTCCTACAGTGCTGCTCACACAGGTGGCTGCTGACGTGCCCTCATTCATGTGCGAGCCTTAATTAGCCGGTTAAACCCCCACCTCTCCTCAGTCAGATGGCCCTGGCAGCTCCATCCACTGACCTTGACAGCAAACAGGGAAAGGTCTATAACTCGGCGCTTAGAGGTAGTGGCATGGTGAGTCAGGGGAAAAAGGTCCAGCTAAATTGACCAGACAGAAAAAAATCATTGGAACTGATTGATTAAAACCTTTCCACTGCTGTCTGTGAGAAGGTGATGATGAACTACTCTTCCCTCCTCATAATATTAAGGGCTTGGGGTGAGCCCATCTTAAGAGTCACAGTAATAGCTCAAAATGGCTGCATCATCAGCAACCCCTGTCCCATATATCAGACCACTGTTCATTAAGGTGCTTGGGACTACATACAAATCATATTAACTTTCAGCAAGCGGCAAGTGAAATATGTTTGTTTATCATCAGTGCAGTCACACAGAGGAGGGAGGGATACTGCAACAGGCATTTCATTTGAAAGAATTACATTTTGTTTTCTTTATGTACAATTACGTTTGCAGTAGCATAACTCCTTTAGTGTGTGTACTTTTGATTAGCTAATGCACATACCTTCATGTGGTGTGCAGTGTTGTCCACTTATTTGGCACCACAAAGCATCTGCAACCTATGCCAACACACACTAGTTCTAAGGTGTAATAAACATCTCTCTCCTCTGGCAGGAAAAATAGATACACTTAAAGTTCCTCACTTACAGAGGCAAGCTGATTCTGGGGCAGCTCTGAGGCAGACTGACCAAAGAACACTGAAGCAGAGATCACACTGACACACTTACACATCCAAAATGCATATATAGACAGTTAAACTGGACAAATGTTTAAAACTGAGAGGTATTTGAAGGTAGGACCAGGTAGATGTAATGTAAGGTTATTTAAAGGAACTCTGTTTTTAAAAAGGTATTACAACAATTTATAGGCCGGCTATGCCTCATGTGAAATCTCAGAACCTCCAGAATTCCCTCCCTGAGCTGCAAAGGCTGCACTAGCACTGGTTCATGACTGGATTCAGGTGCTGGAGTTTAAGTAGAGACCATTGAGATCAGGGAGAGGTATTTTAGATTTAAACCAACCAATTTCAGCACTGAAACTGGCAACCCAGACTTATGCGAAGCTCATGTTGCTTTTTGACTGGATAATCATTTTGAAAACCAAAACACCAAATTGTAAACAACTTGACCATCATATGCAATGTTTCTATAATTAAGACTAAATCAGCATTACAATTGTTATTAGTAAAAGTTATATTTGATTTGAACCTGTTTTTTCACTTCGATGCTCGGGAAATTAAAATAAAAATTTTAAATACTGTTCCTTTAACACTGGCTAAAATATATGGTCTATTTTGAAGAAAAAGCTGATTTATGCAGTGCAAACTGAAAGTAGTATCAAGGATAGTGCTTTAAAAGTAAATGCTTGTAGTACAACAAATAACAACAGAGTCTCACTGCCTCCAGCTCAACTTCAAAACCAAGTGGTGGGTTCGGTTCATTAGCCTCTTATCTCTATCAAATTAAAGCTAATTAAATTAAGTCATCTGTGTTTTAATCAGGGGTCCTCCGGGGGGAAACCCTAGCACACTGATCCACTGAGCCTGGCAGCCCAGCAGGCGAGAGTTTCACAGGCAGCTGGGTACTCCCCAAGGGCAGAGCCGGCATAAATTAGGCCTACGTTGAACTGTCACATCCTGCTGGCTCTATCAACACACGCCACAAAGAGATGGAGGTGTGGTGGAGATCTCCCAGAACAGACTTGTTCACAGCCTCTCTTGGAATAAGAACGCCGTACGTTTACATGCACAGCTCAGTCGGAGCAGGCAGACAGCTCCAGTATGACGCTGTTGGTCTCACACTTTGTCTGAGTTTACATGAAAAGAATCAGCTATGCACTGATGGCAAATGAGCACTAAAGTATTAGTATTTACAAGAAACAGCAACAAAACCGTGTGCTTAGTCTCCTGATATTTGATCATTTATGGTGAAAACTTCCAACTGAATGCATATGTATCCATAACTGACTGAAAATGCCATTCCTCTACACCTGCTCCTCGTGAAGAGTTAATACGCCATAAGCTAAGTGAAGCTGGACTGGAGTGAAACAATGACTTGTGCTAATAACTTGACAAGGGCACTTTCATGTGTTGTCTGTCACTGGCAGCAGGGGCCAGACCAGCCCTGGTGTGGAGCAGACAGGTGTGAGCACAGGGTGTGAGTTACCTGGGGGGGCCAATAGCCGCGGCGGGGGAGGAGGAGGCGGAGGTGGAGGGAGAGGAGGATATCTTCTACATTGGCATGCCAGCTGGCACTGGTCACTAACTTTCTCCGCCACAGTCTGTGAGCATGACCTCTGGAGTTCTCCCTGATGAAACAGCACAGGACATTGTAAAGCACAGCAAACGTAGAAAACCAACATCTCCCTGCAGCACTCCAGATCCTGTCTTCCGAGCTGAGGCGCTGCCAGGACTGCTGCTGATGTTGTTTTTATAATACATGCAGAATAGTAGCACGTCTGTGGCTCCCTGCAAGAAACCACCCACCAACAGAGTGGGCAGCAGGCCGCCCCGAGGAGAGTGTGCGTGGGCGGACTTGGAAACTCAGGCAGATCACATTACACATGAACCCTGGCAACACTGTGCGCGTGTGAACAACAGCTCACCACTATCTGTAGGCAGGCAGCAGCGCAGGCCAAAGGTTAGAATACTCATCAGTGGCATATGCTGCTACAGGGATCCGGATGGGAATGGTGTTCTGATGAAAACACTCCAGGTTCCCACTACAAAAGACATGAGTGCTTGTCTGCCTTGCTCATGCATACATATCAGACTGGCTTTTCTTTCAAACAGGTGCCAGTGCTGCTGCTGACTCAATCTGCACACAAACAAAGCATCAATGTTTACTGCTACATGACTGACATCTCCCTGCAAGCTCTATTTAGTTTTTAGTTTCTAACTTTTTCCACGCTTCAGTGCTTGCTTGTGATGTGGGAATAGCAACATGTCATATCGTACATGACATGATTAGGTTAGGTTTTGTTGTGCCTCTTTTTTATCTGCAAAACATCAACAACATCAGCAAGCATCCTTCCCCGGCTCCTGGTGCAGAAGTGAGTGATCAAAGTACTTTGAAGATGGCATTGCTTTCTGCCTACTCCAGCTTGAATTGAAGATGCTGGAGGGGCACGGTGCTTACCTGGCATGAGAGTAAAAGCAGTGAGAGGAGGCAATGACCGAAGAAAAAAGGCCAAAAACTTAAAGTAAATGGCATTAGATCTTGGACCAGCATTCCTCTTGCGCTGTTCTTGAAGACACTACTAGGCAGCGTTTCCAGCAAATGAATGCAGTAGACATAGGCTTGAAGTGTGTCGGAAATCACCATCCACTCCAGCAGCGGTCTTCTCTGTGACAGGCGTCTCCACAAATACTTTATGCCACAACCATTTTCCTCTTGCAATCCCGTTGTGGCTAGCATAGGACAGGTAAGAGAGAAAGAGAGAGAGTGGGGGAACGCCAGCGAATCTCACATCTCGAAAAGTAGTTGGGACTTGGGAGTCTTGCTGGCACTCAGAGAGACGGAAGCGACCGGAATCACGCCGCTAAACGCACTCCTCCGATGTGCAAAGTGAGGGCGGTAGATGGCCCGTACCTTACGTGCTCCTGCGCTGCGAGCATGAGTGCAAATGGGCCGGCCAAGTTGAAGAGAACCCGCGGAGAGAGGGAGATCCGTGGGAGTATAGCGCGGAATGAGCTCGCATCCCTTTCTACAACTTATCTTTTAGGCTGAGCGCTGGATGGGCGAGTCCGGAGGGCAGAGGCGAGGGTTAAACTGGTGCATCCCCCTGTGTGCCAAATTACAGCGCGCTGTTCTGTACCGGAGCATCACCCTCAGCTCATCCTGACAGCATCCAACCTTCCGCTCAGAGGAAAAAAAAAGTCCCAAAACACACGGGAGGGGTGGTGCTGCTGCTCTATCTTTCTATCTCATACTGTGTGGTCCGACGCTGTCAAGTGTAGCCTACAATGCGTGGAGGCGAGTGCGTAAGGATGACGCGTACTAGAGCGAATTTAAGTCAAGTGCGGTAAGGGAAGAAGAGGGAGAAGAGGGAGAGAGAGTCCAGGCAAAGACGCCTACCGAGTGCACACACTGCCTGCCACTGCCGCGCACCCGTGCGTCAGGATTGGATGTGTGCTAGAACACTCGCCGCGGTCCAGCGTCCCAAAGTAGACTCGCACTAACAATGCTGATGCAAGCTGGCATTTAGCGCTCACGTTCAACAACAAAGACACTTATAAGATATTTATAAGGCCGTTTATTTTTAACCACAGCCGTATTTAGCTAAGTTTTTCACCTTTTAAAGAGTAGACGTAGAGCTCATTGACCAATGGCCCAAAACAAACATGGGTAGAGGATTGCATAAGATTGTTTTGGTGGTCTTCTTTACACTAGACTGGGCACAGTTATGAAATGACTTAGTAGATGGATTCCAACGTGACATACCCAGTGTATTGGAAAACACAGGAGGGATCTGAACTGGGGGTAGAGCTTATACATAAGAGGATCTGAACTACACATCTAGTGGGATAAGCATGTTTAATATCACCAATAGACAGCATATCTTGTAGGTGTTGTGTGCAGAAATACTCTTCTTTCCCAACAAAGTGACAGCTCCTTTTCGAAAAACTTTAAATCCCACCTAAGCCAGCTATTAACTCCAGATATCGATCAATGATTAGGATTTGTGCCAGCCTTCTCCATCACATGCCTTCACGAAGTGTAATAGGGTGCATGAACTACTTTAAGAGAGGAAATAGTGCAATCACACACGCGATTCAGACTTTCCAAGCTACTTTTTGGCTTACGTTAAGTTTACAATTTAAGCTTATCCATCCACTCCTTATACAGCCCTGTCCCACTATTGATTATCTGACAAGAGGAGAGGCACTACATCCTCCTAGTTCCTTCCTGCTGCCTCAACTCATTCCATCAACCAGCAATCTCCCACAACATACATCACGGCCCTTTTAAGGCAGATAAGGCAACCTCTTAATAAGATTGCTAGGGTCTTTCAGCAATATTAATGTGGCCAACATACCTAATCAGCGCTGGCGTCGCTAACAACAAACAGAAGCACGCTAGAACAACTTAAATCAAAGCCAAAGTTAATCAGGGAGTATTCAGAAGTCTTGAATGTAGCTGTACTATGCATTTCTGGGTGGGTGCATGTATAGCTGAGGTGGGGGAAAGGCATGGTGGAGGTTGATTGCCACCTAGTGGTGCAATTAGACAGCACAGAAGTTTCAATTAGGCAAATGACACTTGAGCATAAATCAACTTATGGATTTGTTCATCAGGTTAAAGCCGAACTAAGTAAAATCGGGTAGAAGTCAGTGGGACTCAGTGGAACACTTGGATGAAATAGTTTCCATTAGAGTGATTATTTGATTTTTATGCTTTTAAAGTATAATATTAGTCTGTGTGGTGGAGATGATAAAAGGCAGTCAAACCTCCTTGTCAAAGTCTGATCTTGTCAGATCTCAGAGGCTAAACAGGGCTGGGCCTGGTTAGTACTTGGGCCGGAGACTGCTGGGAATATCAGGTGCCACAGTAGGGCACCAGTGGCAAAATTGTGTCTTTGGGCAAAACACACATTGCCTGGTATGAATGTGGTTTGTCTGTGACTGTTGGTCGGAGGGGCTGATGGTGCAAACTCGCATCCTCACTTCTGTCACTTTGCCCCAGGGCAGCTGTGGCTTCAATAACTGTTTACTACCACCAACTGAATGAATAGTGCATGAAAGTTTTAAGTGACTTTGCGTGTCTGGAAAAGTGCTGTATAAGAGTAATGTTTTGTTACTGGTTCATTATTATATGCTAGAGATTGCATTTTTTTAAAATCCAAAGTTAAAACATAATTATAAGGCCACTGATAATATAATTTATGTGTATGGATTTGAAAATAAGTGTTTTTGGCAGTGTACTTTGTTCCTCATTCCTCAATTGAAAAAACATTCTGTGCCAGATGGCATAAAAATAAAGCACTATTGGGAAGTACCAGCACTAAGAAGTCCAACAAGATAGACGTACAGATTCCAATGTGTATTACCTTAATTGACAGTTACAGTAGGCTATAAATAGGAACTAGCACACAGCAGAATTTTTGACTCCCTAAAATAAAATGTAGCTTTCTTTGCTGACAGTGCAACCTATTTTTGACAAATAAACAAAACACATTGTAACCGATAGGACGCTAACACAAACACAGAGCCAAAATGTGTCAATCACTGTAAAGAAATAACTCAATTCCATTTGTTATGTATTGGCTCCAGAGCAGGGGCATATGGAGGAATGCTTACCAATCTCCCTAGTGGTGCAAAATGATTTAAAGAGTGCCCAGGGCAGCACTTTTATTCTTTTGTTGATATCCCTGCACAGTAACAGTATGTCAAGCTATACATCAAATTGCCAAAGTAATCACTTAAAGTTCTGTTTATTATATTTTATGAATTGCACATATGAATTGATATATAGGAATGTGTGTTGGAGTCCTTATGTCTTTGCGTGTGGTACTGTTGTCTCCAGAATGTCCACAAACATGCTGGTTCTTGTCCAGGATTGTGCTTGGCTACTGTTCATAGTTGTATGGAGATTTCATCAAGCCTAAAGAAAATAGGAGAAAGAAAATGAATAGAATTGAGGCCAAATGGCACACTATGTGACACAACAATAAAACACATGCTCGAGGAACTTCAAATCTTAAAATGCTCCTCCATATGATGATCTAATGGTAGTTTTCAAATGAACAGCTACCTTTTACCTTTAGTTCAGTTGAGATCAGCATTATGGAGTTTAAAAACATAGGATTACCACATGACATCACAAGGTGGAACAATGTTTTCTGTTTGAAAGAAGAAAGAACTCCGCTTAAGTATGCAGGATTTGTGTGTTAAACATTTGTGAATGAAACAACAACTCCAGGTCTGTAATGGGCCTTTTAAGCAAAGCATCCTTCACAAACCACAGTGCAAAGACAGTGTAGATACCTGACCACTCCTTTCGTTCAGCAATGAGATGTTATGAATGACCAGGTTATCACATCAATGCGTTTTCAATGGATTAAACTGACCACTTTTATTTATTTTTTTTTTATATTGCTGAACCTGCAGTAATCGGGAAATGGGAGTTTGCCTGGTTAAATCCACATTTTTTGAAGTTGAGGTTGTTGTAGATGTTTTCAGCTTGTCCAAAAAAGGGTGGAAGTAAAAGGCTGGAGAGCAACTGGACGTCTTAAGCAGGAGAAGTTTATTTACCATCAATAATACGGGCCTGAGGGGATTTGAAAAGTCAACATATGATTTCAAAAGTGAACATAGAGTGAACTTTGAGTATTCAAGCCCCTTTGACTCTGCTTCCAAAGGAGGAGGTTTATAAAGCAAATGTGGTGAGACTATGAAGGCCAGTAGACACCGGTTTAGACAGCAATATGCCACAATTTAGATAATGGTGTGCCAATGGTATGCCAAGTGAAGATCATGGTGTAAATATAGCGTTTTGTGAGTAAATGTTAAACTGAGATGTACGTGGAAGATAAATTACTTAAATTCTCTTACAAGGTGCTGGGTATGGATGCTAAGTTTCAGACTGTGCTAAGAAATGTGCAAAATACAAATTTGACCTATAACAGGAAAAAGTGATCAACAATGACACATACTTTTTGACATTTAGTTTGTTACAAAATATACAACATTCAGCATTTACTTTTATTGTGTTAAAGGGTCCACATTACGTGATTTTCTGATCTATGTTCTAAAGTTGTTGTGTTTCCTCGTCAAAAACACACCTGGAGTTGTGTTTTGTTTCATATTCACACATGTTTAACACACAAACAAAAAAGAAAACACTCAACTTGTGATGTCATGTGGTAATACAAGAAGTGCTTCACTGTGTTTTTAAACTTTTATACACCTTTCCTGGACTTGTTTGGATGATTTCAGCACTGGAATTGCCAATCTATATTAAACTTAAGGCAAAAGTTACCTGTTAACTTGAAAACTACCACCACATGACATCACAAGGTGGTATGGAGCATTTTGAGCTTTGGAGATGTAGACAGACTAATAATAAAAGGTTTCTCAAACTTGTGTGAATGAAACAAAACACAACTGTCTTTGGTGAGGTCTTTTTTTGCATAAAATAGGACCTTTATTATTACAATTCAAACACAAGACAATGTAATGTGAACATAAGTATGATTTGATGAATAACTGACCACATTTGATCACAAAACAAGCAGTGCTGTATCCATAGACTGACCGTATCCCAAAAGGCCAAGAGAATCCCATTCCACCTGTCTAGGCTCAAGAGATGGACCTTATTGTTGTGAGTTGAATGAAGTGTTCCTTCTCATTCCCGTTCACTTCAAAGGGCTGCGTTGACAGACCAGGGGATGGGACCCTTTGTTAATTGGTCCTTTGAGTCGAACACAGAGAGGTTAAGGGAAAAAGAGAAGGGGACAATGGGGTCTGGCTGGCTGCGCGCACCGAAAAGGATCCACTGCACATATAGACTTGCGGGGGCTATCCTCACACAACCTCAAATTGACTGAACAAGGCCATCAATCACGAAGCCCGCAGTCCCATCTTGATAAATGGTCCAGTGCCTTACTCTGCAATTTTTTGGGGAAAATCCATATAGCCTGTATTTTTGAGGGGGCTGCCTTGACAGCAGCTTGAAGCGCAAGTATGAGGTGTTTTACGCACAAGACAAATGGTGCCTCACATCTCATTCCACCGCCTCAATGAAACGATAGGTACTCCTCTTTTTCTGCCTCCACTTCAATGAGGGGATGAAGCGCAATTAGCATTTCACAAGTCCCCCTTTTCCTGCTCTATTGCAACCTTCCCGCAGAGCCCATGCTTTCTCTCCGGGGATTGTCCTGTTTTGGGCCCTTGTTGCCGTTGGCAGGGTGACAGTATTCGAGTGTGCAAACTTGTGCTATTGTCCCCGGGCCAGAGGGAGCCATGGAGACCCTATAATATGACACAGGAAAATGTTTGCTGATGGCAATTCTATGGGCTTTGTGCGACTCTTTCTCCTTCATGACGACTCGATTTAAGTCTCTAAATGTTTGACTACAAATGCAGGAGTGCTATCCAGCTTCTTTGCTTTTGTCCCGCGAGGTTTGAATGAGTAATTCAGCCTTTGTGTCGCTCGATTGAGGGGGCAAACAGAAAGACAAGATTCTTGAGCGTTCAAGCCCCTTTCCATGGTTATGCACTCTTAAGAGCCCCCCTCTTTCGCACCGGACTCTAGCTGACATCACTCATTGAGAGAATATCGCTGTGTGCAAATGAACTTAAACTACACGACTTCAAAGGGGAAAAATATGTATTTCTTAATAATTCGGGTTGTAGGCCTCTGTTTGTGCACTCACAGTTTTGGCCTAAATAGACAAATATGGCACCTTTGGTGTCTGCGCCTTTTTACGCATCTCCATGACAACAATTTGCGGTGGTGAAGAATTCCGATAGCAGGGGGCGTCGAGGCTGATCGGGGAGCATTGTGAGGGACCTGGGGTCGCTGATTGGTTCAAGGGAAGCACCATCACTACAAGGAGTTTATATTCATTCAACTTGTTGAGATGCTCCATTGCTGGGCGTAGAAAGTTTGGATGCGGTGGCGACGGTGAGTTATTTTTTGTTCCTCAATAACTCAGTCAAGTGAGAATTTGATAGCTGGGTTGTTCATCAATATCTTGTGTTTTCTCTAGATTTGAGTGGTGGAAACATACGTGCTATGGACTGAATTTATCAAGTTAAACATGGCAGACAGTGAGGTCAAAACTTTGCTGAATTTCGTGAATCTGGCGTCCAGTGACATCAAAGCGGCCTTGGATAAGTCAGCTCCGTGCAGGCGCTCTGTGGATCACAGGAAGTACCTTCAGAAACAGCTCAAGCGTTTCTCCCAGAAGTACTCCCGAGTGCCTAAGTGTCACGCGCACAGGCCCGCCGAGCACGGCAAACCCGGAGGCTCTGCTCATGAGAGTGTGAAGGGCAGAGCGCAGGACGCGGAGAACGTGGGGAATGCAGTAGAGCAGGTGCCGATGAGAAAACGCCAGCTACCTGCGTCTTTTTGGGAGGAACCCAAGTTATCCCAGGATAGGAAGGAGAATTCTATCTCAGGATTCAAAAAGTCGGATTGGGCAGATAAGAGGACAAGGGCTTGTGAAGATGTGGCGAAGGCCAGTGCGTCTTCGTCCACACGTCGCGATAAAGATGCGCTCCTTTTGGACCTGACCTCGCATCACTGCGTGAGCGTCTGTGGCTGCTGTCCGCTCCAGTACCACGGTCAACAGGTCCTGCACAGTCACATTGTGGTCCCCCATCCTCCTCTGGGACTGTGGAGCAAAGCAGCGCGCACTGACGCAGAGATGTCCGAGCATCCATATGGACACAAGATCCACACGCACGTTGTGGTCAAACCTATCCCCACCAAGCCTACGATCCAGTCTCCAATATTCAGCGTTTTTGGCTTCATTTGACTGACCCAAGGAGGGGCTGCACGTGTAAATAGGACTTATCCTGGTGTTTCAGTAGCCTTTGATAAAAGCACTTATTTGTAACGCTCATGTTTGTTCTTCATGTGACAAGGACTATAAGTTGCACTTGCCGAGTTCTTCCATCAGCTTAATGTTGATGAGGATAATGATGTCACTGAGTGTTTGATCACTGACAGTAAGGTTAAAAGTTTAAATTTCATTTCTCTATTTTTTACTGTTCCCTTTTTAGCCATGCAAATGACGGTGTGCTGTTTTAGTTTCCTCTTTGCTGCAAAAATAGAATATGTGACAGATTTTCTTTTTGTCAAAGCAAGATTTGATAGAGGCTTTTATTTTTAAATAAATTACATAATTCCCATAAGAATTCATTTTAGCGCAACATTATTTTCACAGGTTACAAATATTCACATACATTCTTCAAAAAACTACAACCACACTATTTATAAATAGCCTAGATAAAAAAGTGACAAATTGCTTTGGAGGAGTAATTATCTTTGTCCTTCTGGATCTAAACAAAAAGAAACAACAAGAAATACAAGTGGTGGACCAGGTTCAGTCAGTCACATCATATCTCAGATATGAGAGCATCCTGTCTGGCAGAGGTAGACCCGCTACTGAACGCACAGTCTGTCCTCCCAACTGAGTCCGGATCTTCACTCGGCAAAGGTGCATCAGTGGACGAGGTGACACTGCAAAGGCACAAATGGCATGTTATTGCATATTGTTCATGGATGTCATGACAAGTTTAAACTTGACCTTACATGACTTTCTCCTGACGGCTCTCCATTCTTCTGTGCTGTCCAAGACCTCTGTGAGCTTGCTGCACAGCTGAACCTGACCCACATACTCCAGCAGCAGGTCTACTATGGGTCCTGCCCATTTACACATAACGGATGAAGACAGCCACTCACAGAACTGAGGAGAAGCACAAACACTTCCATCACTCACACAACTTCCTCACTCTCAATCATTTTCAGCACTTTCTTCTTACCTGCATTGGCCCTCCGTGTGGTTCATTGCAGGTGACACTGAGCACACTGCTATTCTGAAAGATGCATCTAGACATGTTTGTAGTGTCTGGATGTGGTTTTGCTCCATATATACAAGTAAAACATGAAAGCACATCGCAACCATTGTCCAGAAGGCACTTGAGTAGAGGCAGATTATTCACACAGAGGGCTATAGCAGTGGGGAACGTTGTAGCGTAACATGGGATTTTAGCATTGACATCAGCCCCTTGATGCAGCAGCAAGTTCACAGTGCGAACGCAGCCCTGCTTCACAGCCACCAGAAGAGGACTGACCGGGTCTTGAGTAACACTGGCACCCGCTTTCAGTAATACCTCTGCTGTCTCTGTGCTACCATGGGCCACAGCAAAGTAGAGAGCAGTGACTCGGTGGTCTGCAAACCGAGCTGAGTGCATGAGGGGGAGAGGCGCATTGACTTCTGCACCTGTCTGGAGCAGGACAGCTGCTACCGAGGGTCTGTTGTGCTGAGCTGCCAGGTGCAGGGGGCTGATCCAACTGTGCCGCAGCCTGGCTCTACTCGTCACCGGCACGAGCAGGGACACAATCCTGAATGCATAACAAAGACAAGGGCAGAGTGAGATCCAAAAATATACATTAAAATGTTTTAACACAGAAACGCTTTTGTACCAACCACTTACAAAACCTGACAATATCATACATTAATCTATATATGAGTTAATTGGCAAAAACAGATCAATTCTAATCTAAAGAAATTGTCTAGGTCTTACAAGTTACTCTTTGTTTGGCAGCTTTTTGAAAAATTTAATTTAGTGCAATAAAAAATTCCATCCCTTCATGAGCAAATCCCTTCAATCTAATTAATATGTCATTAATATGTGTAGATATATAAGATAGAATCAAAGAAAAAAATATAGCGACACATTTTCTAAACTTCCTGAACATTTTCTAGTCATCTTACTTACTCATGGTGTCCATATTGTGCAGCAACATGGAGAGGAAGCAGACCTGAGTTACAACACTTGTTTGCGTCTGCATTTTTACTCAACAGTGTTGCCACAATTTCCCTAAAGCCATTTTTACTGGCCTCATGCAATGCAGTAAGTCCGTCACAAGTCTGCATGTTGACGTCAGCACCTAAACAAAAACAATACTGCATTTAAGTTTTTAAGGGTCTTCGTTTAATAGCATCAACCTGACTAGTGATTTATACCTTTAGCAATGAGGAAGCACAGTGCCCTCAGGTGTCCCTTCTGGGCCGCTACATTGAGCGGTGATATGCTGTAAGTGTTAGGAGGATTGATGAAGGCACCAGCGTTAAGCAGCATCTCACAGATTTCTATGTGGTTCCTGGCCACAGCCTCCAGAAGAGCGGTCCATGCCTGACTACAGCGCTGGTTCACTGTGGCCCCATAGGACAGAAGAAGACTGACCATGTCCACACTCTGTAGCTCACATGCTTTAACACACATCAATGTTCATTTTTTAACACCTGGCATCAAGCACCAGCCCACAAATGTTCAGAGTGCTTTAACTGTTGTACCTTTGAACAATGGGGTCTCTTTGTATTTGTTGCTAATGTCGGGGTCAGCTCCACACTGCAGAAGGCAATGTGCACATGACAAATGCTCACGAGACACAGCGAGGAGCAGGGCTGTCTGTTCCTGCAATGTTCGCTTGTCCACAGAATCTGGGTGGACTGTAGCAGAGAGAGTAGTTACACACCAACACAGATTTATGATATTATATATTGAAGCTGACAGTGGGTCTGTATTGTCATACCCTTTAATAGTGTCTTCAAACATTCTCTCTCTCCACAAAATGCAGCATAGTGCAAAGGTATCCATCCATCTTTGTTCTCATTGAGCAGACTCAGAGGACAGGAAGCAGCCAATTCATTTACTGTGTGCACATCTCCTTTCTTTATGGTGGCCACCAATGGATCCACATCCCTTGAAGAGAAAAAGAAAGAAAGAAAGAATAAGGCTATTCATCTGCAAATGCTAAACATAAAGTTAAATGTTTTGGATAATCCAGCCTATTTAATAGAGGAGGAAAGCATTTATGATCAAATAACACACACTATTAACCCTGCTACACTGGTATATAGGCCTACAGTCTGAGTCCCATTGACGTGTCAGCAATATTTCTATAGGCTGACTGGCATGTTTTATGTTACAGCCTATTAATAATATTTACTCACTAGCCCCAACAATAGCCCCAACAATAGCCCCGACCCCCCCCCAATAACAAAAACCTTACGTCTCCTGCTCTGACGTTACGTCGCTGTGATTGTCCCGTCTGCTCCTCTCCCCTTGCGTCGCACGAGCCCTACAATTACCGCTCGCGTTCCGAAATTGCGATAAATACTCATTATAGCGGAATTTGGTCATTACTGGCGTTGTTTCTGTAGCGTTGTTTGCCCCATACAGACAAACCAAAATACACGGCTGTGGAGGAGGCGGAGCAGCGTGGAGCGAGCCGGGCTCAGCTGTGCACGCTCATTATTTTGAGACTGTAATTGTCAGTCATTGGGCATGGCGGAGTCACATCCATATATGTCAGGAGGCCCGCGTAGTGACACAGATAAGAGGAAGTGCAGCGAGATAATACAACGGTCTGCTCACATGGAGGCAAATTAGGAAGAGAACAGAGATAAAAACTCCAGGCAAAGCGCATTCAGACTAATATTAGAGCACACTCACATACTGACATGGCCAAAGAGGTCAACTGGTCACGTGACATGACAGGGCAACATACATGATGCATCCATATAGCCTTCTACAAAACAACAATATAGAGAGGCGGCAAATGACTGACAATAAAAACAAAAACTAAGAAAGAATTTGTGAAACACTTGAGCAAAACATAAGATAGGCTACTTTCAGTGAAATATACCTGCACTGGCTACAATTGATCTGAGACATCATTGTGACAATATTTACCATTTAAAATACACTGAATTCTAAACCCTAAACTCTTAACCTACAGGGGAGATGTTTATGGTCATCATATCTAGAGATCTAAAGCCAAGAGAAATGTACAGTATAGCCTTCCCTGTGCACACTGGTAAGGCAGGTTCAGTTTATATTTTAAATACTAGTATCAAGTTAATTAACTAAAAACAGCCTACAGAGTATTATCTTACCTGAATAGTTCTGGTGTAGGCCTAATGGCTGCAGTCCTTAATGGGCAGCAGGCCGAATAGTCTCTGAAATCACTGTTTAGTAGAGTAGCCACAGGGTCAGCAGACTGCCAGCACTGGTGCAGTTCCCAAGGCTTCAGACAGGAAGAGCAATTAGAACTAACCTAAAATGACATACAAAGTCTATAAAATGTGTCTAAAATCAGACAATAGCTTATGTGGTGAAGCCTACATCCTAATGAAGTAGGGAATATGCAGGAGCTGAACAGTGCACTGGCAGACATCAGAGAGCAGCTCAGACCCCATAAAGCTGCCTTTTAAGGGCATACTCATGGTGGAGGGTTCCACTTGATTCTGCTTTTCCTGATCTGAGGTGATGGCTAGTGTTAACAGTGAGGCACACAGTAAGGAATGGACCTGGACCATAAATCGTTATTGCTATGAAAACTACCCATAAACATACTGGTAAGCCTATGTACAATATTTATAAAAACAATGCAACTACAAAAGCATTCTGAAAGTTTATAGTAATTTTCTAAACATAATAATCTAATGAAAGAAAACATAAATATGAAACTTACTGGCTGGGTTAGAATCACTATCTTCAGAGCTGAATGAGGTCCCAGTTTAACCACCACTGTCCTGTGTTGCAGCCTCAAAAAAAACAACAATGATGTAAGAGTATTTCTTCTTCTTTTTAAAGAATTTCCTTCATGCACTGTCAGCCTCTAAACTGAAATTAGGCATTTAAAATGATTCTACAAACATGCCTTTCAACATATTTTTACAGACAAGCTGTTTTTCAAGTCGAACTTAAAAATTTTGAAGCACACTCACAGCCCAATAAAGGCACCTGTCTATACCTACTAAAAAACCTTGGAAAATGTATGCATGAGTTTTTAATATAATTATTTTAATAGACTGAAAGGTATAGGCACCAACACTAATCTACTTAAATACTACTAGCCTAATAATAGACATGTGCCTAGGCCATAGACTGTATAGGCTATATAAATGATTCTATTATACAGAGTAGATAAATACTTATTATTAAATTAACTTTAATCGTATGATGGCAAAGGAGACTGGGCACGGGCTTACTCCAGAGTGGGAGATCCAGAGATTGTGATAGTTGTACTGGACAGAGCAGAGTGTGTGCTCTGTGCTCTTCCCCATCTCTGGCTTTCATTAAGGAGCTCATTTCCATGCCTCATGTCCATGCCTCATTTCCATGCCTCATTTCCATGCCTCTCATTCACTCCATTAAACAGAACCGCCCCCAGGCTGGTTGCCGTGACAACGACGTAGCGATCCCGTCGCATTCCCCGCGGCTGCGCTTGTTGTTTCCCCGGCAACAGCCACACAACTTCGGGACAACATCCGGAAGGACCTTGTTGTCCTTGTCCTAACGTGGATTGAAATACTGCTGCAAGTGTTGGGATTTTTAGGAAACTAGAAACGCAGCGCTATGGCGACTAGCCTGCCTTTTCTGGACAGCAGCGACCCACGTCTGAAATTCACCGTTGAAAACAGAACGAAAAACGTGTTTGTGACTCAGCCTGAGGACAGGTAAGCAAGCGCCATCTACTGTTGGCCAGAAACTCCGTTTGATCAGGTGCATCAGACTCAATGACACGTTTATTCTAGGCCCAAAGAAGAAAATGTCAACCACATACCTGTTGTGACAGAGGTAAAGTAACTCCAAAAATCTATTTAGACTTTGTATTTAGGAGCTTACAAAAAGCATATTAGGACAATTAATCACATTTAAGTTCTGTTTAACAACAACAACAACAACAAAACTAAATTAACAAATCAAAAATATTTAACTTCTGTTTCATTAAAACAACCTTAAGTTATATGACTTGATTATTTAGCTGAAGTACTACTTTGCATTTGTGTAGACACCTTGTCGTCTCCTTGAAGCTGGGCTGAACACTTTGCAAAAGACACTAGTTTTGCAGAAACAAGCGGAGCTGGAAGAAGTGAGTCGGCTGCTGGCTCTTAAGCAGAAGGACTTTCGAAGCCGTGTGGAAGGTTTAGCTCAGAGACGCTCAGAACTGCAGCTCAAACAACAGCAGGTACAGAGCAAAGCAGCCACTCGCTACTCAATAAGAATAAATGATTTATGCCTGACAAATTATTCAAATTCTACCTAACACAGGCATTTTGCTTTTCGTCATTTATTTATTTCCCCAGAATAAAGAAAGAGTGAGCAAGTTTGAGAAGTTTGTGGCTGAAAATGAAGTGAAGCAGCACCAAGCATATAAGAAGTATAAAGATGCACAGGAGCAAAATATGATCAAACAGAGAGATATAGAAAGGTTGACAAACAAGCTCATACAACTTCGAGCCAGGTAAGAATTTCAACTACACATCTGGTTAGCCATATTTGATTTATGTTTACTTTGAGTCTTGATGGGTTTGATGCGTGCAATAAACTAATATTAATAATGATCTTATAATACTAATAATAATCCAGCCTTAAAATAAAATCCCTTTGGGTTGATGCAGCTGAAACAGTCGAAGAAATACTGTCTTAATTGAAAATTGTATATGGTTATTTTTAGTATATTCAGACTAATAAAAGCTTAGAGCAGATATGTCAAACTCAGGCCCGGGGGCCAAATTTGGCCCACGATATAATTATATTTCGCTCGTGAGATCATATCAAATATATATTAGAGCTGGCCCACCGGATACAGATAGGCTATAGAGACATTATTTGTATAAAATTTTGTTATTACTTATCTTCTTCTGGATTTCATGTTTAAGCAAAACTATTAGTAAACATTTATTTTAATAAAAAAAAGGTTTAACATTACATATCTCGAAAGAAGAGAAAACATGCAGATATTGTTGAAATTTTTCACTAAATATTTAGTTTGGCCCATGACTTAGTCCCAGTTTTTAATTTTGGCCCTCTGTGAATTTGGGTTTGACACCCCTGGCTTAGAGGTTCCATACCTTGACTAGAATCATCTGGAAAATTTCAGACTTGAATTATCAATCTCTACTGAACTAAAGGTAAACGTAGCTATTTGAGCTTTTAGATGTAGACAGACTAATAATAAAGGTTTACTCAAACATGTGTGTATGAAACAACACACAACTCCAGGTCTGTTTTTGATGATTTAACAACATTTTACAAGAGTCAATTTGGCATAATATGGACCTTTAAAATAATAATAATGCATTTAAAAATGCAAATAAAATAATAATAACTACTATACTTACTATATCCACAGACAGCATGTTTTAAAAGACAGAATGACCAAATACAAAATCTATGAAGACTATTTGGTGAAAACAATCAACTTCCTCCCGAGCAGTAAGCGTCCACTTTCCATAAACAACTTTGTTATAACCATGTTGACATGCTCGATGCATTACATGATTGTGTTTACAGGTTACCTTGAAAATGACTCAGAATCCTTAGTTTTGCCAATCATCCGACGACACGAGACCCTCTCCATCACTCACCAGGAGCTTCTGCAGCGCCTGGAAAAAATGGAGGATGAAGTGGAGGAGAACCAGCAACAACTTCAGATCATGAATCAGGAACATGGCATTAAAAAACTGGTGAGATGAAGAAGTATGTGTATGCATTGTTTTAAGACGTGAAGATTCTAACTATGCCATATGATGATTGCAGATGACCAATAAGGAGCTATCAGAACTACAGAATGAGTTAGAGGCTCTCAAAGATATGAACAAGCAGGCTGAGATTTCACTGCTAATGGAACAAGGCCAGTCCAGAGAAAAGGTACAGACATGGAAGGATTTCATTAATTGTAAATAGTATAGTATAGTATGTAGGTAGTCTAATTAAAATGAGAAATTGAAATCTGCTTTATACATTTTTAAGGTGGAGGAAGTGGGAAGTATCCTCATGTCCATTAACAATTTGGCAGAGCGGTGTTATCTTCCCACATATGGAGCACTCCAAGACATAAATGTTGTAAAAATGATGGACATGGTGGAGGTGATATCATTGTTTGTTTTTTGTTGTTGTTTTTTTTGCAAAGATGTTTTATTTACATCTTAAGTTACTGAATTGTTATGTTGAAGGAGTACATTCTGGACAAGGCAGACACAGAGCGGAGGGCCAGGAGGCTGATGGAGTC